TATTTGATTCAAGAAATTTTTTTTCTGTGTACATAATACTCATTTTTATTAGTATTTTATAGTTTTGTTAATTTCTGATAGACTTTAAAATTTTTTACATCACAAATAAAGTGTTTATCATATAGAAATATCTCTTATTTTTAATTTGCATCAATTATTCAATCCTATTTTATGTATTAATTTATTATGAATTAAGGTTGTAAAGATCTGAAAGATTATTCAAAATTGCTTCTCTTTAATTAAATGCGTATTACTCTTACTTTACATATATATTACACAGAAAAAAAACCAAATTTTTGTTAGGTCAAGCAAATAATTTTCCTGATTTAACATTTTTAATTATTAAGCCAATACAATTTTACACTTGGCTTAAAATTTTATTTCATTTAAACAAAACATAGCTTATTAAATTAATTTCAGTAAAATATAGTTTATTAATTTGAACTAAGTAATAATTTTTTCTATTATAAGATTGCAAAATTTTTCCTGTAAAAGTTTTTTAATCATAAACCATAAATAAGTTCTATTACAATATACTATTTTAATAATTTTCTAAAGTTTGATGAAGTTCATAATCGTTGTAGATATTAATTAATAAAAATATCATACACCAAGAATAATAATAAAAAAAAAAAAAACTACAATACGATGTATGAAGATATTAAGCACTGGCTTATGCGGATTAAATAAATGAGTGTGTTGTATAAAAGATGATGATAATTTTGCGTGAGACGAGTAGCTCTGGGTGAACATAGACCATATGAAATAATAAATGTCACAGTGAATGAAATTTCTCTTTTATTGCTTTCAGGTGACCTGGCATATACGACAGTCCATGGGGAGTCCCGTTGAACCTGAATTGACACCACCTGGCGAGTGGCGACGTTACACTCCCCCTGGAGATATATGACACACCGTTTCAACATAAGACGAGTTGAGAATTCAAGACTGCTCATATACGCACAGTGTATATATATATATATATATATATATATATATATATATATATATATATATATATAATATAAATATATATTATATATACCTGTACCATTAATAACAATAATAATAATATTAATAATAGTAATCCAGTCGTCAATCTGTGGACGGCTCGCTAATGCACACACTTGCAAGAGAAGCAGCTACTTGATGACACTAACCCGTAGATCCGAACTTGTGGGCTATTTTATATGCATACCGCAAGCTCCTATCTACCGGTACATGTAGTCAGGCCGGCGTTTTAAGATTGATATATACATATATCTCTTATATCACGTCTAAACGTCCAGCTCCATGATATATATATATATTCATTTAATTAAATCTATGTAATTCTGTATACATATTACAAGGCAAGTAGGATCATCTTCAATTTGCATAGCTCATATCATACTTCATCGAGATGTATCAGCAATTACTGCAATTATTTTTATTTTATTATTTATTATCATAGTTCTAATTATTTTAACTTTTTAATGTGTAAATAATTTTATTATCTTTTGTTTTCTTTTGTTATTACAGTTTTGCTTTGTGCTGTCATTATGATGAGGAAGAAATGTTCACTCTTATCAAGATTCACACTATTACATGAAATCGCTGTTGTTATTACTCATTACTCATTATATATTACATTGTTTTTATTATAAATGAAATTTTTAGAAAATATATTTTTTTTCATCAAGTTTTAAATTTTGTTGATTAGACATTTTAAGGGATTGTACGCACTTAGAATTAAAAAAATCAATTTTTTTATTCCATTTTTATAATGTACTTGTACTTAAAAAATTAAACATCGATCGGACAAATGTTTTTAGAGTTATACTTATATTTGTAAAGCTTAATTGAAGCGCGTCGCACTTTGATGGGGCTGAAACTAAAATGTTTGAATTACTTTCTATCAAAACTATATTGTCAAAATTGGTGAGCAATAGTTGTTGATAACGGCTGATGATTCTTTAATTTTAAAAAAATTTTCTCAACTCTATTTATCAGTAATTGATATTAAAATTAATTTCAATAAATATTTTTATAAACAACAAATTTTTTATGAATGCATTTTGTCAAAAATAGATATTTTCATAGTTTCTTCTATTCATCATTAGGTATTAATTCATATTAACAGAATCTAATTAGAATTTCGAATTTTGATGATTTGAACTGATTATAATCTTTTGTAATAGTTTCTAGTCTTGGAATAATATTGATTAAAATCATATTTTAAGTAACAATTCTCATCTTGTGTTTTTAAAAAACTATAATAAAATTTTAATCAATAACATTCCACAGCTAGTTACTATTATAAAAGAACAATAATAATCATAATCATTTAATTTTCTCCATGTAAAAAAACAAGAACTCATAATTGAAGTTGAAAGTCACTACTACAAGTATATCAATTTTTATATCCATCAACTAAAAGGTCGCTTTTTTGGTCTTCTGAGTGTATGTAATCCTTTAAGTATTTTATGTATCAAGTATAATTCGTATCATTTTTTACCATTAAACATAACATATAAAAATGAAAAATTGTAAATTTATAATGATGATGATGACGATTATTACCAGTAAAAGCATATTTAAACTGCGACGATGCCTGGGTGAGGTAGTAGGTTGTATAGTGGGTAATTGCACCTGCAGATATGAAGTTCACTGTACAGCTTGCTAACTTTCCCGGTCGTCGGCGCTACAACGTCATACACAAAAACATCTCAAGAAGAAGACAACATGGAATACTTAATTGCTGCCAAAGGAAGAATAGTAATAATAACAATAATTATTGTTATTATTATTATTATAATAGCAATAATTATTATTATCGTCAGTAAATTATAATTTTTATTATAAAGGAACTTGTCGAGTGTAATGAGTGCGGTGTGACTTTTAGTAAGAATGAATAAACTTGAGTTTAATTTATTATTATTATTATTATTATTATAAACAAAAAATGTTCCTATTATTATTCTATTAGTGTGATTGTATATGAAAGTAATGTAAGAAGAAAAAGATGATTAGGATGTAATGATGAGTATGAAAATCCGGATTAAGAGAAGGGCAATGGCGAGCAGGCTATATAAATAAGCCTGCCGCTTCGCCGGTTCCCTGAGACCCTAACTTGTGACGTCGCGACCGATATCTCACAGGCTAGATTCTCTGGTATTGGCGATGAGTTCTGCCTTTTGGCCGGTCGAACGACCGGTCCGGCACCGCAAACGTTCGCCGGCCCTTTTAACGCAGTCTCGTCACCACGATGGATCGGCTAAGTGCATGTCCAAACGTGTTACTTTTTGCTATATATATAAATAAAAAAAAATTTATATATATATATATTTATATTTGTATTTACAATGAGGTATCTTGTACAATAGCTTTCTTTATTATTATATACGGGACCGGCGAAAGGGGTTTGCTTATATACGCAAATGACATCTTGTTGTGGAGAATGTGGTATGTAAAGGAGAGTGTCATGTTTAATATAAATCTAATAAAGATCATCTATATGCTATATTATATCATGCACGGAGGAAAAAAGTAACTTTTGTTTTTTGAATGTTAAATGAAAAAATTTTCTTGTAATTTTCTTATTAATTGTATATTTTATTTATTTAATAGAGAATATTGACTGATTTTTTTACTACTGGTACCTGTAACAATTTTTTTGCACTGAAATTGTGTTAGATTAATGAATCGTATTTTTACATTGTTTTATTTTATGCATATTGTAATATCGAGTACTTTTGATGATTGTCTTGAGAGAGCTTCAGCTCTGAGATCAAATGAATTTATTGATCCATCTATCTATATTTAGAGTCAATAATGTAATGTATTAATAAAAATAATTTTTGTTCTTTTTAGTAAAATTTTCAACATTTTAATAAATTCAAAAAGTTTTATTTTGACTAATATTTACAGAATACTAGGGTAAAGACCCCATTAGTGGCGGGGAACCCATTACTGACACTTTCTTTGATTACGGTACTTATTTAATTAATTAAATCATTAATTTCAATAATGAATATATTATTTCTAATCTTTAAGACCTTTAATCAAAAAAATTTTTAATTTTTATTCCAAGTACAACATTTTTTCATTGAAAGAAAAATTTGCCACTAATGGGGTCTTTTATCTTATCTGAATTACTGCCATTGTACCATTTAAAAACACAGTAATTGGCATTTCTTAGATTTTTTTAAATTTGTCTCATAAGAAAAAAGTTTAGATTCTAAATTAAAAAAAAAATTTGATACAAGCATTGAAGATGTATTAATGAATATATTTTAAAGAAAAAAAAATATTGGACTGTTTACATCAAGTACTAAAAAATGGAACAATACCGAAAAAAAGTACTGTGTTTTAAAATGTAACAGCGATACTGGATATAAAATGAATATAAATGTTTGAAAATATAATAAATAGTTAATTGAATGTTAATTTTAAGTTTAAAATGCATTTAATTTAATAAGCAAAAAAATATTTTTACAAAGCTCAGTAATCATCAGCAACGTCCTCTAAAACTCGATATTGTTATCTAATCTTACTGATAAATAAAAAAAACTTTTTAAACGAGGGAATAAAATACCTATTGATTTGTATAATAACAAGAATTGTCAACTCCACTATATTGTAATTTGTTATCATACAAAAATACACAAATATATTCATCATTATAGTAATTAGTAATTATGATAACATGATAAAATAAATAAAGACAATTTACAGCTCCTTGTTTATAAAAATTGTATTAAGCCACACACTTATAAATTTAAATGATTTATTAACATTATTATTAAATATCGATGGCTTGATTTTTAATTTTTTATCCCCATAAAATTGGGAATATTCATTTTTTATCACAACCGGTTCATTATGCGCTTAGTATATCTAATTTTTTTATGACAAATTATTTTTATTTTATGTGATTCAATTATAAACTTATTTTTCGTAATTAACTTTTTGTAAATTATTTCTATAAATAAAGCCACCGATATATTGTTTTGTATCGATCAACAATACTTAGGAGATTCATTAACAATATTACTTAATTCTTCAGCAGAATAACCAAGCAGGTTTTTTAAATCACAATCGAACTTATATACAAATCTCTTACCCTGGACCTTAGAAATCATGTTGCCGTCATAGTAATACCGTAAAGCGCGACTCAACTTTTCATAATTCATCGAGGGTTTATTTTTCCGTTTGCCCCACAAACTCGCAACTTTATCCGGCTTATGTAACTTAAATTCACCCTCGCTTCCGACCCACTCAATATGTTCTCTGTGTTCACGATCTGTCAGTAGCTCTAACAAAAACTGCCACAGTTGTATTTGACTACTAGTAACAGCGCGACTTGAAGTTGCTAGAGGTATTTGCTGGGGTGGCTCTGCTAAAGGCACACTGACTAATCGGGGATGCTGGTTGATAACTGCTCGCGGTTTCGTCGGTTTTTGATTACGGATTTTCATAATAGCTTTATTACTGTCCTGGGAGCTTTCAGGCTGATCTTTTTGAATGACAGCTACGTTTTGAATAAAATAATAAAATTACATAATTATAAATTCAAAAAAAAAAGTTTCAAATTCATTAAAAAAAAAAAAAAAATACTCACTGACTAATTTACATTTTCTCAACAACTCTAAATGGGTCCAAAATATGTCACCCTTGTCATTTGGAACCTTTGTTTTAAATTCTTCGAGTTCAAGGTTGCACAATTGTTCGCCAATTATATTCCAATCAGCTAATCGTATTGATGTAAGATTAAACTGTCTTACTGCCCACTGCAGCCAATGTTTAACGTGAGTTTGTGACCACTCCATTGGATCACTCGGTATTTTCAAACGATCCTAGAAGTAATTTTTTTAAATAACATTTAGATACTAAGGAAATTTATTTTAACCCCTGACAAGCAAGCTGGGTAAAAAATACCCAGCTCATGTTAAATGTGATTGCCATGGCTTGTAAACTATAAATAAATAAAATTTTGCTTCATTAAATAATGAATTTTGTTAAATTGCACAGTACTTTTTTCACTGTAGACGTTTTTAAAGATATAAGCTCATTCCGATGTTACACTCATCAACAGTTTTCATTTGAGTACCCACATGCATTTTGATATATTTTTCACATACCCATATGTATAATATATATAAATATATCAAAATGCATGAAAAATATATCAAAATGCATGTGGGTACTCAAATGAAAGGTCTTGATGAGTGTAACATCGGGGTGAGCTTATATCTTTAAAAATGTTAATAGTTTACAAGATACAAGGTCATTTCTTAATTATATGCATCTAGATATAGAGCTTTTTTGAATGCAGCCTAAATACTTATTATCATAAATTGACTATTGGTGAGAATGATATAAAACCTTAAAAAGGCACAACTTCAGGTCGAGACTTTTCCAACAATACCAAATTTAACCATAAAAACTCATTTTCTCATATAAATACACTAATCACAAAAATTTGCTTATTTTCTTAATAATATAAATATATTATTTCAAAATTATATATATATATCTTATGCAGAATTATTCGAACTTTACTTTAAAAACAAAAAAATTTATTTGCCTTTATTGGATACTTTGAAATTAAATTGTACTAGTTATTTTTATCCTCATTGCTGTTAAAAGAATACTTTTTAGATATTTTCTTGTCAGGGGTTAATATAAGTAAGTAAACGCATTTAATTATTGTCTCGTTACAACTATTTAAAAAAGAAAAAAAAAATAGTAAAAAGTTTAATAAAAATATATACTTGTTCTTGTTTATAATGAGTATCAACCGTCCATTTAATAACTTTTTTTTCTTCTTGAGCAGGTTCTGGAGCTATAAAATAAGATTAATTATGTAATTATTTAAATCATAAAAAGTAAATAAATAAATAAATAAAGTAACATTCTTACATTGATCCTCTACTTGAACATAGTCTTCAGCAGGTTTTAAAACATCAACAATGTTTATTTTTTTTTGTGCTAAATTTATTTTTACATTTACTTGTACCAGACCTTCACCTTGAACGCATTGGTCAACTAAATTTTTATGACTTTCCAACTATAAAATAAAATTATTTATTTTCATTAGTTATCAACATAAATTACTATTTTTATATACATTTTATGGTAAGCAATTTGCTATTGATAATTAGATACAAAAACTTACAACTTGGGCATCTTGGAGCCAAAATTGAAAATCGCTCAAGTCAAAGTTTAATTTTTGTTCCAGTAACATTTTCAATGTTGACAGAGGTTGTCTAATGTCCATGTGTTGCATATGAAGATTTTCAGGATTAGTGTCTTCCTCGTTCAGTTGTTCTAATGCAAAACTAGGCTCGACTTCCAGATCTGAACTGTCTTGGTGTAACTGTGCCATGATATCGTCATCATGTGATAATATTGTGTCTGGCTCCATTTTAATTCGCCTTAGTAACGCAAAATCTAATTCTCCATTAGAGTCATACCTAAAATAATATTATTAACTATTAAAAATTTTAAATAATAAGAGCATCACTAATTTTAGGTTAACAATACACATGGAATATTTATTATACAAACTGTAATTACATTGTGCTTAAATGTTTTGTAGGAGTTAGTTGATCCATTATTTAATTATTGACAACTAAAATATTCACACAATATTTTTTATTAACACTTAAATTTATCAATATATATAAATATATATGCGCAAAAAAAAAAAATAAAAAATATTGATAATTGTGTTACCGTGAGACGTGAGACAATTTTTTTTTTATGGAACTAGTTGTCATTTGTCATTATGTGAAACCCTGCTAGATGGTAGCGCCGACAGAGTTTTGTGCGCTTGCGCGTCGATAGTATGAAAGTATTTTTAAAAATATTTACAGTTGAACTAAGTACACAAAAATAAACAATTTAATAGTTAATGAAAATGACAGTGTTCAATTTTAATAAGATTTGGAAAAATTAAAAAATATGAAAACACCATGGGAATAAAATAATTCAACTCTTTTTCTGATTAGTTAAGTTAATGTAATAATCTCAATTTTAAAAAATATATATACACATGCTTGTACTCGATTACATCGTAAATTATCCTTCATTTGTTTTTTTTTTTCTTCATCAAGTACTGGAGCTATAAAATAAGATTGATGGTTTAATTATTCAAGCTATTAAAAGTAAGTAAATAAAAAATGTGAAATTTTTACATCGATAGTTAAAGTAGCTATTTGAACGTAGTATTAATGCGGCTTTAAAACATTAACAATATTTATTCTTTTCTGTGTCCGGTTTATCTGCACATTAATTTCCACAAGACCTCGACTTTGGAAGCACTCGTTAACTAAAATTTGATGCCTCTCCAACTATAAACATAAATAATCATAAATTATAATATTTAAATTAAGTAGAATAAATAAAGGGCAAGTATTTTAAAAAACTTACAAGTTGGGTATCCATAAGCCAAAATTGAAAACCATTTAGATCAAAGTTTAATTTATTTTGCAGTAAACTTTTTAACGTTGACAAGGGTTCTTTGATGTCCATATGTTGTGAGTAAATACCTAATTCTCTAGTGTCTTCATGAAATCGTTTTATCGCAAAATTAGGTTCGACTTTCAGATCTGAAATTTTTTGTTGTAATTGCGTCATATCTTCATCATGTGAAAATACTGTTCCTGGTTGTGTATCAATTTGCATCATTGCTAAATCTGACTCTCCACTTGGATAATACCTGTAATTAAATTATACAAAAATTTTAAATAATTATTGTCAGAGAAAATGATGTTAAAATTATATAACAAACATCTGACAATTCTCGGAATTTTTATAACCCATCAATTATTATGAAAATAATTATCCGTCAATTTTGTGGATTTTTAAAACTAAATTATTATGAAAAAATTCCAATAAAAAAATTCTACATCCAGAAATTTAAAAAAATTACAAGTGCAAATTTAAAAAAAATATTTTTTTTTTACAATTGATTTGTAATAAAAATAAAAAAAAAATTTCAGATATCTGCAGATTTCAATATCATTAATTTAATTGTTATAAAAATGTAAAAAACTGTTGGATGTTTGATAAATTCAGTATTATCAGAAAAATTATAGGTTGGAGATAGACTCTGGTATTTATTTCGTTAATAAACTGTACTTACATCTCGTTTAAATGATTTGTATCAGTTATTTGAACCATTATTGATGTATTTAACGGATTTACTCAATCATTCTTTACTGTCACTGAAGTTTGTGTGTAGTATCAATGAAAAAAACAATCAGAAACAGCCAAACCGTCAACAAGATCCAATGTCCGCGCGTAAAACACGTGCTTTTTAAAAGCATGGAGTAGCTAAAAAATGAATTATTGCTGTATCAGTATCTGGTCAAGACAACACAACACACACTACAGTTTTGTGTTCTGTGTGTATATCAGTGATGTGAAGTGAGTTGTATTCCATTTAGCGCCATCTATAAAGATTATTTTTTTTTAAAGGCATAAAAATGGATTCCATTAGAATTCTAGTGATTGGAATTATTTCTTATCGGGAATTATATTTAAAATTGAAATTCTAGATACTTATTTGAGTTCTGAATCATCAGGATTCTAGACAATTAAAATTGTACCTTATCAGATTTGTAAGTAATTAGGAATCTACCTTATCGGAATTATATATGTCATGTATTGTAATCTCGGGATCTATGTCATCGGTAATCTGATTAATTTTATAGCTAGACAATAGACGCCCTCCCCTAAAACTTGACATTCAATTTCACGAAATTGTTTAATGAAAAAAATTTATTATCTTGTATTAATTCAAATTGATTTTATTAACAAATTAAATATTAGCGGGTAAATTTTTTTTCTCTTATAGATGGAGACTATCATGTATTTCTGATGACCTTTTCCATTTATATAATTTTTATTAGTTATTTCTGCAAATGATATTTTAAATTATTTTATTTTATTTTTAATTCAAACATTTTATCTACTTTTTTTATTTTTAATAATTTCAATGGCTAAAAAAAATAAAATTTTTTGTGTAATTAATCTCATAATATTATGCAATATTATTTATGGAGAGGACTGTACTCCAAAGATAGGTAAATTTTTTTTTTCAGACTCATTTTTTTTTTTTTTTTTTTTATGTTCTAGCGTATACAAAGCTTATTATGTATGACTTTATTGATAATTACATTAACAATAACGATATTTGTTCCAGCAATAATCGGAGGAGGAATTGGTGGAGCATCAGCCTCACACTATCTCACAGATTTATTTAAAGACGATGTGGATATTGATTTATTCGAAGCTGATGAAATTGGTGGACGGCTGGCGACATTGAACATAAACAATGATGAGTATGAAACCGGTGGTTCGATTATTCATTCCAGGAATAAATTAATGAGACACTTTGTACAGCTTCTTAGTTAATTAATATTATTGTTCAATACGTCAATCTTAAAGACAATTATTAACTTAACTAATAAAATCAATTACCTATTTGTAGAACTCGAAGATCGACCATCTGAACTCGATATGGTTGCTGGAATTTGGAATGGCGATGAATTTGTTTTTAAAGAAAGTTTTTATCAAATGGTTTCATTGGTAAAATTATTTTATAGATATGGCCTTGAACCGTTTGAGTTACATAGGTTGTCAGAGCAATAATTTTTATTTTAAATAATATGAATAACTAATCCCAGGTTAAAATATAATGACTTTAAATTTGCTAGGTAGATTAACAAATTCAATCCTTGATGACTTTGATCACATCTATAATCTTCAAGATGATGGAATTGGTTTTGAAAATATTTCAAGTTTACTGTCTGGAATGAACCATAAATTTCCAGAAATGCTAGAAATTTCTTCAAAAGATTTTTTGCTAAGCCAAGGATACTCTCATAAATTAATCAATGAATTAGTTGAAGCCACTTTGGCTGTTAATTATGGCCAGGATACTGATGTCCATAGCTTTGTTGGATTCGTATCAGTTGCAGGTGCAGGATCTTCTCTGTGGTCTGTAAAAGGAGGAAACAAAAAAGTAATATATTATTTATATTATTTATTTCATAGCAAATTATAACTACAAATTGATGTTTCTAGGTACCTGAAAATCTTATAAAAAAAAATAAAAGAATTAAAGTTATTCCTGCAGTAGTAAATAAAATAAATTATGCCCCTAAAGATGATGGATCACCGGAATATCACGTGTTCTATAACACAGGTATAAATTAAATATAATATTAAAAAAATAATTAATGACAATTAAATAAAAAATAAAAAATTAGGAAAATTTGAAGACACATGGAAGACTTATGACGTTGTAATTATTGCTACTCCATTGACTCATGATCAAAAAATGCCTATTAATTTTGCTGGCTTTCCGGAAAATGTAAACTTTAAATTTGCTGGAGATTATCAAACTACTTATGCAACATTCGTAAAGGGAAAAATTAATCCTAGTTATTTTAAGTTAGAGGAATCAATTGACGCTATTTTGAGTTGTAATCCTAATAAAACTATTATGAGTTCGATTGGAAGGCTGACTACAGTTGAAGGAAACAACTCTGATGTTTGGAAAATATTTTCACGGAAACCGGTTGAAAAAAATTTAATTAGTAAAGTGTTCCTAGAAGTACGTGTAATTTATTTACTTTAGCTTCTTATAAATTTGATAGTCATTTAGATTAATTTTTTCAGGTAGATGAAATTAAAGAAATAAAATGGAAAGCGTACCCAAAATACTCAACAATGGAATCATCAAATAATTTTAAGCTCTTTGATTCTCTGTATCATGTTAATGCCATCGAATGGGCAGCAAGTGCCATGGAAATGAGTGCTATTGGCGGTCGGAATATTGCAATCTTGGTACACAATGATTATAAAAAAAAGTGCAATATTTCTCAAGCGTCTGGCTTGAAAAAAATAAAAAATGAACAAACTAGTAGAGAATTATAAATGTTGAGATTTATTCAGGTTTAATTTTATTTTTTTAAATTGAATGTTCGTTGTAAAACTGAATAATTAAAAAAATTATTGTAAAACCAAATATTTTTTGTTATAGATGCATTTAAATAATTGTTAAAATTTTTATAAATAAATTGTTGATAAAATTGATATCAGGTCAAGTACTTTTAATTTGCTGAAAAGATAATGAACAAACAGATGAATAATGAAATTTTGGATTCCATAAATAAAAAATGATGATTCTCAAATATATATTAAGTTTTCTATTCTAATTAATTTATTATTGTGTTTCGACGACGCGCCAGGAGACTGCGCGTTAGGCGCGCGCGAAGCTCGGATCGATCGTATCGAGATGGTGAAAAATTTTTTTAATATATTTATATTTACATTCATTTATATCTCGGGAATTACGCAATATTTTAATAATTAATGAATTTTCTTATGAATCAATTACGATAAGAGGTTGATTTATAACAGTTAAAGTCGCATCAAATCACGGAATAATGCAGTAGAAAGAATTTTAACGTTCTTTTCTTTTTGCCGCGAATACTTAAAACATGTAACGATCTGCGCTGCGCACTTGCGCTGTTGTCAGATTTTGGTCAGAATAGTTTGACGCGTTTACAATTAATTTTAAACAAACTCTGTTTCAAGTGAAAAATAATTATTTTCTCGAGTAATTAATTCGTAAAAATCTTCAGTAATTTATTCTCATTATTTTTAGAATAAGTTTAGTACGCGAAATCATAAAAAATTACATTAAATCAGACGGACTGATGTTAGGCAGCCGCCTCTTGGAAATTAGCTCATAGTCTAATTTAGATCTGGCAACAAGGCGGCTACAGATTCCTTGGATAAATTCATCAGAATCAACGCGGGTGTTTTTGTAATTCTCAATCGCGGTGCACCGTGGGTCCGAGTAGGAGCTAAAGCTAAAATGGCGTCAGCCGAGAACGGCAAACGCGTTTAACCGATCGTCTAGTTAACACAAAGTAAAAAAAAATGCCACGGCCTAAGCGAAACGTAAGTTTATATTCGCGTTTATTAATTTTATTTTATTATCATACTGTTTTTGTTCGTTTTAAATCTCTGATTGGGTGATAACTACTCTAAAAAAATATATCCGCGCCCTCAACATCCGGAAAAAAAATTAAAAAAAAAAAAAAAAACGTCGGAAGTCACGCTCTTGTCAATTTTAACTCGCGCTTTTCGCGGTTTTTGTATACAATTTGATTATTGTTAGAAAAAAATTATTTACATTGTATGTATAAATTTATTTGTTCATTTATTTTCTTTTTACGGCAGCAAGTCACGGCAGTGTCATGTAAATGTGATTTTTTTTTTTTTTTAGTAGTTTTTTTTTTACTTAACTTTTTTTTGACGTTAGTAGAGAAAAAAAGATGAGAATAAAAGTGAACACTTTAGTCCTAGAGTTTTTATTATTTTTAAATGTGTATTGTTATCATTAAAGGCATTGTAATTGAAGTTGGATGGTAATTCAATGCCACTTAAGCGTTTATACACGCTGTGTCTTATGTCGTTCATCGTCGTATCGTAAAGCATGTGAAAAAAAAAAATAAACTACACCCCCGTTCCCGACCCTCGCAGCAGCGCTGCCGTCTACGACTTATTTCCCTTGCCTTAAAAAAAAAAATAAAATAAAATAAAAAATATGAGTAATTTTTTGTGATTGTCATTCGCGGGATTTTTTGTATATTTTGTTAATGACTCTGAAATATGTATAGTGTCATTAAAACAATTCAAATATACAATAAATATAGACATTTTAATGTTAGTTCGCAATTATTTCACAGCACGGCATGCTCAATTGTCGCGCGTCTGTCGATTAGTTCGCATCGTGTTGCTGTCGGTTGCTCATCTGTGCTGAGAGTGAAGATTTTTTTACTAAGAAACATATATTTATAATTCTTTTCTGTGATTTAATGAACGTATGTCACGAAATAAATATTTATTTATTTTATTATAAAATACTGTAATTTTTTTGTGTTAATTTTGTCGGTTATTTATATATACTTATAAATATTTCCATACGAGTCCGATATTAATTCTACAAACATAACCTTTTTTTTATTCGTTCCTAACGACGCGTTCTTTATATAATAATATTAACTATAATTCATCCGTCATTTGTCAGTTTAATATTTTTTTGTTTTAATTTTTATTTCAATGCACAATTTTATAATCAAATTATTTACCAAATAAGTTATTTTTCTTGATTGATATTGAGACGCATATACTAGAATTTTTTTTTTGTGTAGGCTGGTAAAAAATACAAAGATGCAATGAGCGACGAAAGCAGTGGAAGTGATTTCGACGACGATGAAGATCCTGACAAGATCGAAGTTCCTGGTAAGATATTTAAATATATATTCTTTTTGATGTCCAGCATTTTTAATCCATCCCCTTTATATTGATCATAATCTGATAAATTATTCACTAGGTGGAGGGAAAGATCTCGCCACTGCTGCTGGGATTGCGAGCATCAAAGAAGAAAATGAGTCCAACACATCCGACACAACGGTGAAAACCACTCCTAACACCAATGGTAAATTAATATTATTATATTATTTTTTTTTCTTAACTTTATAAATAATCAAGTTAATTGATTATTTATTTATTTTTATACTTTAGCACCAAACATAAAAGGAGCAAAAATTCCGGAAGGTCTAGTGACTAAACCACCAACTCCCGGTTATGAAATGGTACGTGTAGGTGGTTCTCAAGGCAATCCCCAAAATTTTCCAAATGCCAATATGATGAATCAGATGAACCAGATGAACCAGATGAACCAGATGAATCAATTTGGAAATACTGGACCATACGGTCAATTCCCTGGCAATTTAGGACAATTTCAAAATTTTAATCCAGCAAATCTTCTTCAAAGTAAGTGATAAAGATTATTTTTTCTTCGATGTTTTGTGTACTTTTATGTTTGTTTGTGCATTTGAGTGTACTACTGTCTTAAACGATGTCCTTTAGATATGGATATGGGAAATTTGATGGGTACATTCATGGGAATGGCTGGTATGGGTGGCGCGGGAGGATTCAACCCTTTTTTGCAATTGTTGAATCAGGGTGGATTCAACCAAAATTGGGGATCTGGTCTCCCAGGTATGTTATTGTCCTTAATGTGATGGTGTTATCATTAAAAAGCAATTAGTCATTACTTATTATATTGTATTGTGTAGGCAAAGCTGTACAACAAATGTGGATGAATGCAATGGATCCATCGAAAATGATGCAACCAACAATTCCTGAAGATGAAGAGGCTGATGACGACGAAATGGGTGTTGCAGAGACCTACGCAGATTATATGCCAACGAAATTAAAACTTGGTCGCAAACATCCTGATCCAGTTGTCGAGACTGCATCGTTGTCGAGTGTAGAACCTACTGATGTTTGGTACAAAATATCTATTCCAGAAGAAACAATAAAATCTGGCGCACTTTCTGCGTTACAACTTGAGTCAATTACGTATGCGTCACAGCAGCATGAGCAGCTATTACCTGATGGTACGCGTGCTGGTTTTCTGATCGGTGACGGCGCTGGTGTTGGTAAAGGCCGTACCATTGCTGGTATTATATATGAAAATTATCTGAAAGGTCGTAAACGTGCCATTTGGGTGTCCGTATCTAATGATCTCAAGTATGACGCTGAACGCGATTTAAAAGATATTGGCGCTGGTAAAATAGATGTACATGCATTAAATAAGTTTAAATATGCTAAAATAGCTTCATCAGTTAATGGTAATGTTAAAAAAGGTGTTATATTTAGTACATATTCCGCGTTAATCGGTGAGTCTTCACAGAGCAGCGGTGCAAAGTACAAAAGTCGGCTTAAACAATTACTCCAATGGTGTGGGGATGATTTTGATGGTTTAATAATATTCGATGAGTGTCATCGAGCTAAAAATTTGTGTCCTACTGGTAGTTCAAAACCTACTAAAACAGGTTTAACCGTATTAGAATTACAAACTAAATTGCCAAAGGCACGAGTTGTGTACGCCAGTGCTACTGGAGCTTCTGAGCCCAGGAATATGGCCTACATGGTACGACTGGGTATGTGGGGTGAGGGAACACCTTTTGCTGAGTTTAATGACTTTATAGCAGCCGTGGAAAAACGTGGTGTAGGTGCTATGGAAATAGTTGCTATGGACATGAAACTACGAGGTATGTACATTGCGCGCCAGTTGAGTTTCCATGGTGTCGCCTTCAAAATTGAAGAGGTTCCTCTATCAGAAGAATTTACCGATGTGTATGACTCTTCTGTAAGACTATGGGTTGACGCTATGCAAAGGTTTCACGAAGCTGCTGAGCTTATAGATGCTGAAAATAGGATGAAAAAAACAATGTGGGGTCAATTTTGGTCGTCGCATCAGCGGTTTTTCAAGTACCTATGTATTGCAGCCAAAGTAAAGCATGCAGTTTCTGTTGCGCGTGAGGCTGTTAAGTGTGGTAAATGCGTTGTCATTGGTCTCCAATCAACTGGTGAAGCAAGGACACTCGAGCAACTTGAGCGCGATGATGGAGAATTAAGTGACTTTGTATCTACAGCCAAAGGTGTATTACAAACACTAGTGGAGAAACATTTTCCAGCACCGGATCGTAATAGAATTCAACGGCTTCTTGGTCTTGAACCACCTAAACCAATAATACCAATCGTCATACTTGAAGAGGATCCTCCAGTTACGACAGCTAGTGGTAGTAAGAGGAAACCTGTACGACAAGCCGCACAAAGAGCTTCTAAAAAAGTACGTGCGTGGGAGGAATCAGAGGAATCTATTTCAGAAGAAGAAAAAAATGGTGGTCATAGTTCTGGTTCAGAATTTAAAATAAGCGGATCTGAAAGTGAAGAAGAAGCTAATCGTTCAGATGCTGAGAGTAATGCCAGCTCAGATTTTAATCCATTTTACAGTGATAGTGATTCTGATGCTGATCCATGGGACAGACGGAAAAAAAGAGGAAGAAAACCGAAGAAACCAGTGAAGAAAAGATTAACTACACAAGATAAAATACAGTCGATGTTGACTTTAAAAACTCAAAATTCGCGTAATAATAAAAAGAATGGAGATGCTGTGCCATCCGTGGGTATCAATGCTGCTGGACGACCTACAATGACTGGAGCACCTCCACGAGACGCTATTGAGCGGGCATGTTGTATGAAAGAAGAATTATTGGCACAAATTGAAAAACTAGGAGAAAAACTTCCACCGAATACACTTGATCAGCTTATCGACGAACTTGGTGGTCCAGAAAATGTAGCGGAGATGACTGGAAGGAAGGGTAGAGTTGTACAAACCGAAGACGGTCAGATTCAATATGAATCACGATCTGAAGTTGATGTTCCTCTGGAAACTTTAAATCTCACTGAGAAGCAACGGTTTATGGACGGAGAAAAAACAGTGGCTATTATATCAGAAGCCGCTAGTAGTGGTATTTCACTGCAAAGTGATCGTCGTGCTCGAAATCAAATGCGACGTGTTCATATAACTCTTGAGCTTCCTTGGAGCGCAGACCGTGCGATCCAACAGTTTGGACGTACTCACCGTTCGAATCAAGTGAACGCTCCCGAGTATATCTTCCTTATATCAGACTTAGCTGGTGAGAGACGATTTGCTTCGACTGTAGCTAAACGTCTCGAAAGTTTAGGTGCGCTGACACACGGAGATCGTCGTGCGACTGAAACCAGAGATTTATCGCAATTTAATATTGACAACAAGTATGGTCGTTCTGCTTTAGAGGCTACTATGAAGACAATTATGGGCTATGAAGCTCCATTAGTACCACCGCCGCAAGACTACCGCGGAGACTTTTTCAAAGACGTCGCCGACGCATTGGTGGGTGTTGGACTCATCTGCAATAGTGAAAATATGCCAGGTGTTTTATCACTTGACAAGGACTACAATAATATTTCAAAATTTTTAAATCGAATACTGGGAATGCCTGTAGATTTACAGAATCGTTTATTCCAATACTTTACTGATACATTAAACGCTATTATTACGCAAGCCAAGAAGACTGGTCGTTTTGACATGGGTATCCTCGATCTCGGTGCTTCTGGTGAGAATGTCAAGCGCGTTAAATTGTATCGATTTTTGAGAAAACACGCAACAGGTACAGCACCAACAGAATTACACGTTGTACATGTTGAACGTGGTATGAGTTGGACAGAGGCTAAAGAACGATGGTCTGAGTTGACTGGATCCAAGGAAGGCTTCTACTTGAGCCATCAAATTAGGAACAACAAACAAACTGCTATTCTTGCAGTAGCTGTTGATAGTGGCAAGAAGAAAGCTGATAAAAAAGATCAACTTTACATGCTTTATCGACCCAATACTGGACTTCAATTAAGACAAGAGAGTCTTGGTGAACTTGAAAAGAAATACAAGAAAGTTAAATTAGAAGAGGCTGAGCCACATTGGACGCAACAGTATGATGCTTCAGTGGACACTTGTTCGCACGCTTACTGGCGAGGGAACTGTAAAAATGTAACTCTTGGCATGGACTGTGAAGTTGGTCTTCGACGTAGATCATATAATGTTCTTGCTGGTTCTGTTTTGAGTGTCTGGAGTCGTGTTGAAAGCACTCTTGCTGCACGATCTGGACAGAATTCTAAAATGCAAGTTTTGCGTTTACGAACCGGTAAGTTTACTTTTTTATTTTTTAACTTTTAGATAACTTCAGAATTAAACTCAATTTTTTTTTGTTTTTGATTACAGATGATGGACTGAAAATTGTCGGCACGTTAATTCCTAAATTATGTTTGGAACCGTTGGTCGAGGCTCTATCTGCAGACGCTGAAAAAACAGAAGAGCAAGTTTTTTGAACATCCTATCATCTTAATAGTAATTATTGTTTTTATTATTTATTTGTTAATTCTAGAATTATAATGTAATTTTAATTTTTTTTTTTTTTTTTTTTTTTTTTTTTTTTTTTTTTAATTACAGATAGTGAGGGATCAAAAAATTCTGCCGAAAATAAGATATTGGCAGATAATATTGCGTTGGAATCTGTTATTAAGAAGCCGTTTAAATGAATAAATACAACAGCTGAAAAATATAAAAAGTTCACAGTATTGGGTCGTATATTTAGTGCAATTTGCCAATTAATTAATACATTAATGGATTTATCACTGAATCTGCGGTACAGTCAAACTGTATGCACAATAATAACAAAAAAAAAAAAAAAAAAAAAAAATAATAAATTATACCTAAAAGAATAAAATAAAAGTTACAAATAACAAAAACTCCCGCGATATCGCTTTTCAAACAATAACATCGCGCGTTGCTTATCGTGATAGAAGTTAAGTAGTTAGTTGCCTTGTTTTTTTTTTTCTTGTTTATTAAATCGTTTTTTTTTTTTTTTTTTTTTTAATAGATTTTTTAGATTTTTTATTATGAACACGACGCTCACACTAGCGCGCGCGATTGATGTCAAGCTCTTCTAATAAATTACACTTATGCACGCCTAATTTGCTAACTTTTTTTTTACGCTTGTATGCGCAAGAATTATGTTTAAAAAACAATTATTTCGTATTAAATAAAACAATTAGACATGAAATATTAGACTCTAGTGTAAACTTTTAACATATATTATTTTCTATTTTGTTAAAAAAAATTTTTTTTAGGTTTTGTCATAATGATTCCAATTTTGGCTGGATGGTGATAGCATTATAGTATTTCTTATATAATATATTATATTAATTTTCAATTTAAAAATACAAACAAACAAATGAATTATAATTATTAATTAATTAATGTGCTAAATGATAATTAAAAACAAAATGATCCACCAATAAATATTATAACTACAATTTTTAGTGATTAGATTCAATTATAAACATGATATATTTATATTAAAAAAAAAAAAAAAAATGAATGAATGAAAGAAAAAGAAAAAAAATCATTTAACCGAAGACTAATGTCTGGCGTATTTATCCAACTATATGGTTTATTTTAATTTATGATAATAAATTTATTTATACTTGTATTTGACTGGTAATTTTTGTTGTTGTATGGAATGAAAAATTTTTTCTTTTTCTAATTGTATACGATAAAATACAAAGCATAGAAATAAATAAATTACAGTAAACTGTACTATTTAAAAGTTGAAAAATAATATACATATTCTCAAAAAATAATTTCAAAATTATAGTAATAATAATAATATTATTTTTAATTTATCTTTTCGATATCCATTAATCACAGAAACAAATTGCGTATATTATTTACGCATTGTAATTTCAGAACACTTCCATGGTCCATGAGTGATAATTGTTAAGACGTAGAACATATCTGGTATTAGATCAACTAATATTTAATTACACTAAAGTAATAAATTTAAATAAATTATCCTGATCTGGTTCGAAAATAATTTAATTCATTATTTAAAGAAAACCATATTTATGACAAATACCACACATATGTATATAAATTTATATACATGTAGATATATATCTGCGAATATGAAAGCAATTATCCGTAGAAACTGGAGTGATTTTTATCTTGGACATTCTAGTTAAAAATTACCGCATATTTTTTATAAGTGTGGTACAAAATTATTTTACAAGTATGTTGATTATTTTAATGAGATATTTTTATTTTATTATCCATACTACAGATTTGTAGAATTAATTTATTATTATTTATCATCGTATAAAATATATGTACAGTTGCTTCTTTTCATAATCATTACATCCTGTGCTTAATATTTTCTTACCGTAAAATTTTTTTCTTTAAATCACCGCTTTACTAATAAAATTGTTAGATCACAAGAATTACTGACAGCTTTAAATTAATTATAAACATTTAAAGATAAATTATTTTTAATGGAAAGCATAGAGAAGCATCAAAAATGTGCAGAATCCAATAAGAAGACCTAGGATCAGGGAATCACGTCTTTTTCGTATATTTATCCTTTGTACAAGACTGTTGACCATGGGAAAGCGATTGCTAAGATCATTAAATCGGGTTTGAATTTTTTTGAATGTCTGTCGTTGTGATACTAAATGATCTCGAGTCTCAATCGCAATACTTATTTGATCATTAATTAGTCGATCAGAGCTAAAATAATAAGTTAATATTAATATTCCTTAAAAACTAGTAATTTTAGTTATTATTTAGATATAAAAAATAATTTTTACTTGTGTACGTGTTGATTTTCCTTCAAATACATGTCTCTCCGATTTAAACCACTTGCATTTTTATAGCTGCTGTAAAAAAATGAAATGTATTGTTTTGCTTATTCCATTTAATTATAATCTATAATTTATATTTAAATTATTATACATACTCGATTTCTTTTCTTACACTCCCCAATAAATCTTCTCGATCTTTTCTACTGGCGAAATTATTTTGTATTTTACTAAATTCAAGTTTATAATCTTTTAAGATTTCTTTATGTCTTTGCATCGTATGAAGCATAGCTGCACCATTGGCTTGAATTCCACTCATTTTGTCGTTGATCGTCATAAGCTAAAACAATAAGTGTTGGAAGTAGATGCTTATCAATTCAAACGTCAAGTTTATAGTAAATTTTATGATACTGAATTATAATGAAAAAAATTTAGCAAAAAAAATTTTACATCTACACGGAAAGAAAAAGATGACACTGGATATCATCTCAGATTATACTGAGTGAAAAAAATTCAGAATTTAGCTAGTATTATCCAGATTACAATGAGTATAATCCAGATATCACGCAGTATAATCTGGATTTTTTTTCAGCTACTATCGGAAATTTTTTTTCACCATAGATATCACTGAGCATAATCTGGGATGATATGGAGTGTCATCTTGTTCTTTCCGTGTAGAAATTAAAAAAAATTTTATTTTTTATAATAATTGATTGGTTACAAAAATTCTAATAATTGTCAGATGTCTGCTAATTTCAATATCATTAAATTTTGACGTGATGCTAATCAATTAAAAATTTATGATAGAAATTATAATTACTTTGGCTAAAAGTGATTCAATTTCTGATGTCATATTTTCAAAGACATGATCTTCATCCAGCAACGGTACTGTGTCAGCACTAGCATGACTGGATCCAGCATTAATTCCTAATTTACTGTAAGCCACCAACTTGGCATCTATTTCATTTTCGACATGTCGTGCTTGCTTACGCAAATCTATAATTAGAAAAAATGACAATTCACGTTATTAGTATTATACATTGTTTACAAATAATATAAGTATAGTAGACATCTTGTATTTATTATTATTTATCATTTGACGTGTCAATTGAATCCACGATAATTAAGTGAATCGTAACCACATCAGCAACTCCGTCATAACTCATGAATTAATTTACAAAATAGATTAATTATTTATTTTCGACTATAACTTAGTTAATTATAAGTATAATCTAAATGTATATTTGTTTTCAATTAAATTACCTTCCCAATCTCCAGCATCGGTATTTTTCGCCATCACAAAGTAAAAATAAAATACGTTCAACAATTAAAGAAATTATTTTTCAATGTAGACTCATTTATAGTTTACGCTGAGACTAATTAATAACATGTGAATTGTGATTAATAATATCTTTTAATTCGTATTTCAATTAAAATTTATATATAATGGATGAAACCTTTTTTGAGAATTATTTTTTTTTTTTCACGCAGTAACAATTCTAACCTGAAGATGGAGTTACTTGGAAATGACCTTGAGTTTGTTGAACTCTCTCTCTCTTTCTCTGCTTCGAGAAATAGTAAAGATGGAAGCTGTAACTAGATAAAAAATTACTAATAGTTTAAGTTAATATATAAATTAGTTGTTAATAATTAATCTCCATGATAATTTTTTTAAATATTTAGTAAAATTGAAAACTAAAAATAAAAATTATTCATGGAGTTTGAAATGATAAAAATTTAAAACAAGTTGATATTTAAATAGATAACAGATTTGAAAAGTGAACTATCGAATAAACTGAAAAAACGCGCTCACGTCCCAAGTCTCGTCCGGCGCGTCGTGGTGTTGTCCAACACAAATTTTTTTTTTCCAATTTAAAGTTTATTGATTTATTATCGTTATCTTAATAATTATATTTGTTATTATAATTCGAATAATTACTTAAATTATTATAATGATTCAATGCCAGAGAGATTTTAATTTACAATTTAAAGTAACTGTGTGAACTAGGTGTTGTTGAATGATTGTTAGCTAAACAGTTCGATATTAATTGCAGTGTTGTTGATAAATTTTTCAAATACTAATTAAGTTAATTAATCTGGATCAATAATTATTTATTGTGATTGTTTTAATTAATAGTTCACAATGGTTAAAGGTAATAAGAATTTTAAGTGATGAATAATTTTTTTTTCTAACAAATCAGGTTATATTTTTATAAAATGCATGTCGTATTTTTAGTGAATTTCACAATTTTCTGTGTTTTGTGATTATAAATGTTTCTATTTATTGTTTAATCGTATTATTAATCACACTTAATTATAATAATATTTTTTTTCATTCATAAAAATGGCTAATTAAGTAAATTAATGTGTAATTAGAACGTGATTAGAGTAAAAAAAAATTACTGTATATGTATGTGTATTTCTAATCAACCATTGTTGACGACGCCATTTAATTATTTCTAAAGCGCGGGAAATTTCAAACTTTATTTTTAATCATTATTTATCTAATTATATTAATACAGGACGAAGAAAACGTGGCTCTACAGTAAATGCTGTTATTACTCGTTCATCGGCTTTAGCAGAAACAAATGGGTCAATTGTTTCGCCGTTGAAAAAAGAAATAAAATTGGAGAAGGATCAACGAGAGAATAGAAAAGTTGGTATAGGTCATAAGAAAAAAAATAATTCATTGAAATCTCCTGTTCCTATTACGTCATACTTTACAAAGGTAATAAAATTAAATAACATTGCATAATGAATTAATAAACTACAAATTATTTCCTTTTATTTTACAGACTAATGGATTTAACAATAAAATATCTAATGAAAGGATATCAGAGAGTATCAAGACAGAAGATATGTTTTTTAAAGTAAAACCTGATATTAAGGAAGAAAATGACAATAATTCTTCAATTCAAGAATTATTTAAAACTGATGGTTTGTATTTTATAAGACAAGTTAATTATTTTATTTTAAAGTTTATTATTTATTAAATTAAATGATATTTTAATTATGCTGTAGAAACACCAGTGGCCGTACCATGTCAGAATCCGTCCACACCTCATCGGATTAATATGACAACAGTAGTAAGCGATGATTCGGACACGCGAAGTTCAACAGAAAGCAATGACTCTAAGCCTATAATAGAAACTGTTATTAATGGACAAACGACAATTGACAAAGAAGTAAGAAAGAAAATTAACGGGAATGCACGAGGAAAATTGAAATTCACAGAACCTATTATTAGTTCATCAGCTAAATCTGCAGTAGCAAAAACAAATCACAAAGTAACTGAGTACTTTCCTGTACGACGTAGCGTTAGGAAATGTAAAAAGACTGTACTTGAAGAGAAGCAGCGTGATCTTGAGAATAAAGTACTGTGTCAAGTAGAAGAAGGTTTGATCGTGAAGCATTTTGTTGGTAAAGGACGAGGTGTCGTGACGACACGTCAATTTAAAAAAGGTGAATTTGTTGTTGAGTATATTGGTGAATTGATTGATCAAGTTACTGCTAAGAAACGTGAAGCTGAGTATGCTAAAGATCAAAATACTGGTTGTTATATGTACTATTTCCAGCATCGGAGTCATCAGTATTGGTAATTATTAATTTTTTTTTTTTTTTCTAATTAGATTTATGTCTGTTCTGATAATTATACTAATAATTAATTAATTATTTATTTATTTAATTGCAGCGTTGATGCAACAGCTGAGAGTGAAAAACTCGGTAGACTAGTGAATCATTCACGTAATGGAAATTTGATAGCTCGTGTTGTAGAAATTAAATCAATACCGCATTTAGTATTAACAGCTAAGGAAGATATTCCTGCTGGTGTTGAACTAAATTACGATTACGGTGATCGCAGTCGCGAAGCAATCCAGAATCATCCTTGGTTGCTTTTATAATTATTTTAATTTCATACAAATAGAAAATTATATTTTAACAATGATGGAAATTTACACAACATCATGACTGACTACTTACATACTGTCTATTGGTATTTATTCATTTGATAGGTCATGTAATAAAATTATTCGGTGATAATTTGAAAAAACAAAAAAAAATTAAGTAATATGTAATCGAACGATGAATTTGCTATCAAAGGCTATTGATTAGAATTTATAATTTTAATATGAACACTAATTGATGCAGTGCATCTGATGATAAAAGTAGAACAGTGAAAGAAAGAATATTATACTTAATAAGAAAATTTACTCGTTTAATCAAATTAATATTAATATAAAATTGCACATTTAAGTAGACTAATTTTGATTCAACTCATATAGTAGTACGCACGTTGTTATTATTATTATTATTATCTTTGTTATAGTTATGATTTATGATTATTTTATCGCATTAACTTATGACATGCATGGGTGTGAGTCAAATGACAAATTAATAATCTTATACATTAAAAATTTTTTTGTTTTGCAAATTAATTGCTAGACACTGCCAAAAAACTGCTTCGTATCAATTAAATGTATTTAACAACTATTTTTTTCGGACAAAAGTTATTTTTTTTTTTTTATTGGGAACGATTATAGGAATTAGTCAATTTATTAATTATTATATTTAATTATTAGAGAATTTTTGATTGTAATTTACTGTAGTATCTTAAATTTTTTTAAGAATTACTTTCGATTATTGTAATTTTATTTTATGAATTTTTCATTGGATATTGTAAATAAGTGATAATCAATATTAAATTAAAAAAATTATATAATCAAATTTCTAAATAAAAAGTTGAATGCAAGAGTTTACTCATTTTGTATTTTTATTTTTGAAATTAATAAAAAATAAAAAATTTGATTACTTAAAAAAAATTCTTTTATCATTTATAATACATTAAAACATTCGTAATAAACTAACAGGAATTTTTTATTGTAATATGTATTTTGAAAACTATGTACAAGGTAAAAATACTTCACTTGGTTTCGTTCATATATACAATTAACAATAATAGATTATAATAGAAATATTTTCCTTAACTTATTTATTTTTTTAGTTTTTCAATTAAAAGTTGCTTTTTAAAGTTATTTTAAAGTTCAATTTTTTAATTTTTTATGATACCTGCTGAATTTTACAGGCATCTAACAATTTATTAGATTTTTATAACAGTCAAATTATAATGAAAAAAATTTATCAAAAAACTCCACTTTTAGAAATCTTAATAAGATTATAAGTGCAAATTAAAAAAAATTCTTTTTTTAAATAATTGATTGATTATAAAAATTATCAGATGTCTGCCAATTTCAGTATCATGAATTTTGCACGATATTGAAATTAAGAGACATTTAATAATTTTTTTTTTTTAAATTACATTGTGACATTTAAGTTAACAGTAATTTGACTATTTTTTAATTTTTTTTTTAACAAATAAATTATTTAAAAAAAAAAATTGCATTTTTAATTTTTTAAAATTTCTACATGTCTACAATTTTTTTCCCCATAATTTATTTGTTACAAAAATTCGTAACATTATCAAATATCTGCTAAATTAATTTTCATTTACTAATGTAAATAATTTGCAAGAAAACTTTTTTTCAAATTCTATCTTTAGAAACTTTAGAAAATTATAAATGTATTTTTTTTTTTTTAATAATTTTTAGATCTATTTATTTTTTAAGAATTTTTTGAGAATTTATGAAAATAATGTTATGAGAAAATTGTAGTAGCGCTCTCTATAACGTTATGTTTATTATAACCTTTAAAATGAACTTTTCAGTCATTCAGCTATTATTAAAATAAGTAAATGGATAAACAAGTGGAAATAATAAATATTAATTTCCAAATATTTTTGGCTGAAGATATTTAAAAGAAAAATAATTTTTAAAAAATCCATAACAAATATATCATCAATCATAGACTAAATAAAATAATTAAATAAAATGGTTTTTCTGACACGTTTTTTGCAGCTTCCAAAGGTAATTTTTCAAATAATTATTGTTTGTCAATAACTTTAATTAATATTATTACAGAAAATTCCAAGGAAGTTCTTAAGGGCAGGATTTCTTGATACCCTACATTTACGAGTTAGAGCAGGTACAGGAGGTATGGGTTTCCCGAAATACGGTGGAGTTGGTGGTCGAGGTGGAGATGTTATTGTTGTAGCTACTGAGGAATTCTCATTACACCACATTGCTGAAAAATATCGTGACAGAAAAATTATTGCTGGTCATGGCAACAACAGTGAAGCGAGAGGTATTATAGGTAAACCTGGACAAAATGTTGAAATACCGGTACCTTTAGGTGTCACTATTTACGACTCCAATAACATTGTCATTGGTAAGTTGATCAATCAATAAATAAGTACATTTAATATTTTTGTTGTTTTATAAAGTAAATCAGAGATATCACAACTATATTAAATTTTATGAAAATTAATTTAACAGATATTTAATAATTTTTAAAATTTTTGCAACAAATAAATTGGAGCAAAAAAATTGATATGTAAGAATTAAAAAAAATAAAAAATGTAATTTTTTAAAAATAATTTTTCGGATAAATTTATTTGTTGAATAAAATTAAAAAATGATCTAATGGCTACCTATGAAAAACTTATGAAAATTAAGTTAGTTGATATCTAAAATTTTTAGAATTTTTTTTATTGAAATAATTACTACAAAGAAATAAAAAAAAATTTTCATTTGTAAAAATCGTCGGCTTACTTTTTTATTGTCTGCTAACTTTAATGTCATTAAATTTTAGGTGAAGTAGATAAACCGAATTCAAAGTTAGTGGTAGCTCGTGGAGGAGTTGGTGGATGCCCAGAGACAGGATTCAGTGGGCAAAAAGGACAAAATCATGTAATAACTCTTGATTTAAAATTAATTGCTGATGTTGCTCTAGTAGGTTTTCCCAATGCCGGTAAAAGTACTCTTTTAACATCAGTATCAAATGCTAGACCAAAAATTGCTGACTACCCTTGTAAGTCTCATGACTACTTCTCTTTTTTATCGAGCTCTAATAATTATGAACATAAAAAATTTACTTTTATTTTATTTTTTCAGTTACAACAATTAGACCTAATTTAGGTATCATGAATTATCCCGACCTAAGAAAAATATCTGTAGCTGATTTACCGGGACTTATTGAAGGAGCTCACGTTAATATTGGGATGGGTCACAAATTCCTAAAACACTTGGACAGAACAAAGCTACTTGTTTTTATTGTTGATGTCCAAGGGTTCCGTTTATCACCTCGACACAGTTATCGTGACTGCATCGAGACAGTTTTTCTGCTGAATAAAGAGATAGAACTTTACAATGCAGATTTGCTAGATAGACACGCTATTCTTTTAGTTAATAAAATGGACACTCAAGATGCTGATAAAAAATTCAAAGAAATAGAAGCAATGTTACGAGATCTAAATACAGTAGCACGCGAGATTCCTGAAGAAATAAGGCCTGATAGAATAATTGAATTCGATGAAATTCTTTCGACGTCATTGGTTACTAACAGAAAAGAACAATCTGCGATAATTAAAGAACGAATACGGTTTCACCTTGATAGAATAGCCAAAATTGAAGTTCAGCGAAATGAAGAGATACGCGCTGAATTAGAGTTGTATGAAAAACTTAAATCTGAATCACGAACACATGCCCCAACGATGGTTTAGTTTTACGATATGCAAAAAAGTTATTTAATATGTATATACTTTTTATTACTGAATAATTTTATAATTATTATTTTTTAAAATAAAAAAACTATTTACATTATTTACATTTAATAAGAAATAATTTTTTAAGGATATAACTCTTTAGTCTTCAAATGAGTGCATTTAATGTCTAGCTCTGCAACTAAATGCGTCCAATCTTCACCAAGCGGTACTCTAGCTTGAATATCAGCTTTTTCAATTTCCACAGGATCTCGAAGTACTCCAGCATTTACATTCCATCGTTCAACTCCGTTCCAAGCGATCATTATACCATTATCAGTACACAGTTGAGGAGGAGGACGTACTAAGCGATAATCCATTTCATCACAAATTAATCCTAATGCTTTAGCTATGAAATTATTACTAGCAACTCCCCCTGATACAACCTGCAATAATTGTGCCAAATTACAATTTGATTTATTGAATAATCAATAAATTAAATACTGGTTGACAATAATTCATTATACGATTAATGATACTATACCAGAGTGCGTTTATCCTCAGGAATAAATTTTTTCTGATCCAAAAACCTCATAGCTCGCTTCGTTTTCATTGCAATTTGTTTAGTAATAGCCAATTGAAATCCAGCACAGAGGTTTTCAACATCTGGAATCACTCCATCACCTATTATTTTACTTTTTAATTCCTGGTGTTTGATGTGAGTTATAACAGAATTTTTCAGTCCAGCAAAACTAAAATTGCAGTCACGATAACGGGCCATGGATACTGGAAATTCAAATTGTGATGGATTTGTGGCTTTACTTGCAGCTAATTCGATTGCTTGGCCTCCATTTTTACCACAGTACTCTGGTATATTCATCAATTTTAGTCTTCGTGCTGTCTAAAAGCATTGTTAGTCAATGAAAAAATTATAAGTAAGTAAATTTTAAATCCTCTGATAATTTTCAGAGGACAATACATAAAAAATGAATTTTCTTTATAGAATAAAATAATTTGTGATAAATACCTTATCTAATGCTTCACCAGGAGCATCATCAAGTGTATTGCCAATAACAAAAAAATCAGTAACACTTTTTACCAGTGCTAGTAAGCAATGTCCTCCTGATACTAATAAAACCAAAAATGGAAAATCTACCTACATTAACAACTTTGATTTATTTTTTTTTTTTAATTATTTTAATTATATTTAATTAATTAATATACCTTTTCAATCATTCTAGCTGTCAAAGCATGTGCTTCCATATGATGAATAGGAATAAACGGTTTATTTCCTATTTTTGACAAATACTTCCCAAAATTTCTGCCAATCATCAGTGACAAAACTAAACCTGGTTTCATGGTTGTAGCTATTGCATCAATGTCTCTCAATTTTAATCCAGCAGTTCTCAATGCTTTTTCACAGACATCTGTAATATTCTCTCTGTGCATTTGTCTTGCTACCGGAGGAATTATTCCTCCATATCTGCAAATATATTTAAATTAATAAATAAATTAAACAAATAACTTCTATACAATGATACAGAAAGATGTATACATCCGAAAATTTTTTTATTTAAAATAAAATTAAACATTAGATAATTTCTTAAAAATTTTTATAACATTATTCTCTCAATAATGTTTACATTTTTTCGATGACATTAAAGTTAACAGTCACTTTACTATTTTTTAATTTTTTTTAACAAAAAAATTTATTCCGAAAAATTATTTTAAAAAAATTACATTTTTTTTTTCTTATTTTTTTCTTCCGTAATTTATTTGTTACTAAATCTTAAAAATTATCAGCTATCTGCTAAATTAACTTTCATATTTTTAGATAAAATAAAAAATTTAAGAATGCATACTACTTAATTTTAGTATTGATAATTATTATGATACTGAAATCAGTAGACATCTAAAAAAAAGAAATTTTTCAAAATTTTTTATCGATAAAATTTCAATTGAACAATTAAAAAAAAAAAAAATATCACATGTTAAAAACTTGAAAAACTATAAGTGCAATTTTTTATAAATATCTTTTTAGTTGTAATTTAATTAAAAAAAAAAAAATCAAAAATTTTTAGACGTCTGCTAACTTCAGTGTCATAATTTTTATAACATATCAATTATGATAAAAAAAAAATATTTTTGAAAATTTGCACTCATAATTTTTTTTTAATTTCTCTATGTGGAATTTTTTTTCGGAGTTTTTTCATAATAATTTAATTGCTACAAAAATCCAAAAAATTAACAGATATCTGTTAATTTCAGTATCATATAATTAATAAATTTTTATTTAACAATAATTTACTTTAAATGGACATCAAGTTGTGAATGTAAAGCATCACCTAAAATATTTCCATCACCATCAACAATTGCAATACCTGTCTCATCACAACTTGTTTCAATTCCTAAAATTTTAACTGGTCTACCCAAATTACTATTAGATAACTTTCTATTAAAACAATAAAAACACTTATTTAAAAAACTATTAAATTTAATTAATTTCATTTTATCAAACAAACAACAAAAACAAAAACAAAAACGGAGTAAAATATTTGTAATCTCACACACGTGTGAATTATGTTCTTTGTTTAAATACATAACTTATCATAGGGTTATGTTACGCCGACGCATTCAATTGAGTTTCAGAGTTGTTTATTACAGTGAGTACAAATAGTTAGTAAGTGACAAAAAATTTAAATCTTATTTTTATTTGTTAAAAATATAAAATAAATACCGATGAAAAGAAGGAAAAATAGGATGCCGACGGCATCAGTTTCAATAAAGACAAGTCCATTGGTCTCCAATCCATCATTAGCAATAGCAACGGCAGCTGCAGCCGCTGTTGAAGTAGTTACAACAACAACAACAACAACATCAACAGTACCATCTCAGAATGCAAACTGCGAGCCATTGAGATTAACTCATCTCAAACCATCATTTAATAATCACGAATTAGCATTAGCAGCAAGGCAAGATTTATGGCATAAATTTATTATCTTTGACGTGGGTGATTACTCCAAAGAGATTATTTTGGATTCAGTATTATTAACGTGTCAGCCAGAAGTAATTCTGGCTTTAAAATACCAAGTTGATAGTACTAAAAAAGCAACTTTTTTAGCTAAATGTACTATTGCTACAATAGATACTCTTGTTAAGCAAGGATTGATGATAAGATTACCTGATGATAATATTTTAAAACTGGACATTGTTTTAGGTTTTGTAAATAATCATGAGCTACCGCTAAATTTACATCGTATAATTGTTGATGTTTTGAATATACGATGGGATGGTTCTAAAAAAATACTTAATCTTGAAAACTTTCATCATGACAAGCAGTTTGGTTCACTTTATTGTCCACTATCATCATCCAGTGTACTTATTTTTGTATTTAAATGTTGTAAAATGCGGATGGGTAATTTACGAGACAATAAATTACAGATACGTGAATTAAATTTGCGTAACAATGGTTTACTTGGAATACTATTATATGAAAAGCTATTTGGATTTACTCTAACGAAATTAGATTTAAGTCACAATAAAATAGAAAATATTGATTATTTAAGATATTTTTCAGAATTTAAAATAACAGAATTGTGGCTGGATGGTAATCCATTCTGCAAGCAATTTAAAAAGCCTGAAGATTATATTCAAGCTGTTAAGTATGTATTTCCTCATATACAGAGATTGGATGGTGTAATAATAGGCGTTAAACAACAATTAATGCCGCCGTATCATCCATATTTTTTAAATGATGAATCTAGAATAACTCTCGTGCGTCAGTTTATTCAGCATTACTTTACTCTGTTTGATCAAAAAGACCGGACTGACTTAAATGGGATTTACGAGTCTGATGCTTTTTTCTCAGCAACATTTGGAGACATTGCTAATCCGCGACACAGACAGCTTACTAAAATTATTAATATCAACAGGAATCTATTGAAGGTTGTTGACTACTCAAGATGCTACAAATATTTGCTGAGTGGTGCTGGGGAAATAATTGATAGCTTAAGGCGTCTACCGCCTACGTATCATAATTACAAAAATTTTACAGTCGATATTCTTCACCAGGGAGACAATCATCTGGCAGTCAATATTCAGGGACCATTTTACTACCGTGAATTTCCAATTTCACTCTACTTCAGTCGTACATTTATTATTGTAGAAAAAGACGACCGGGAATTCAGAATCGTCAATGATCAGTATCACATTCAAAGTGGAAATGCAACGATGATGGAAAATAACCAGAATAATACTGGATTGAATGTTATACCAAATTTCAATCCTACTTATTTAGGAGAAGGCGAAAAAAATGATCTGGTTAAATTTTTGTCGAATGTTAGTACAATGAATATGGAATATTGTCGTGAATTTCTCCAACAGTCAGATTGGAATTTACGTGATGCGATTAGTAAATTTATGAAATCTTATACAGTAAATGATATACCTCGGAAAGCATTTGGATCAAGGCGTTGAAAATTAATTTTCGTCATTTTATTAATAATTATTTTTTAATAAAACAATATACATGTATAAATATTTTCATTTCGATAATTAAACAAATAAACAATCAAATAATGAATTTATAGTTACTCTATACTTATTTTTATTCAACATCCTTGTTGTATATTTAATAACATTATACTTTTAGTTATATGAGGAATTGTATTGACGTTTGAATTCACTCCTAATTCAAATACTTTTTGCAACAGAGGCAATGCATGCTCTGTAAATAAAATTAATATTTAATTTGATGAAATATATTTAAGTTGTTTTATTATTTTTATAGATGGGGGGGGGGGGGAGCATTTCTATAGAGAATTTCTTTACATTTTATGAAAACATACATTAAAAAAAAATCCTTCTTTTGAAAATCTCTCACACGAAACAATCGATTACAATGGACCTTCTTTATATCGTAAATTTTTCAAGCGATACTTCTCTCTCAGAAATAATAGCTCGATATTTTACTGAATTTATGTGTATTCTTTTTTTATTAAAACAATAAAAAATATAAAGTTTTTTGGAACCTCAAAATATGATCGTCCGATGAAAACTAGATTTAAAAAAATATTTTATAGATGTTATAATTATTAATAATTACAACCTTGTATTTTTGATTAATAAAAAAAAGAATACACAGGAATTTAGCAAAATATCGAGTTTTTGTTTCTGAGAGATGTATCGCTTGAAAAATTTACGATATAAAGAAGTTCCATTGTAATCTATTGTTTCCTGAGAGATTTTCAAAAGAAGGATTTTTTAAAATTTATTTGTTTTCATTTTAGAGTTTTATACTGAGAGTATTTTTAAAATAAAGATTTCTCCTGAGGGATTATTATAAAATGTAGAGAAATTCTCTGTAGAGTGCTCCCCACCGATTTTTATCAGTAAATAAAAAAAATTTTAAATTACCTTGCATGCAGAGAACAACATCAGGAAGTCTATCAAGTGCTGACATTAATACATCAGACCTAGGACTGTCAAGGCATCGTTGGAATGCTGATAATATCGTAAGATTGAGTGTTGGTTTATGTTTAAGTGCTTTTGCAAGTAATGAATGAGCTAGACTTCTTATATTTCCTTGCGGTGACACCAATAATTCAGTTAGACTATCAGTTACGTAATCAAATATCGAAGGCTTTCGTGATGACATTTGTTCTATTTCTAGTAGAGCCGTCATAACATCTACAATAAAAATATTTATGACCATAAAGTCCAAGTACAGAATTTGATGATAACTACCAAGATTATAAATTAATAAAATTAACTTACCTTCGCCTTGAATTTTGCTCAACGATCCAATTATGAAATGCCAGTTATGAGGTATGGTGTTATCCTTTTGATTGACATTAGGTGGTCCAGCCAAAAATATTTCTTCACCGTTAGTCCCTTCTCTAGGTCCGGGTATCGCAGCAATTAATGCTCTTAAACTAACCACTCCAGAGTAGTAAGCTTGAAGTTCACGTAGCAAGTAGACACGACTGTGAAGATACTTTAGAGCGCGTTGAGCGTCATGTGAAATATAAGCTTGTAATAATGCAACAAACCTATTTAAAAGAGTTATTAAATGATGGTGATCTTTGTAGTTTCCATAATTCTGGAAACACTGGAAGTAATTTTCTAAAGTATTTTCCAGGGCAGTTTGATGCTCTTCATTGAATAGATAAGGCTGAAGAAGTTCTAAAAGTCCCATGACTTGAATGAATAAATTAAGATGATGTCCTGTACGGAAATCAATCATATCTAAATGTGATCTGCCTGTGAGTGATGACGCGAGCATGGGTAACTGTCGTAGTACCAAAATCGGATGTACTGCTGCCATTTTTCTCGCACACAGTTCAAACTCTTGAGACTTTGAAATCCAGGATTTTTGTCTCGGAGTTGCTGCTAACGCAGTCAGCAATGAATGACTCATACAATCCAATACCGAGCCCGTCCAATCGGTGATTTTAGCACTGGCAACAAATTTTTTAGCTTGAAATTGATTTAAAAAGCATATTACCTTTGGTATCTTCATATACATGTGCAAGAGAAATTGATGAGCCATATCTGATTCAACCGTACTTGAGTTATCAACCATACGGTCTGCTAAATACTTAACAACGTCAGATATCCGCTTTTCTTTAGTAGATAGACAATGTTGAAGTAAGTCAAGTCGCAATTCCATTTGTGTTAACGCAGCATTCCTACCCTGTCGATCATGAACAACAACAGCCTCGGCTACGACATAAGCCACTAACGTTAAAAGCTGTTGCGGAGTCAACAATAAAATATCTTCTGGAACATAGTGTTTTGGAGTAAATTTATCACGACCTTGCCATAGCTTTGGATTACATGTCAAGGCCCAAAGAAAATCTAGAACCGCAGTTGGTTCGTTCTCACTTTCAGGATTTATGGAGGGGGTTTAGTTAATGTAAGGAGGAAATAACATCACCTGAATTCATACCGCAACTGATCGAGTTGTTTTACAGCTACACAAATAAAAACACACTCCCTTTATTTGCCAATTTATGTTTTCCTTTTTTTTTTCTTGTTTTTCATTGCCTTGATGTAAAGCTTTCATTACCACCTGCTTCTCGCTGTATTATTGAATTAAGAAAAGACTTCAATTTTATGTAAATTACAGTTATAACTGCTGAATTTAAAGTCGATAAAGTTTCATTTATTCTGAAAAATTAAAGTTTTACACTGACAAAAAGAAAAATTACTGGGCTCATAAAAATTTCATGGCTCGAGAATTTATTAAAGGAAATCATTTAATTTATTAATTTTCTTGACAAAAAAATTTCTATATTTTTCTTCATTATGGTAAGTAAAGATAAAAATAGTTTTCTTTGAATGAATTAAAAACTATTTCGATCAATTTTTTCAACAAAAAAATATATTCTTGATAATTACTTTAATAAATATACTTAATTGTATAAAGAAAATTTTTTTACAAGAAGTACTTTTTTTTCTCAGTGTAAAATAAGTGGTAATAGAAACTTTAATACGCTGATAAAAAAATTAACTTGATTTAATAAAAAAAAAAATTGTAAACAAAGAAAATAGTTTTGAAGAATTTCAATATTTTTATTGGGAAAAAAAAAAAAAAAAAAAAAAAAAAAAAAAAAAACAAGTAAAATTTACTAAAAACCAAGAAAATTTTTTAGTTCATTAAATTTTTTGCTCCATTCAAAATATTTAAATTCTTCATAATTATTGTATTGGTTCAAAATTTTTGTTATTAAATCAAATTCAATTTTTTATCAATGTAATTAAATAAAAACTGAACTTGACCTTTTTTCAGCTATAAAAAATCAAAAAACGGATCTTCAGTGAAATAATAGCAGAAATAAATTCAATTTCCGAAAAAATTAAATTTTATAAAGGTTTTTTAATTTAAAAATTCCTCAAAACGAAATATCGACTTTTAAACAAATTGAATGTCTTACATTAATTTTTCGACACTTTAAAATACATTAAAAAAAAATAAGAATAAGTCCATTTTTTATGCCTGAAAAAAGGTTGATCCCACTTTTTTATAATTACTAAAACTTTCAACGAAGTCTTTTCTTGTACAAACTTTCGCTATCCCGTAAAAGAGAAAAAAAAAAAAAAAAAAAACAGTGAAAATTCAAAACAAACCCAAGCCAAAAAAAGGTGATTACCCAATTGAATTGATCATGACTAATGACTAATGACTACCATATAAAACGGAAAAGCTGACAAAAAAAATCTGGCTAATATATAAAACAACATCTACAGCAACACAAATAATTCATCACTCTTGGGTAACAACTTCTTACTTCATTTGCCTTGTAACTTTCCAGCTTCGCAAATGGGGTCGCCGAGGAATTTGTACCTTCCGGAGAATCATTGACCTCAGAATGTTTGCCCAGTAGGTCTGTGGGCTCTATCGAGCGCGTTTGACGAGAAATAGTGACATCCTATCGATGGATGTTTTTTAATTAAATTATTTTGTTATAACTTATTGTAAAACCCTTTTAAGCTTCACTCTATATGATTTAATGGTTCTTCCTTCTCCTCAACTAATTTCTTTTTTTTTTATTTAATTGTAAATATAATATATTATTACCACACCAAAGCATTAGTCGTAATGCAATTGGATTAAATTAATCGGATTAAAATCGGTAAATAAAGATGAATTAATTTTGTAATGATTAAACATTCATGCTGACGAATGCAATTAATCGCATGCAATGAAGGTGTACAATTATCGTGATAAAGATCAAGAGAAAGTGCGACTTACTTTAGTGACCCTTGGAGAAGACTCAGACCCTGATTCCTTCACGCTATTATTTTTCTAAAACATTAATCAAGGCTATCATTAGTCCACAATTGATTTAAAGTTATATTATGGAGAATTTCAAAAAGAGCAAGATATTGTAAAATATGATAATGTCAGTAGCATAATTTCTACATAAGTACATATTTACTCCATCTATTTGATTATATTAATATACATATTTATGTTAACTTAGCCTTAATAATAGCTTGTCAATAACTGAGATCGAAGCCTTTGACTTAAATGTAAATAATGGACAAACATCCATCAATTACCACTCGCAACATTAAAGACTAGAGACTAAATAAAAATTACCAATTGCGCAAGTTTAGCCTTGAATTCTGGAGGATAATTATCGCTATCGTCAATCTCTCGGTCCACTTTTAAGATTATCGAAGCTTTATTGAAAACTTTCTTCCCTCGCGGCCGTGATGTTGTTGATACGGGATCATTAGAGGAGATTTCATTACTAATAGTTGTAGCTGCTGGCGTTGTTGTTGTTGTTGTTGTTGGATTGGTAGTTGTGGTCAGTAGATCTACTGTACTGTTCTTCGCATATGGCCGTCGATTCAATGTCCATCCAGATGGTGAGCGAGCTGAGGGGGCTGAACTCGGAATAGGTGACGGCGTGGTAGTAGTTACAGGATTAGGCGTAGATGTGGCAAATTTTCTGCCGCGAAAACCCAGGCCTCGATTGAAGTAATCTTCCTTGGGCGGTATTTTCGGTGCTAATTTTGATGCACGACGAATACTCGGTGACTCTGTTGGTGGTTGCAGTGTCGAAGGAGATAAAGTTGTTGCTGCAAAAAATTATTTAACTAAGTAAATACTAGTCATTATGTGACTGTCGAGAATTATAAATTTTAAATAAGAAATGATAATGATGATTTTTTGATATTTTTAATCACAATATACGTATTTTGGGTATTTTTAAAATATACTTTTACCAATAATTTAATAAACAATATGACGGAACAAATTTATAGAATCAACAAAGTTTAAAGGCACACCTCCTTTGAACTACCTCTTTCCACCACAAGCTACTTGGAGAAATCGTTTTTAGTAACTGTAACAAGGTTTTGGGAAGAACTTTACGCGAAATTGTAAATTCGAGTAGCTTGCAAGCCTTTAAAAAAGAAGTTTTCAATTACTTATTAAATATTGATAATTAAAACGACGTCAAATAAATCACAAATTTGAGCTTAATTACTTTAAAGATCGAAGATTAAAATATGGATAAAATCAGTGCAATTGCAGATTTATTATGTTGAGTTATCTGATTTGATGACATCAAAATATTTATTTTTAAATTATTATTTTCTATATTAAATTCTAAGTTTAATTTGTTTTTATCATGTTTATATACGAATTATTTAAATTAATTTTTATGCAATACTATTTTATGTACTCACAGAAACAGAAATTGTTTTCTTGTGAAAATTGTTATACTATGTAATAGAAATTGCCATTTGGCCTGTGCCTTGGCATCAATAAACAAAATCTATAAATCTATAAAACTGCTCCAAAAACTTGATGATAGTCGAAAAATATATAAAGTTGTAAATTCAAGTCAATTCCTATCTGATGATACCAATTTTAATTATAAAAATTCCTTTTAAATTAAAAACAGGTCCGTCAAAATTTTTCTTATTTTTTTATTTATTTAGATGATAAATTGACTGTCGCTGAAAAAAATATCCAACTATGACAGGGGATAAATTCAATTTACGATTTTTCTGATGACACCAAATTTTACTATAGAAACCTATTTTTTAATAAAAATATACCCATCACAAAATTTTTCTTGATTGAAAAATTTTTCATCTTGATTCAAGGCAATAAAATTCTTAAAAATTATTTTCTTGGTTCAAGAATTTTTCTCTTGATTCAAGTTAATTTTTTTTTTTTTCAGTGTATGAATTAAAATTTGACTTATAACGACACTGACATGTATAAAACAAGATTAAAAAGTAAACAAATTTGAATCTATTTATAACTACTCTGAAAACCTACAATAATAAATTAACTACCATATAAAATATTGAAAAGGCACAAATTCAGGTCAAAACCTTTCCAATAATACTAAATAATACTAAAAAAAAAAAACCTCCTATTTTATCATATAAATAGGCCGGAGTCAACATTTATTTATTCTTTTAATTATATTGATAATTAACTGATTAAAATTTCGTAAGAAATGAAATATAAAAATACCTTCTTCGAGCAAAGTAGTTGAAGAGTAAGTTGTCGAAGTGGCAAACTCTTTCGAAGATTCCGTAGATGATAAAACAGATTGTTTAGTTTGTGAACTAGAACGAGATCTCGATGACCCAGTGCCAAGATAATTTGATTTCACAAGTTTTACTTTATCGGAAATTCTTCCGCGTCGATCCAGTTTATTTTTATCTGACGCAACATCACGAGACCGCGCTTCTACTTGAAACTTGTCAGACGTTTCACTTCTTGGCTCTGGACTTCGCCCACGACTTCGCCTACCCGACCCAGAAGTTGACTCCAAACTTTTTGAAGATTTTCGGGGCTTTATTTCTTCCGGGTTACGTTTCGAATCCTCAAATTCGTCAAGTGAATTCCCATCAATTCCATCAACTTTTTTACTAGTAATTCTTTTGCTTCCGCGCCCAAGATTTGGCAAAGTTTCACTTTTATCATTTACGAGACTTCTTGTTCTTCCATGAGCTTTTCTACTTTTTGACGCCGTGGTTGAAAGAGTTGGAACCTCAGTTGAAAAAGGAATCCCGACATTAACTTGATTGGAATTTGATAAATCGCTATCGTGTCTCCTAAAGTTTCTTTCAGTGCTACGTCTTACATCACTCTTAACAACTCTGCCAGATTGCGAAGAAAATCTGCTAGAGTCTTTGAAATCTGTCTGTGCTGTCGGTCGTATTTTTCTTCCACTTCTAGACCTCGGCATTTCAGTAGAATCGTCAATCGGGTCAACAGAATCGCTCCGTCTCTGAAATTCAGCTCGCGAATTTCGCGCTGGAAAATTTCTTTGACTTCTACTGCTTGCTTGCGTCACATCGGGAGCTTCCAGAAGTAATTCTTCATTTCTGTTGTTAGCTGAAGGCTCAGGCAAGTATCGTCGGTCCTCACTAGCTGCTCTAGATAAGTCACCTCTAAACGGTTTTCGCCGTCCCAGGTTTTGCGTAACTCCTTCAGTAATTGTGTTACTTTTTTCAGTTGTTTCAAGCATCGATCGTTGATTAATGGAAGCGTTCGCACGATTCGTGATTTTGGTACCCCGACGTAGTGACCTAGTTGTGCTGGTGAAAGGCTCGGGGGTGGTCTCGAGTCCTTCTGCGGCCTTGGTACTGAATCGAGAAACTCCTCGACTTCGCAAAGTCGTGTCTCGGGTTTCATCCTGAAAGCATGTTTAATATGTATTTATTTTAAATTTATTTGTGTTGAAACAATGTCAGCGGCTGAGCACTGAACTTATACAAATATTTAATGAGTAATTTCAAAATACTAATGGTAAATTTCTTTGAGATTTAAATTTAAATTCAAAGCACACTGATAACAATTAATTGTTAATAAATTTATTTAGTTATTTTTTTACTTTTAATAAAAAATTTTTCAGGAGGAAACAATTTTTAGACATTTCTTATAAAATTTCGATAAATATAAGTTGATCATTAGTTTGACTTTATTTACATTAGTTATCAAATTTAGCAGCACTGTCTTTATTAATCATGCAAATAGCTACATATCGACGTAATTACATTTTTTTGAATGATTCAACAGTAATCTCTTGTTTGTTTTCACCTCTCAGTGTATTTATCTATATTTTTAAGTTGCAGTTGCTGCTACGTGATTTTTTTATGAACAAAAATTTACCGAAATAATTTTAACCATTGGCACTGATTTTTTGCAGCATTACTATAAAGTGCATAAATCAAAGAATATGTTGAATATAATTTATAATTATATTTACTTTAATAATATTTAAATTATTATTTCAAACAAAAAATGCCGATTATTTACAAAGCTCTGAGTTAAATTTTTAATCATAAGAATTAAATTTTGAATCATTCATAACTTTTTGAAATAATCCTTAAAGGGGTTTAAATTTTTATGAGCAAATAACTACACACAGAAAAAAAAATTAAACTCTCCAAAATTATTTTCTTGGTTCAAAACCCTGATACATATAATGAAATGTGAAGAAATATATGAAAAAGTAGGAGAAGAAGGAAAGAGTTTTTTAAATGAGTGGAAAAATTTAGAAAATGAAAAGATAGAAGAAAGACTAATGGGAAGAATAGACGGGAGAGCATGCACGGTCTTCAGAAAAATTGAAGAGATCCTAAGGGAAAAAACAGGATTGCGGAGTTTGGGGCAGGAAGGTCACCAGAACAACGACGTGCAAACAAGAGGAGAAAAGAAAAGAAAAGAAAAATAGAAAGATTAAATGGAAATTATATACAATTAATATACATATACAAAATATATAAAAACTTTGTAAGGGAAGAAAGTCGTGCAAATAAAACTAATTATTGTTATTATTTTCTTGGTTCAAGAATTTTTCTCTTTATTCAAATTAATTTTTTTTCAACTCATGACTAAATTAGTTAAAACTCAAAAATAAAAATTTTCACCTACTATTGAACCTCAGACACAAATGTCTTTAAAAAATACTTATTTACAATCAAATAATTTCTTTAAAGTCTCTAAAATAGAATTTTGACACTCATTATTTATTTAACAATCAAAATAAGTGTTTATTAACAACTAAAAAATATTTATTAAATCTCATATGATAAATGTATCAATAACTATTAAAAATCTATCTTATATCATGTGACATTAAAAAATCATTCATAAAAAATTTAATATCAACAAATTCTTCCATCAGTGCATCTTATTGAATCAAAATGATGAAACCTGTTATTATTACGACTATAACGATGGAACCATCTAATCGAATGATCCTTCTGGTGTCAAAGGCTTCAAGACCCGTGATCTATGCTAATCCGCAACAGAATAATGTTCTCACTAATTATAGACTCGAATAGTTGAGTTTTTAAAAAACAAGTTGGTTTTTTTGGGCGCGATCGTGCACGACAAAAATTATTGAAGCATTGATTAACTTTCTGACCAATGCAATCTCCGAGTAGGAAGAAGAGAAACGACGAGTATAATGGAGAGGAGGTTATCGAATTTCGTGCTACACTAACTTGTAATTTCTTAAAAAGCGAACCAAGCAAACAAGCCCACAAATTGACATCTCAGTTTTAGTAATTCGTTTTAAAAAACGTTCAAGTAATCAAATCTGTTGTAATAATTTATCTTCAATTGTTGATCTTTCGTTTCACACGATTAAACCTCTTTAGTCTCTTCACCTCTTCGATCAAATAATCTCATGATTCTATTTAACTTCACAGACATTTATCAACTATCCAATTATTCTTTTTTCATGACAAATAATGATTCGATCTCAATCGGCAAAAAAAAAATAGTAAGTCTGCTAAAAAAGCACTCGTAAGAGAAATTACTTTATTATTTTTTGTCGAGACTCTGAAGAATAATATACTTTTGGTATTTCGTAATACATGTCGTGATCATTAAATAGAATAGTTAGAACGCAATAGAACACCCAGAAGATTCCAGCAATTATCACGAACAACTTTGTATATTTCAAGGATCAAATGAAGATTCTAATTACCCCGTTGTTAAAGAGATATTCGTGCATGGAAATAAATGATTTTAATTAGATGCAGATCAAGAGTCCATGAGCGTGTGATGTGCGAGGTAAGTAAAGATTCATTTTAACAAAGCGTGTGAAATATAGATACAATAATAATTAATTATCTTTGTTAAATGCAAAAGAGATTTGATGTTAACAATTTATTAAAAAATTATTTTTTCTTTTATTTAATTTTTCTGCCAATTGATATATATCTAGGAGCAATTAAAAGTATTTTGTTATTGACCTATATGGGATTTAATGTGTATTATTAGCTGTCTTATGATAAATTATTAAAACAGTAAATTGCAAAATATTAATATAAAAGGAACACTAAGTGCCTGAAAACTTATTCAAGACCCCAATAACGAAGGCGTGGCCTTTTTAAGAAAGAAAAAGTCCTTTCACGTAAGAGCACATGTGACGATGTGTGATATACCATATTGTAAATTTATTTATCCACTCCAGTATGAAAATTAAATAACAAAAATCAAAAAATTGTTTATACAACCAACTACGTAACACAATTTTAATGTAAACATTTTTTTAATTTAAAAAAAAATGTTAATTTAATGATAACATTTATTGATGGAATTAATGTCACTAAACTTTCGCAACTAGATCAGCAACTGTCCATCAGTTATAAAAAAAATAAAAATGTTCTTTGGACTCAAGATCATCGACCGTCCTCGTAGATGTTGATCCTTTCGATTTCTAAAGAATTGCTTTAATAACTCACTGTTTACACTCCCATCAACTCTATATACATTAATTTACATGATTTATCCCCGATTGATGAAACGATTTATATACAAAAATTTATCTTTACTTTCTAATCAAAATAATTTCATCATTTTTTTTGTTTTAATTATATAACTATTTTTTTTTTGTTTAATGATAAATAAATCTCAAGAATCATACTGCGGCTTCGTGTCTTGTCATTATCTTATCTTATGTTATTTTATTAATAATTAAAGATTACTATACAATAATTATTTGTTTTCTCAGTAAATGCAAATATTTTTTAAGTTTTTTGCCAGGTGAAATCTATTACCGTTTCACTTTTAAACAAGTCCATCAATTTTCCATTCCACCACCCTTGATCGGTAATTATTAACGGAAGTTATTCGATGCTTGGTTAAACTTCCGTAGACTAAAGATTACGTTTATTGACAATCGAAAAATCAAATAAACACTCGTCATTATTAATTTAAATTTTTAAAATAAAATTCAATTACCCGTGCTTGAGTCTATAAATTATGATAATAATTTTCTCTATTAAATAAAAAAGTGACTAAAAAATATGAACAATATAACCGGTTGTGAGTCACGTGAGGTTTAAATTTAACCATCAAAGAATAATCGGCATGCGTGTAAGTGTATATTTATACTGCTCTTTCGATGCACTTAACCCGTTAAAAGAATAATGAACATTGTACAAGTATCCTCAATCCTACATCCACAATATTAGCAATGGTTGTTTGCTATCGTTGATGCAAGTGAGCACAGGTTAACATACGTTCAAGGTATTACTGCACTTGCAATGCCTTTTTACAGACAAAGTACCTGCGAAATAATTACGTCTCGCTGATGAATATCTACATATATTAATCCACATGTCTTTAATAACTATAAGTAAGAAGTTATATATTAAGAAATTACAGAAGAGTAGGACGAAGCGGATTTCGCAAATACCAGTGGCATCTAGTACAATCGTAATAACTATTAATTATTCTCGAGCCAACGTGTACATACTCTATTTTATGATGGATGGAAAGCACGTTACACTATCTAAAGTTGTCGATTTTATTGCACGTGTGTCAATCTTTACGCATCTATGATGTGCAATTTTTAAAGTTAAAAAATTTGAAAGTTAATTCTATTTTTTTTTTTTTTTTTTTCATCAAATAATAATAATAATAAATTTTAATACTGATTAAAAACATGTGTAAAACTCATCGCAATTAATTTTAGAGATCATACCAGTTAAGTCTCTTATTATATAACAAAATTTCTCACGGAAGATAAAATAATTGATAATTAATAAAATAAATTAATATAAAAACCAAATCTAAGTTGATCTACGAAGAAATTTACTACAAGTGGTTATTAATATTTATTAAGTTAAAAAAAAAAAAGATTTTTCAATGTTATGAAAGTTGTTTCCGTTTATTATTTTTAATTATTCGCGTTACATTGTAATTAAATAATTACAAATGTGTATAAGGTTTGAAATAAAAAATAAAATGAATGGGTTTCTAATGAATTCAGATTAAAATTAAAAAAAAATTATTTAATAAATCTACCGTCCTTGCACTCGATAGACATTACTATTTACGAGGACAGCAAGTATCTGAACTCTTTGTAATGCATTACGGTTTGATCCTTCATCGTTTAGTTCACTGAAACTGTTATAAAAGAGAGCGGATTTTTTTATTATGCAAATTTTTTTTTTATTGTAAGTTGTAACACAACATAACATTTTGATTGTAGATATTTGAATTGTTTCAGTGCTCAGAGCAAGTAATGATATTAATAGAAATAATAAAAGAAAACGAGAGCAAACAATGTAAGACTGTTAAGAATAATTTGAATAACTAAATGGCCATCATGCTCGTAATTTTGTGTTTAAGTATTTCGATATTTTTATTTACATAAAACAATTTGTGAATTTACAATATAATTTGATGAATAAATAAATTAAATTAAAAAAAAAACAAATGTATTTTTTTTTATCGAAAAATTAGAATTTTTTAAAAATAGTTTTTTTAATTATTTTAATTTTGATGAATGTGTGGCTGTTGAAAAAATTGTAAATATCATTTTTATGAGTAGAAATTTTGTGAACCACAAAACTAAAAAATTACCAAAACTTTTAAGTTAATTAAGCAGCTATAAAATTCTTATAATTTTTTAATTAAATTTTAAAGACCTTTCAAGAATTAATAACCAACAAGAAAAAAATAAACGATGTTCATAAATAAAAACAGCAATAACTGTAGAAATAGACCATAAGTACATCGGCAGAAATAATCAATCATAATATGGTTGCATAATTTAATGAAGAAGAAACTCTTAAACAAGGAAGTTATTTTATTAATCCAGAGTGTTGCATAGTATTGGTTCATAAGCTTAAAAATGTGCATATTATAGGTAAATATTTAATAGCAAATGAACGATAAATATTTAACTGAAATACAAGAAATGTAATCCTGTATCAGGATATACGGTAAACACAAAAGTGATACGATAAACTCGCGGAAAACCTGCTCTGTAATGCTCTCGTTTGTATGTAATGTATAACGAGTGCCGACACACCGATTGGAGTATTATATATATATATACGGCATATGGCATAGTCTACTTAACTTTCCACACAGATTAATAAACTCAAATAGACAATTGCTTCAACAGTAATACGTCATTTATGTGAGTGAAACATTTTAACGCTCTATGAAAGTCAATTTTTTATTACATTTTACACTTTTCTTTTATTATTGTAACTTTTTAGGAGCGTTAAATAAAGCATAAACCAGACAGTTGATTAATAAGCTAATGAGTCTATTCATTTGCGTTTAATCTATTATTTCCCGTAGATTATTGCACGGTTGTAAGTAAATAAGAGGTATTGCGTGCACGTGCCAAAAGGTTGTGTCCTGGTTATACAATAATATTAACTGTCACGTGTTATGATTTCAGCAATAAACACACTTTTAACTGTTAATTGTAAGTTTAAATATCCTCTTTACACTTACACTATAGAGAAAAAAATTTTTTTTTTTTGAAAAAATGGGCATTGTACACTGAGAAAAAAAAATATTTTTAGTCAATTAACAATTTCTTGGTTCAAGAAACTCGCTGTCGATTAAATATTCAATTATTATTAATTATTAATTTCTGGAGAAAAGAGCATCAATATTTATCTTTGGATAATAGATAAACCAAAGAATAGCTTTATTTAAATTAAGTAAAAATTATTTCAATCAATTTAACAATTTCTTGAGGTAAGAATATATATTCTTGAATATTTTCAAGAACATAAATTCTTGTATCAAGAAAATTTTCTTAATAAAAGTATTTTTTTTTTCTTACTATAGTGACAAGAAATTAATTTTTTGAAAAAATTTATTTATTAATTGAAGAAATAAAAATTTTTCTTTCTTGAGGTAAGAATATATATTCTTGAATATTTTCAAGAACATAAATTCTTGTATCAAGAAAATTTTCTTAATAAAAGTATTTTTTTTTTCTTACTATAGTGACAAGAAATTAATTTTTTGAAAAAATTTATTTATTAATTGAAGAAATAAAAATTTTTCTTATAATAATTTTTTTGTGGAAAAAAAAGTTTTCTAGATTTGGGGAAAAAAACAACTTGCGAATTTTCATCCAAAATTGTTTTTTTCCAAATCTAGAAAACTTTTTTTCAACAAAAAAATTACTGTAGGAAAAGTTTTGATTTCTTTAACTAAGAAATAAAATTGTTGAAAATTAAAAAAAAAATTAATTTTTTGTCACAATAAATACCCATTTTTTTTTTTTTTTTTTTGCAATTTTGCCATAAATTATTTTTATTTTTACATATTATTCAAGCTAATAAATCAAAAGATTTTATTATTGTTAATTTAGTCCCGACACAGTAAAACTTGGAAATAAATTTTATTGCAGAAATTGCGGTCAAGATGTTAGAGAAATATTTTAAAAAATGATAATGTGTAAATGTAAATAATGAGAGATAAAAATAAAATATGAAATAGAGAAAGCTATTGGCGCTATTGGATAAGCTAAACTGAATAGAATAGTTGATAGGTCGATAATAACCGGAGAAAAATGACAGTGCAAATACATATACGGTCCAATGCTTTGGTGGTTAGCTGTTAGTTATTACATGATAATTATGATTGTGATGTACACTGATAGAATGCCTGTCAATTTATGCATCAGGAAAAAGAGACTGTCTGCATAGACAGATAAACAGACAGACATAGTTAAATGATTGTGATTGTAATTTTATAAATGATAAATATAAATATTTCAAACGATTTACTATTATTTTTCTAAAATAGTAATCATCCGACTGCTTATCCAAGCATACTTATATTGCTTCCGTTCCTTTAATTAGACGCACGCATCTTAAATTATGCAATGTCTAAAAAATATATTAGTTTCCGCTAGTCAATGTCTTTCATTATAAAATAATAAAAGACATTATAGCAACAATGACAATAGTAGTACAGTAAGTAATAACAATAACAATATAATAAATGTGATGATGAGATTTAATTTAAATGTTTTAAAATTTAAAATTAATTAGCTGTTTTGCAATAAATATAAAGAGTTTATCTTTTAATTATAATTAAATATTATTTAACTTTTGAATAAATATAAAGTACTTACACGAGTGGCAGGTCCACGCAAGCAGTGACTCGTGACAAATAGCAGAGCCAACACGAGGGCTACCGCAAACCACGAAGACCTCCTCGCCATTCTATAAAATTATAAACATCGAATAAATGTCACTTTCGAAATAAATGGGGCCACTATAATTATTAACGACATTTAATTATTTTTTTTCCCTAATTTGCTATTCAATTTTTGTAGGTAAAAATTTTTATTAACTAGCGAGACCTTGGACTTGAGACGAATTTTATTTTTAACAAGGGATTCGTGACTTGGATGATTGTTAGAGAGAAAGGATCGAGATGAGTGCAGATAATAGAGTACACGAGGGACCGTTAGAGATTACTGTAATAGATTTATTCAATGATTCACTTCATTCAACAGCAAAAACCTGATCGACTTGTTTAAATTCAATTAAATACTTTGTTAATTTTTTTTTCTTTTATTGAAAGTAAATATTTGCTTAGCGATTGTTGAATTTTTTTTTAAGAAATTAATTAAGGACAAAGCAAAGATTATTAAATGTGAAAAAGTACTTTCACACATTTAAATGAGCTTGTAAATTTACAATAGTACTTAAAAATGTTTTTAATTAAAAAATATATTATTTACGTAAGTCGTTAAAAAGTCCATCTGGTAAAATAAGTCATATAGTCGTGAAAGTGGACTAGTGAGACCAATGAACGAACGAACGGTCAGTTAATCTCATTTATACATTTAATATTCCACAAGACCATGCTGTGCCTTGGAAACCAACAAACGTGCGCTCTTTTATATCTAAACCAGGATTTGAAATTTAAAATTTTTATTCAAGTGTCCTAAAAATTGTTTAAAATTTTCCACAAAAATAAAAAATATTTTTTTTCATAAAAATGAAAATTAGTCACATTTTTAACTAAAAATTTTAATTACCTTAATTAAATAAATTTAATCCAACTTCAACATATCACAGCTCACGAATTGACTATAAATAATAAATAAATAAATACACAGCACTAGAGGGTAAAATTTTTTAAAAAATCACATTGAATTGATTGAAAAAAAAAAAAATAATGAATTTTATTTTTCGAGTTTAAATATTTATTTGAATAATTTTATTTTTTCAGGGGTAAGAACTTGTCTTAAAACATTTTAGCCGGCTCAAAGTACTAGAGTAGTAAGTACGACAGCCTATGGTGTAGTGTCGAAGACAAATGGAACTCGATCGAATGGCTATGTCAAAAAACCGGGGCTGGGGCAGTAGCAACAGGCGAGGGAAAAGACAGAGATAAAAACGAAAAGAGAGAGAGAGAGAGTAAGTAAGCGAGTGGATAGGAGAAAAAGTTAAAAAAGTACGAGTGTGCTAAGAGACTGTGGCATTTTCCCTTTCGCTCGTATATATTGGACTTTAGTTGTTGCCCTACTACTACTACTACTACTACTACTACTGGAGATTGCCTGGAGTGGAGATCAACAGAATGCCCCCTACCATCTTATTCCAAGCGATCCTTAAGAGCTTTGGGGGATTGGAGGGCCGAGTGGGGTTTTTCAAGCCCAACTAAAGGCACAGGACCTCTACTCATATCAAGTTTGAATGTTACTCAGTACGTATCACTTTACTCAGCTTTTAGCCGGTGGTCATTCCTGATATTAACAGCGAGATTAGCCCACACGCCGTCTAGCACTCAGCTCCCGCCAATCAAATGAAATGATCGGCTCAAGTAAAACTGTAAATAAAACTCGAGAGTTTTTAACTGATGGATAACTCAATCACTCGAGCGAGACGATCCTTGACGTTAGAACGATGCTTTTTAAATTTGCTAGTATTTCACTAATAAATTTCTAATGTTCTTGGAAAAATATTCGAGGGATTTTTTTTTTATATTGATAATAAAATGAAATGTCTGTTGGCTAAATTGTTTACAAAATAAACGAATATTTAAGCAAAATATTGCAGTAATGATAATGTTAATATTATTTGGAAATAATTATGGTAAATCTTGGAAATTTGAAAAGTGACAGGATGTGTACGACGCTGGACGTTACGCGTCGCTAACACAGCTTTCCCTTGACATTCTCAACTGTAAGTAATAAGGTAAGAAATATACGTAATTGCAAACAAAAAACTCGGTCAAATAAAAGGAAAAATACTTTAAGTATTATGGTAATTATATTTAAGATGGGGAATAGGATTGAGAAGACGTCGAGATGCTTTGACGGGTAGCAATTTTAATGTGTCTGACTTGTGATGACTATTTTCACTTGGCGCAGAGACATCTTCACTCTACTTATTGACTTTGCAATAAGAGGACTTTATTGTAGCATTATTAAGTTCTTGGGAAAACTTTCAGAATGGAAATGAAGAAATTCAAGTGACACTATTATATTCATTGTCAATGTTGATATACCTTGAATTGTAAATAATATCCGTGTTCTTACTTGCTTAATTGTTGGTTAAGTTATTATTGCATACTTATTTCCTTTCATTAATTTATAAATAGGTTTTTACGTGTTTTATCAATTGAAAATCTTAATTGATTTATCTGAATTTATTAAAATTTACTCAAGTCAACAAAAAAACCCCTTCATCTTTGAATTAGTTTAAGAATTTTTTATAATATCACCTCTATAAAAATTTGTAATTTGATCTTTTCTTTTTCTTGATTCTCATTAGAATTTTTGATGAATATTGAAGTTATGGATGATAAATAATAGAAAGTGATATCGAATATGTCAAGTGGTCTTTTTCAAATTTTTACCAAATAACTCGTCAATAATAAAAAACAAAGTCTCATTTCGAAATAAAATAATAATAATACATAAGCAATTAGTTTTGCCCTAGTAAGGGATATAAGAAATGACATTATGAAACATATCTGTAAAAGTACTAAATGTATTACAATGGAATTGATTAATAAAGAACTTTTAAAATTGAAAATAATAAGAAAGTCTACTGTTCTTAATATAACTGTTATAAACATTTTTTCCACCTCAGAAATTTAACTGTAACTACCTAATTAATTAATTTTCTTTTTAACTTAACAGTTTTAAAAACTTACATCCTTTTTCTTTGATATCATAAGAATAATTTCTATGTACTATAAAAATAATTCATTTATAAAAGCATTTACATTTACGAAAATCGTTCCTTGAATTTTTGCTTTTTGAGGAAACATAATTTTAAAATAATAATTAATGCTTAGGTACTTCCTTCTTGAATAGAATTATGTTTTTTAACTTATTGCGATGAAAAGTGCCAATTATGGATAATTGAAACTTATTGGTTCAAATATCTAGTTCCCGTCTGATCTCAACGCTTGGAAGTCTAAAGAAGCTATATATAATTAGGGTGTGCCAAAATTCAACTTCCGTGATGGACCTCTTAAAATTGGAATTTTGAGTTTCGCTTTAAACAGGAGTTGTGTTTGGGCATTTCCTGACATATTTTGAGCGTAAGGGATTTATTTGATTTTCATGTAATTTTTTAACAGGAGTTTTGTTTGGACAAATTTTGAAATTTTTAAATTTCAGCAAAAATGCCTAAACAAAACTCCTGTTAAAAAATTCTATGATCGTCAAATAAATCCCTTACGCTCAAAATATGTCATAAAATGCCTTTTGAGCGTAAGGGATTTATTTGATTTTCATGTAATTTTTTAACAGGAGTTTTGTTTGGACAAATTTTGAAATTTTTAAATTTCAGCAAAAATGCCTAAACAAAACTCCTGTTAAAAAATTCTATGATCGTCAAATAAATCCCTTACGCTCAAAATATGTCATAAAATGCCCAAACACAACTCCTTTTAAAAGCGGAACTCAAAATTCCATTTTTAAGAGGTCCATCACGGAAGTTGAATTTTGGAACACCCTAATATATATATATATATATTTTTTTTTTTTTTTTTTTTTTTTTCAGTCAAAATACCTTTTAGGTATTGAGAAGAAATTTATTTCAAGTAATTATAAAAGATAATTATTTTAATTAGATTAAATTAATTATAATTAATTTTTACTCAATAAAACTGGTTGTTTATTCAAGTAATTGATCATAATTAAAAAAAAAATAAATTAAATGTTAATTAAAAATTTTTTTTCATCCTATAAAACTACTTAAAAATAAAGACAAACAAAATTGCTATCAATTATGTTTTGATTACATCATTGAATCTTTTTTTTTTTATTAACTCAATTATTGCCTTTACAATTAAAAACATTTAAGCCGATAGTTATTAGACATAACTATCAAAACTTCCAGTAGCAAATTATTAGATTGATGTATTTTTAGTTGTTTTTATCTCGTTAATAAAATCTGAACTATTTCACAAACAAAATAAAACTTTCAGGCTGGAAATTATCTTTACATTGTTTTTTTTACTTCTATCAATATTTTTATAACACAGTTATTTAAAGCGATAAATACTCCAAATTTTTTCATAAAAAGATTCGGTATAACAAAACGTACACCTGTAATATGTACTTGTAATTTAACGTAAAATATAAATCTATCAAAATAAGTCTATTAACCAATTACAACAAATTAAACTTTTATTAGGACTATTATCTATCGAAACTATTTTCTGCATGAGTGATTGAATAAAAAAATAAAGAACAAAACTGCAAATTACCAGAGCTCGCACATGTACATAATTTAGAAGATGCTTTCAATTGTGACCTGAAAAAAAAATACAGGTATTTTTGAAAAAGTCAGACTAAAAATAATATACGTGAATACAATGACGTCGGTATACTTACATTATTTATTTTTTTACAACGTCAATTATCGTGTCCAAATATAAATTTACTGTGTAAATAAATATACAAAAGACGTTTTTAGAGAGAAAACAAATTATCCATAGAATTCTATTTTATCAACAGCTTGTCTTAAAATCGTAATCCTTCGGGTTTCTTCGAGTAATCTCGTGGTTAAATGCCCGTTAGTTGTGAGCATTTAGTACATGTGTCTGAACTGTGACTGTAGTGACAGTTGTATACACTTACAGTGACACTTACATTAGATTATAAGTATAAATTATTCTACATTGTATATGTATTTATATTAGTTTGAGTACCGTTAGCTATTTAGCCATAAGTATAAAACGCGCACATTATTAAGCAAACTTTATCGCAACAATAATACTTAGATTTCTAGACTCTGTTAATTATACTTTAAAGGCCTGATCGTGATAACAAGTTAATGACTTTAACAATATCATGCTGACTAATTTTAACTATTGTCTTGTTACTTTACTTTCAATTATTGCCTTCAATCGAGTAATACTCATTTATAACCTCATAGGATTATTAAAATTTCATTTATTACCATAAATCTGTGATGTAAGTACTTTTTATTTATTAATATAATTATTTTAAAATCCTTTATTTATTTATATTAAAATTAAAATTAAAATTTTTAAAGATTTCAAGTATACGGTCATTATAATTATTGTAAGATTTGTAAACATAAGAACTATGTAAGTATAAATATTATAAATATTGAAGTGACCTCAATATCAAGGCCAAAAAAAGAGAGTTCTTTTTTTCATGCTTTATAATTTTATCGATTATATATTTTAATCATTAACATTAATCTTGAATAAAAAATGAAATTTATTATTTTATTTATATTATTAAATGATTATTATTATTATTATTGCTATTATTGTTATTTTTTTGTTCTTTCAGATAATAGATATCAGTGAGTATAATTACAAAGAAAATGGTTAAAAATGATGAACAACAAGCAGATAAATCAAGTGGAGATTATGACAACGAAGAACACGGTTTGTCACACGACTCAGAGTACGATGACGATCTTGGTGTACCAGATTCATTGGAAATCTCGGTAACAGTCAACGACCGTCAGTCTTTAAACGATAAATCTCTAGATGATGATAACAATATAAACAAAGAAGGAAGAGTACAACTAAACGTATTGCCGTTTAATGCAATCCATGCACCGGCTGTTAAATTTAAATCGCAAAAACATAACGTGTTTATACCAGGAGAAGATATACACGTGAGAATAATTGACAATGAACGGAGCGTAACCACTCATTTATTAAACCCGAATCTATATACTATTGAATTTAGGCACGGACCATTCGTTTGGACTGTTAAAAAACGGTATAAGCACATACAAAATTTACACAATCAATTGAAAATATTTCGTGCGAGCCTCAATATTCCTTTTCCTACGAAAAGTCACAGGAGTAGAAGAAACAGTTTAAAAAATTTAGACGACAATAAAGTTAAAAATAAACCCAGAGGTGCTTTACCAAGGTTTTTATTTTATTAGTTATTTTTTTATTTTTATTTATTTTACGTAATTAAATTTTTTTATTTTTTTATTATAATTTTTTTTATGATAGATTTCCAAATAAACCAGACGGTTTAGTGCCTTACGAGTGCCTTGAACACCGAATGAAAGTATTGGAAGAGTACTTGAGCAACTTATTGAAAATAGAAATTTATAAACGGCGTCCTGAAACTATTAGTTTTATGGAATTATCCCATCTATCTTTTATTGGGGACTTAGGTGATAAGGGCAAAGAGTCAATAATATTAAAACGTACGGGTTCGAGTTCAAAAGCCGGTTGTATTTTTTGTGGTCTTTTAAAAAGTATAAGTTGTGTTCACTGTAGTCATTTTTGTACATCACTTTGCGGTAAATGGCATTCACGTCATTTTGTTGTTAAAGATACATTTATCGCTTACATAAGACCTAAAGACGGTAGAATACAGTCTGTAATTTTGATGGATAATTGTTTTGAAGTCAGCTCTGGATTGTATGCCACTGGCTCACGAAATGGTTTGCAAATTATTAATTCAAGTCGGCATATTGTTATTGAGTGTTGGACGCGAAGAAAAGCTAAAGAGTGGCTTGAGTTTATTCAAAACGTTGCTAATAATCAAGGTATATATTTTAAATAATTAATTAAGGGGATCCTAAAATTTAAGCTATTTTAAAAATTTTATTTCTATATGAAGGTAATAAATAATGTTTTCAAATTTTTATTGCACTTATTCTATTACTTATCAACTACACAAAAATGAAAATCAAAACAAAAAAAAATTGTTTTAAATTAGAAAAATGGCGCTGAAGTTCCCCTCTCCAAAAAAAAATGGACCTGACTGGTGTGCGTCGATTGATCTCTTCCTCTTTGTATAAGTATAAGTATAGTTATTGTCGGAACAAGAATGAAAAAAAAAAAAATATTTGACAACATGGCGCGTAGTTAAAAGTACGAATCTGAAATTCGTTTTCAAAAAATTCTTTTCAATCGACGCACACCAGTCAGGTCCATTTTTTCATTTTTTTTTTTTTTTTGGAGAGGGGAACTTCAGCGCCATTTTTCTAATTTAAAACAATTTTTTTTTGTTTTGATTTTCATTTTCGTGTGGTTGATAAGCAATAGAATAAGTGTAATAAAAATTTGAAAGCATTAGTCATTACCTTCATATAGAAATAAAATTTATAAAAATAGCTTAAATTTTAGGCCGCTAGACCACCTGGTCCTCTTAAATAAATTTTATTTTATTTAATCAACTAATTTAATTTTTTTAGGCAAATGTTTTATTCAACAAAATCCTCACCGATCATTTGCGCCATATCGTTCACCAACACCCGCCACCTGGTTTATCGACGGTTCCACTTATATGTCAGCGGTTGCAGACGCGTTAGAAAGTGCAAAAGAAGAGATTTTTATCGCTGACTGGTGGATATCACCCGAGATTTATATGAAGAGGCCGATGATTGACGGAGATTATTGGCGATTAGATAAAATTTTACAGCGTAAAGCTACCTCGGGTGTTAAAATTTTTGTTATGATCTACAAAGAAGTTGAATTAGCTTTAGGCATAAATAGTTATTACAGTAAACAGCGATTAGTTTCTCTGTGTCCAGAAAATATTAAAGTATTTAGGCATCCAGATCATGCGAGAGTTGGAGTAATTTTGTGGGCTCACCACGAAAAAATAGTTGTGGTAGATCAGAAGCTGGCATTTGTCGGTGGCATTGACCTCTGTTACGGACGCTGGGATAATAATGAGCACAGGTTAACTGATTTGGGTTCAGTTCATCAATCAAGTATCTACATCCCTACGAAAGGAAGAATAACTACCACCAGTAGCAGGCGTGCTGTTGAAATGAGAACTAACAAGCATGCAGTGCTTCCTCTGGCAATAGCTACTAATACAATCGCAATGGCCATTACCGGGTTTCTTCCAATAATTCCAAAGCCCGGTAAAACTAATACATCTCCACGATCTCTTCACAGCGTAAAAATTGTTAACCCGGTTTTTTTATCACCGCCAGATGATGCAAACACCGAACGACTGAAATGCAACACGCCAGATCCTCAGAAAAAAAATATACTGGACATGGCCAAGACGACGGTGGATCGAGTTAAGCAGAATGTCAAAATAAAGAGACAAGAACTGATAAATATGGTTTATAATCCACATGAATTAGATAATAGCAGTGATGATGAAGATCAAGTAGACAATGTGGTAATTCACGAACCTGTCGATTTAGAGGGAGTTTTTAAAAACAATGCAGACATTATGTCTGGACTTCCTGGTGCAGCTAAATTGTGGCTAGGTAAAGATTACACTAATTTTATAGTCAAAGATTTTGACAACCTCGAGAGCCCATATCAAGATCTCGTTGATAGAAGCACGACTCCACGTATGCCTTGGCATGATATAGGTGTCTTGGTTCAAGGTGCTTCTGCACGTGATATCGCGCGACATTTTATCCAACGTTGGAATGCTATTAAAGTAGAAAAAGCTAAATTAAATCCAGCTTATCCATTTTTGCTGCCAAAATCTTATAAAGACTGCTCTAGTAATGCTCCTTTTATACTCAGTAATTCCATACATACCCATGTTAAGTGTCAAGTACTGCGATCGGTGAGTTCTTGGTCAGCTGGATTCCTCGAATCAGACACTACGGAACAGAGCATACACGAAGCTTATATTGAAGCAATAACTAATTCTGAAAAATTTATTTATATAGAAAATCAGTTTTTTATAACTCTAGCAACTATGGATAGGCATAGTGTAAGAAATAGGATAGGTGAGACACTTTTGAAAAGAATTTTACGTGCTCATAGAGAAAATGCCATTTTTAGAGTGTTTGTTGTGATGCCGTTGTTACCAGGATTTGAAGGTGAAGTTGGTAGCCCAACTGGTACAGCATTGCATGCAATAACTCACTGGAATTATGCGTCAATATCACGTGGCAATGGTGCTATATTGAATAGATTAAAAGCAGCAGGTGTTGATGAGCCAAGTGAGTACATTACTTTTCATGGATTAAGAACAAGCTCGTTACTAAATGGTACGATGGTTACGGAATTAATATACGTACATAGTAAACTAATGATTGTTGATGACAAAACTGTTATTTGTGGATCAGCAAATATTAATGATCGTAGTATGATTGCGACCAGAGACAGTGAAATAGCCGTAATCATTCATGATTTAGATTTCCAGGAGGGTCGCATGAATTCTTCACCTTATCCGTGTGGAAAATTTTCAGGCTCACTGCGTAAGCAGCTATTCCGTGAGCACCTCGGCTTACTTTGGTCATCTGAAAATATAAATGTTGATGACATTGTCAAAAAATCCTTCTATTTTGATATTTGGAAGAAAACTAGCTTACAAAACACAGATATTTTTGAGCAAGTGTTTCGATGTATACCTTCTAATGAAGTGACTGATTTTAAGAGTTTAGATAATTATTTACAACAAGTGTCTCTGAGTACTTCAGATCCTATCGCAGCGCAAGAAATGTTAATGAATATTCGAGGACACTTGGTTGATTTACCATTAGAATTTTTAAAAGACGAAACATTAACTCCAGCTGCTGGTACAGTTGAAGGAATAATGCCCACGTCTTTGTGGACTTGATTTATTTTACTATTTTAATAGCCTTTTCTGATAATGCAGTATTATGTACATTTATTTAATGTTAAAACGAGTGATTGCATTTTAGTAACAATTGATGTGCATTTTTTAATTATTTAATTCTTTGTTATTTTTTATCAAGTGTATAAAATTGTATGAAAAATTTACTATTTATATTAATCAAATTTTAGATATCAAAGTTCGAATGTTAAATCAATGAATGAATGAATGAATGAATGAATGAATATATTTTTAAAAATATGTTGTACTAAATAAACAGAACTATTCTTATAATTTTTTATTGAGAAAAGAGAATCCAGATATTTAACTATTTATTGAAATACATGTAATTTATTAATAAGTTTGATTGTTACATTTTATTTAAATTATTTCGTTATTATTTATCTTATCAATTACAGTAAAAAAAAAAAAAAAACTCTTTAAAAAATCTTCACTAATAGTTTTTTTTTTTAAATTTCACTCGTTAAATTTTTCTCATAATAATTTCATGGTTACAAAATTATAAAAAAATTTCTATGTTTGTCAATTTTAGTGTCATGGTAATGTGTTTTAAAAAAAAGCTTTACATATAAATAATTGTTATGAAAATTAAAGTAGCAGATATTTAATAATTTTTAGGATTAAAAAAAAAATAAATTAGAAAAAAAAGTTGACGTATAGAAATTTTAAACAATTAAAAATACAACTTTTTCAAAGTAATTTTTCAGAACAAATTTATTTATTAAATAAAATAAAAAATGGTCAAGTGACTGTTAACTTTAATGTCATATAATTGTTTTGAATAACCAGATGGAGGTTTAAATCTACGCTGTTTTGGTCCATCCAATATTAAATTAAGAGTTCACATTACCGGAGGAACTCCAGAACTTGAATATGTGAACCATTGTGTTACTTATTGTTGGTAACATCGTCTCTTACCTACAGTACATCCTTCAACAACTAATTGCTAGTTAAAAAATGTTGGCAATGCTGACTAGAATTTGAAAAAAATTTTATCTTTTTAAAATATTAAAATTGTTAATTAATTAAATTACTTACTGAACAGAGTAAGTTGAAATATTGAGTAAAAAATAGAAATAATATCAAAAACTAAGTGACGAGAATTTTATTTGGATTATATCATAAAAACAACAAAATAATCTAGTGTAAAAAAATGGAGGTACCAAATTAATAACAAGAAAGAATTGGATTAAATACACACACGTCCACGATGATGGTGTCGTGGTCGAGAAAACGTTAGATTATCATCATAATTTGTTCCTCATTCATTTATGTATAGCCTACATACTTACTTACTTTTAGTGAATAATATAAATAGTGTCGTTGCATTAGATTGAATAAAATCTTGATAAATCATAAAAAAGACTATTTCTAGAATTTTCGTAGTCGTAGGATAATAATAAATAATATATAAATGCATAATTATTATTGAGGATTAGGTTCATAATTCTGTAATAATATAGTGGGTAATCGTAAAGATCGCTTAAAAGACAAAAGTCTATCAAAAGTTGAGAATCCACGACAATTACGGCTGTAAATTACATGTTTTATTTTCTTTACATCACTATTTATTCCGATATTTCTTATTGTAATTACTAGTTTTAAAAGAGTTAATTTTTTTTATTCAAAATGGCAGCTACAAGAAGATTGCAAAAAGTAAATTCAAAATATTTTTTATATTATTTTTTAACTGTATTATAAACTCAAAAAATACTCATTTAATATCGTTATTGAAATTTATTTGTGTCATTAACATTTAATTATACTGAAAAAAATATGTAAAAACATTGAACTCAAGGATAAATCCTTATTTATTTACTGAATGATTTTTTTTTACATTCATTATTCAATCATGTGCTTATTAATGTATATTGATAATTTAAATTTATTATTTTAGGAACTAAATGATCTGAGAGCATCAGCAATGAAGAATTTCACTAACATTCAGGTGGACGAATCTAATATTCTAAATTGGCAAGGATTGATTTTACCGGTATGCTTATAAATATACATTTAATAAATAAATTAAATGAATAATAATATATGAAATTTAATTTCAGGACAATCCTCCTTATAATAAAGGCGCATTTCGTATTGAAATAAATTTTCCAGCTGAGTATCCATTTAAACCACCCAGAATAACATTTAAGACGAAAATTTATCATCCAAATGTTGATGAAAAAGGTCAAGTTTGTTTACCAATAATTACTGCTGAAAATTGGAAACCGGCGACAAAAACCGATCAGGGTAAATTTAATTTTTTATTTTAAATTTTAAACCGAAATTAAGTCTATCCTTTTAAATTATTTTTCTGGATTAAAGTAGTATCATCTAGATATTTAAAAATTTCTATTTAACATTTTATTTCCGCTCTAAAAGTTATAGAAACTTTTACATTGAGTAATTTTAAGTGTTAAAAGTTACAAATAAAATAAGAATGATAAAATTTATTTATTTAATTACAGTGATTCAAGCATTAATTGCATTAGTAAATGATCCTGAACCCGAGCATCCTCTGAGAGCGGACTTAGCCGAAGAGTTTCTTAAGGACAAAAAAAAATATTTAAAAAATGCGGAAGAATTTACAAAGAAGCATGCGGAGAAAAGACGAGAACCATCTTCTGCGGAATAACGTTGATGAGTCGTCGTAACTCACCTCGATGCCTAAAATATATAAATACCGCAAGGAGACAGTTTTTTTTTTTTTTTTTAATTCTTATTTTAAAACATAATCCAATTGAATTTATTTGCAAGTTCATCAAACAGTTCTCTTTCTCTCCTCGTTCCCCGTGTACAGTATTGGTAAATCGACGATGAGCACATGCTAATTGTAATATTTATAAGATGAAAAAATTAAATAAACTCGTAAGATTATCATTAACTTAAAGAAAGAAACATACTTTACAAATAATTATAATTATTATAATAAATCAAATATTGATAATCGTATGTTTTTTTTTATGTTCTGGTGCATAATTAAAAATTTAAGCTGCACTGCATTTAAATTATTCTCATAACTGAAATGTTATTTTCTAAAAAATTATAAATACGTTTTAGTGTTTCACGAATTTTAAACACAAGTGTATGTTTGAAAAATAGTTTTTTAAATTATCTTTATATTTTTTGTCACGCTAAGTTTGATAACTCTTGTAGATGCCAAAAGGTCAATAAAAATAATACTATTATACTTTAATACTGAAACATAAATATTTAAATTTATAATTACTTTAATGAACGCTACTGTAAGTAATTTTAAATAAACGGGAAATTGGATTAGAATTGAATAAGACCCATGAATATAGAAAGTAAAAAAAAATGTTTATTGTTGGTGATGAATAAAAAAAATTACTTATAAATTTATAAATATCTTACGGTTAAACTTAAGATAAAATTTCTTGTTTAGGAATAAACTTACTTAATTTATCCCAAGCAAAATCATTGCAATCAGGCTTTAAAACTAAAATCTCATCGGTTAATATATTAAATAATTTTTCAAATGGATCAAATCTTACAAGACTTTGTCTATCGCCAATAATAATAAGCTTGTGCTTTGCACGCGTAAGCGCAACATTTATCCTGGTATGATCATTCAAAACTTCATAATCTGTTACCTTTTTTTTAAATTCACGTCGATCGTTTCTCGTACACGAAAAAATTATCACACTTTTATCCCGTCCTTGATACTGATCTACTGTATTTATTTCTATTTTATTCTCAATCAAACGCTTAAGCAGAGAAACTTGAGCTGTGAATGGAGCAATTACTCCTATTTCTGTGGATTCAATACCTGCTTCGCTCAAAACATTCAAAAGTTTTAAAATAATAGCCGCTTCGCAGTAATTAACACAGCGAGTCACTTCATCCTCAGGTACGTCAGACGAAGTCATATTAAGACGTAAATTGTAAGTAACTTCAGTATCTAGCATAATTACAGCGTCTTCCAAGTCGCATGATAAAGCTTTTTTTACCCAACCTTCGCTAGACTCCACAACCTGATAAACAAATAAAAAAAAATACCAAATTAATTGATTAAAATTCATTTAATTATTTCAATAAATTCAATCGGTTCTTATTTTAAGGATATTTAATATAAGGTAAAAGACCCATTTTATTTTAATTAAAAAAAAAAAAAAAACAAATCAACTCTGATATATTAATAAATATAATTTTTGAATTATAAATTTTAAGATAATTGGTTTTTTAAGAACATTTTATTTTTTTAATTAGAATAAAATTCCAAGTGTCAAACAACTAGGCCAGAGTCAATAACTGGGTCTTTTACCTTATGATGTTCATTTGATTTTCATACAACGCTTCGCCACTTTCGACGCTTCCTCAGGTACTCAATTACAAACATCAACTGTTAAATTTATGTATAATAATCTCGGCATTCATACGACTTACAATTTCTTCTATTTCTAGTATCATCTCACAATAGTTAAAATAAGAAAAAATTGTCAATTATTAAATTAATAAAATATAAATTTTAGGTTACATGTCGATTCAACCCCTGAAAATTCGTTCCCGGACATTTGAACCTGGTCATTTGAACCTCTGAAATTGAACCGCTGGTCATCTCAACCCTCGGTTATTTGACCCTCTGGAATTGATCCTTTGGTTATTTCAACTCGGTCACTTCACCCTCCAAAATTGACCCGTCGGTCATTTTAACCCCCGGTCTTTTGACCCCTGGAAATTCATTATTAAAAAATAGAAAATATATTCATATCTATTCATATCCCCAACTATTTTAACAATATTTGTGTGTCTTTTTACTCAGAAATATTGAAACACAAACGCCCGTAATCGTGTTGCGCACTTTTAACAAGATTTGTGTGTCTTTTTACCCAGAAATATTGAAACACAAACGCCCGTAATCGTGTTGCGCACTTTTAACAAGATTTGTGTGTCTTTTTACTCAGAAATATTGAAACACAAACGCCCGTAACCTTGTTGCGCACATTTGACAAGATTAACTAATTACAATACTTTATTGGCGTGAGTGAGCTTCGAATATGAATGAAGAAAAGACAACATGGAAAAATGGGAAAAGAAAAACTATGGGGTGAGTCATTCATTAGTCAGCAAATAATGACTCATGGTAAAACTCAATAATATAATGACTCATTACTTAGGCCTTTAAATTATACAATACTTTCCATCAGACTGTCCATGTTTTAATAGCGTCAACTTTGAATCTCATGATATATCCATACCTCTTTTTGAAAAATAACATCAATTTACATTAACAATACTAATCGGCCGTAAAAATATAAAAGGGTGTATTTCTGGGGTTGAAATGTCCCGATGATGAATTTCGATGGATGAAATAGCCATAGGATGATATTGTTGAAGGTTGAGTTTATAAGGGTCAAATGACCGGGGTTAAAATTCACAGGGTTGAATCGCTCGGCCACCAAATTTTAATAATTCAAAACAATTTTCACACCGTCTAATTAGTCTCCAATAACACATATTTCAATAAAGTTGTTACACTTACTTTTTTGTTAGTGAATCTTAGCGTAGCATTTGCTACTTGATCATTGCCGATAATAAGCTCTCCGTTGTAAGTCAATTTATTAGCAAGATCCATAATCTTTTGATTCATTCGATATTGTTTCTTCAGAGTACGTGTATTATTAACACTGTCCAATCGACTAAACATAGTTTCGTTCATACCTAATTTCCTAAAAAACATATTTTCTTTTAGACAACTTCAGAAATATATAAAACAAATTTTTTGGAAGTTTACATACGACATCATTGTCCTTGGTGCATAAAATCAGATAAAATTGGTTCATGTAAAAAAAAAAAAATATTTTATTTTATTAACACTTATGAAATTAATGCTTACCTCGCTTCATGGTATCTAATAACAGCTGGCAGCTGTTCTGGATCACCAACTAGTACATATTTATCTGCATTAAAAAGTGGACGTAGTAATACAGGCTGTAATGCTTGTGTACACTCGTCTACTAGACAATAATCAAACATACGTCGTGACAAAAGGGGATGACTTGCGCCTAAGCAAGTAACTGCAACAATTTTCTTAAAAAAAAATTGTTAAATTAGTAATTAGTAATTAGTAATTATAAATTAAATTATTCATCAATAAGATATATACAATACCTTTTTCTGAAATTGGGAATCTAATATTTCGACTGTATTACATTTACTAATAAATACTTCATCAGTCTTACTATACAAGCTCGGGTGAACTCTGTTTTTGGTACCTAAGCGTAAAAAATCAATTTCATTATCCTTTTCCTGGAGTTTTATTAAAATATTATCAACTGCAACGTGTGTGTGGGCTGTTATTAATACTGAATGACCTAGATGGACTAAAATTCTAATTAATGCAACCAGTGTTTGCGTTTTTCCAGTACCCGGCATTCCTTTAATCAAAACATAATCATTAGTACATATAGCTGCTATCAAAGCTTCCTGCTGATATTTATTAAGTGTGTTAAGAATTTTAGCTGGCTCTCCAAAACTCAATCTTGTTGGCACTTCACTGCTAAATGACGCTGGCTGTCGATCAATAATCATTTTTCGTAGTTTTCTAGTGATATCATTGTCAACAAGCAAAGTCGCAAGAGTACCAAGTACTCTGTATGGAGTTGTAGCCGTAGCAACTACATCAAGATGATAAAATTCAGCAGTGCTCCACCTACTTATGTCTTTTTCCAATTCAACAGATATTGAATCTTTAGTTACTTCCGAAACATATCCAGTAATAATATTTATTCTCATACAAGTATTCACCATTACGTATACTTCTTTGCTAAATACTTGAGTGAAATCTTTAACTGGTAATTCAAAATCTTTGTCTTTTAATTCACCCCGTACAAATGTATGAATATAACAGTTGTCTTCTTCTTTAACAACAGGCTTAACGAGAGTTAAATAACTCAAACACATTCGTTGTGTTTCTCTTTCAATGGGTTTTTGTGACCAAATAACACGATTACCAGCAGCAGTACGATTATAAGACTCCTCCATTTGTAACATTGATATCCAAGCCATTATGTAATGTATATGATCATCTGTCAAGTGTTGAAGAGCTTTTTCTGTAAGTTTAACATGCGGATGCGACTCTGAAAGTTCAGGATTAGGATTCTTTTTAGCAAATAAACAGCAAATTGAATTATAAGTACATTTCTTACATGCGTTTGCAAAACTAATTGGCTCTGGTAAATCAGGCAATCTCCAATCTTTAACAGTTTTACCATTATCATCAATAGTTTCTGTAACAAACGGTTGTCGTGATAAATAATAAGCAATACTGTTTCTCAATAAAATTAAATCACGTTGCTCGTGACGTGTACTCATTATCTCTTCCATTCTATTTTCTTTAATATAAAGTAGTAATCCTGAATTAACATCAAGACCCAGAGAGTTCAACATCATACTGTATAAATATAATTGTCCTTTATGTTCAGCAGAATAAGAAGCACGTCCTGTTTTTATTTCCAGCGGTACAGTTTTAAGTTTTTTATTGACTCTTACGTCAACGGTCACATCAATTTTACCTTTAACACCCAAAGAAGGAAGCCAAACATTTTCTTCGACATCTCTTATACACTCAATTATACCATTAAACTCTTTATCATTTTGATGATCAGGTTTTTTACCAATTAAATAACGTTCCATAAACTGATGTATCATGTAGATATACTCATCTACTAACTCTTTTATATTTTTCGTCGACAAATTAGAACAATAAACCAATAGAATAATCCGTGGTTGTTTCAAAATATTGTTCAGTAGTTGCCTTATACCTTGTAGATCATAAATTTCATTACACAATGCAGTCTGAAGTAACTCATGGACAATAACACCACAAGACATTGACATATCATTTGCTGGAATATTTGGTAGACAATTTATACCATTAAATTTTTGGGCTAAAATTCCCTGGCGTTCACAAAATATTCCCTGGACGACTGACGTTCCGGATACCAGAGTATCTGCTTGTGTGACAAACATTCCGCTCTCGTTATTGACAACCCATTCGTCAAAAGATTTTATAGCTTTCACCATCACCGGCTCGTCAATGACAAATTTTGTATCTTGCCTACATAAAAAAAAAAAAAAAAAGACATTTGTTATTATGTTTTTATAAAATTCGATTAACTGAGATAAATGTTAAATTAATAAACAAATGATTACCAATTTTGTGAGCACAATACTTCGGCACGTTCAGCAGATTCAATTTCTTCAACTACAACGCGTGTGTACTTCAGTAGTCGCTTAATTTCAATAATTTTACAACGTTTAAATTGTGTGAGATCCAACGTCAATTTTTTACCACCATCATTGTCATCCCAATCGTCGAAAAAGTCACCTAGACCTTCCTCTGCATCCAGATCCGTGATTAAATCAGAATCCTGAGCAACTAATTGGTTTTGTTTGTCGCTGAAACTTTTTGTCGGTGCACTTAAGCTAGAAATAGTCTGATTTGTTAATGCAAGACTGACACCACGTCCAGAATCCAAGCAACTCGAATCTTCATCATCGTCGTCTGAAAATTGTGACAGCAGTTCATTTACCAGTGCACTGTCATTTACATCAACATGTTGTTCTTCATCAGGAGATTTCTTTTCTACATTTTCATTATTATCATCATCAGAACTCGATTCATCTAAAAGTCTGGTGAAATTGTTGTATTCATCTTTCTTTGGAACATCATTTTTTGCTAAATTTTTTTCAATAGATGATACCGGTACTTTATTATTGGATTTTCGTTCTGCACCATGATCATCATCATCAGTGCTCGAGTCATCTAATAAAGCTGTAAATTTAGTATACTGATCTTCACTTTTACCATCTTTTTCATTTAAGTGTGTTTTGTTAGATGACACTGGGTGATTTTTATTAGATTGTTTCTCCTCATTGTCATTGCCATCCTCATCATTACTTGATTCATCTAATAAAGCAGTGAACTTTGTAAATTTATCTTCTCCATTACCATTTTTTAAATCTAAAATTGCTTTATTAGATGACACAGGTTGGCCGTCAGATTTTTTATCTATATTATTATCATCATCAGAACTAGAATCATCTAACAAAGCAGTAAATTTGTTATACTTATCCATACCATGGATGTCATTAGTTAAATCAACAACATTATTGTGACTGTTACTCGGAATAGTTGAAAATTTATGAATTTTACTACGACCACTATCATAATCATCCATTTCTCTTTGTCTTTTATTCATAATTATTATGAGACAAACTTTGATGCCTAAAAAATTAAAAAATTTATTAATTATTTTAATAAACAGCAAAGTATTATGATATTAAAGTTAGCTGTCACTTGACCATTTTTTAATTTTATTTAACAAAAAAATTTATTCCGAAAAATTATTTTTATAAAATTGCATTTTTAATTTATTAAAATTTCTAAATGTGCATTTTTTTTGTCCAGCAATTTATTTATTAGGAAAATTATTAAATATCGACTAAATTAACTTTCATAACGTATTTGATAAATGTTTGTTTTTTTATAAATTTATGATACTGAATATTTCTGTTACTATTAAGAAAAACTAAAAATTTTTTAAATAATTAAAAAAAATCTCTAAATGCATGTTTTCACAACTACTTTTGTATAAATACATAATTAGTTTATTGACAAAACTTAAATTGTCTAGTGTTTGCTTATTTCAGTATCATAAATATCATAAATAAATTATACATAATTATAGTTAAACTAAATCAGGAATTACAAACTAAATAATAATTGATCATTAGAATAATCTACTTAATTACCTTTGTAAAACACCGCTCTATGATTTAAAAGAAAAATAATAAAAAATCAATTTGTTTATTAATTAAATATTTATAAAATTAATTCGAGAATAAAATAATTCGCTCGAATTGACAACAGCAATAAAAATAATGGAGGGAAAAGTTTACGGTGCAAGAGATAAATTTTGCAACAGCCGTCAAGCGGCAAGAGTCACTGTAGAAGATTGACTGAATTAACAGACATGTTACTCTATATCTATAGCAGCGCTCCCTAGTGGATTTTACCGCATAGATATAAACCATATAAACAAACGACGTAAACAGAGCGGCCCTTAATGTCCATAACGTTCCAGCTCGTCAGTGTGTCTACATCATCCTCAAGGAACAGAAATACCAGGTAAACTATCTTAGTATAATAATAATAATAATAATAATATTACAATAATAATAATAATAATGATAATAGACACCATATATATATGTATAAAATTGTCTCTATATGAGAGTGAATCCCCCACTGTTTCTATTTGACCTATAACTACTCTTATTCCTACTTTAAAAATTTGTGACCTGTCAAGTTAATTCTTTTATTGAGACAATTTTAAATAAATTAAGATTAAATGACAATATAAGCAGCGGCATGAGGCAATTTTAAAATTTAAAATTGACAAATTAAATAATTTAATAAATGACAAAAAATGATTATACTGATTTTTTAATTCTTCAAGTTGTATTTTTAAATTTCACCTAGTAAAATTTTATTTATTAATTTTAAAATGCTGAATGACTGTTACATTTATACTTTGTTGATAAAATATAATTTTTCATAAATAAAAAAATTTTTAGGAGCAGAATAAGGAATCAAAATAAATATGGAGCGAAATAAACCAGCGATAATTAGCCGAGCCAAGAGCAAAATAGCTCAACATCCACCTGATTTATTTGCACTAGGTTCTAAGAGCAGTCGTGATGTGCTTGAATCAAAAAGACCAGGAGTCATCCACAGCAAGCCGAGTGCACCAGCATCTTCAGCCTCGTCGTCATCAAGTTCAGAGCGTAAGAATAAAGAACCGCCGTCTGGTTCATTGCAATCGCTTATACCCGCGAAAAAAGCTAAGCTGACTAGTCATGTCATCAGCCATCCACGTCCACCAATGTCCAGCGCCGAAGCATGGGAAGTTGTTGCTATCGACTGCGAACCGCCTGATCTTGTACCTATGGTACTGGAAGCTAGTGACAATGATGAAGGCGATAAAGTAATTGGTTTAATTTGTGGTGCTATAAAAACTCTTAAAAATCAGCGATGGAAGCCCGACAGTCTGCTGTCTATAGGTCTTATGTATTTAGCTAAAATAAGACCATCAATATTTTCAAATGATTGTGTAGTACATGCATTGTCATCATTATTGAAACGTGATCAGGCTCACAATTTTAAAAGCAAAGGCAATCCTTTGGTACCTGTACTAGCTGCTAATTTACTGATGCGTGGTTTTCATGACAAAAAAGCCTGGCCAGAAGTATTTCTCAAATTGTATATCGAAGATGCGTTGGGTGAACGTGTTTGGGTTGATCATGATGAATGTAAAGGCTTTACTGATAATATTTTAACAAGTTTATGTACAAGAATACCGCCTAAGAGTGCTTTGCAACATGAGTTGTCACTTTTAGCATCGCGCGATTGTCACAGCCCTTCAACGATGGAAGACGACGATTCTGGTACATCAATAACACAGATTGGTGATAAAGATAAATCTGAATTTACGGTAAGTCTCAGGTACGCACACTGTCCTGAGACAGTTGAATTAATGGTTTTAGATTTAGTCAAAGAGCAATTGAACCGTCGTCAGCCCGAATCGATAACGAAAAATGTTTTAAAATTACTTTCATCTGCGTGTGGTCTTGTTGAAATACGTAATCTAGTATTACCGCGTATAGAAGTATGGCTCCATAATCCAAAATTGATGAAACCAGCTCAGGAATTATTAATTTATATCTGCTATAATTGTACAACTCACACGCAACGTGATGTCGAGGTAATTAGCCAGTTAGTTAAACTAAGATTAAAAACAAAAGCCGTTGTTAATTTATATTTAAATGGAATTAAAGAATTGATAGGTTTACATCCAGAAAATTTGTCCACCATAATCAAGCACACAATCTACAATGAATTGTCTAACGCCAGAAATTCTAATAATATGCCAATGTTAGCAGTCATGTTCCAATCAGCGCCAGAAGCATCTGCCAAATTATTAGCAGAAATATTTCAAGATCTACTGATGAACCGTGAAGACTTTTTACGACCGCTTCGAGCACTTTTCCGTGAAATTATTCGTGTGTGTCGTCATGATATCAATTTAATAACACTTGCAAAAGCATTGATGAAAGAACGACCACAAATATTGCAACAAATAGCAGTATTTGAATTTAAAGAACGTATGTTTGCGTCAATAATTGACTTACTGTGCCTTTGTATGTTTTTAGCAATAAGCCCTCAAGTTAAGGAAGTCGTTTTATTGACTCAACGAGGTGAGAAAAAAGATGTTGCTCCTTTACAACAATTTCAAAAATTAGTATCAACAATTCAGTATGACACAACAGACTGGTTACAAAGAGCTCAATCAGTTTATGGAGTAGGTAAAGTTGAATTATTAAAAGCTATTCAAAAAATCATGCTACTCGATTCTCCCGAGCATTATTACAAATTGGATAATTGGCCACCAGAGACAGATCGTGTACTGTTTATGCGTATTGTTTGCGAAGTTCCTCTGCTACAAACTACCTTGTTACGAATAATGATGACAGGAACATCAAAAGAAATAGGTAACTGTCAGCTAGAAATATTGGACTTTGTTGATCAGTTGGTGCGACGTGCCGCTGGTAATTCTACAGAAGCATTTCCAATGTTACAAGCCGATCAACAAGATATTATTGAATTAATATTCCAGCTATGTGTCTATCAACCTCCAGGATCCATTAACATACCATCCGGATACACTCCTCCGAATTTAGCTATATCTAATTGTTATTGGAAAGGCTGGACAGTATTATTGATACTAGCCGCGCACAATCCTACGACAATCGGAGAAACTGGCTGGCGTCGCTATCCAATTTTACAAACATTAATGGAAATGTGTATAACAAATCATTTTTCATATCCACCTCCTACGCTAGCACTTCCGGAAATAATTGAACAAGAACGTACGAAAGAATTACAACGAGAAGCACGTGAAAAATTAGAAATACTCGAGTATGAATCGCATCTAGCAGCTGCGTCAACAAAGGTTCAAATATCTGAATCAAACAGCTTACTCTTGTCACAATTAATCACAATGGATCCAACTGGAATAGCAAGAAGACCCCCGTCTGCAGTACTTGAACAAATTCAGTCGCTAAATGTTTCTCATAGACTCGGACATTTGCTTTGTCGATCACGAAAGCCAGATTTTCTGCTGGAAATAATTCGAAGACAGCAACAAAGTTCGTCTCAAAGTATGCCGTGGTTAGCAGATCTTGTGCAAAACAGCGAAGGTTCTCTCAGTCAATTACCCGTTCAATGTCTGTGTGAATTTTTACTGTCAACAACAATCCAGGCAGTCGACAAGCAGCCTCGGCACCAACAATTACTTGGACACCTTCAAAAATTTTTGACAGATCCCAACGAAAATCCCCAGCATGCTAACGAAGTTCTGGAGTACTTTTTACGTAGACTACAAAGCCCACAGAGTAACAGTCGTATGCAAGCTATAGCAGGATTGAAATTAGTTTTAGATTCAATTCCTCTTGACGAAGAGCCCATGGAAGTTGATGGTAACAACGAATACGAGGTATGGCTACTAAAGAAGCTTCCATCTATTCCACATTTTGCTACATATATTCCAACTTCTCATAATTCAGTCCGCGGAATGGTTTCTCATATTCTACGTCCTGCTTGCCTCGTAGAAAATAATCCAGAGTTAGTACGAGCTTACATTGCTTATCTAGCTGAACACACTGTCGACGATGATCTTCCGGACTTTGCAGATCTAGCAAATGATATGGCTCAATTGGTAGTTGAACGCAGTACTATTACAGCAGCTATTCTACCAGAACCCGACAGTGATTGTCCTCAAGCTCGACAAACTCTTCAAGCTTTGAAAACAATATTCTGCAATTATCTGAGAAAAGCTCGTTCACCAAGCGGCGGAAATATCACTTGGTCCGAAAGTCAAGATCAAATACTCGTACAGTGGGCAAGCAAGGAAGAATGTACAATGCATATTCTCGTTGTTCATGCAATGATTATTCTTTTGACGTATGATATAATCGACGACAACGGTCTGTCAAATGATTTATTGGAGACTTGGTTTCCAGAAATCGGCGACCCTCCAAAAGCTTATCTCGTTGATACCAGTGAAGAAGCACTTCTCATTCCCGACTGGTTGAAATTACGAATGATACGCAGCAATGTACCTCGATTAGTTGACGCTGCTCTGAAAGATCTTGAGCCTCAACAATTGGTTCTTTTTATTCAGAGTTTTGGAATTCCTGTTTCTTCAATGAGCAAGCTGCTACATACACTGGATGTCGCTGTCCAAATCGATCGAAGTTCTGTTGGTGAGGCTGTACTGGACAAAGCTTACATGGCTCAACTGGTAAAAGTTCAACATCATCGTGGTGCTACTGGTGGCTTAGTGTTTGTTAAAGTACTTCAATTAGTTGAGCCTCAATTGCTTGAAGCTGCTACAGCAGGGAATGAAAAATTACAAGAGGCATTACCGCAAAGTGCGATGATTAAAAGTCAATCTGTAATACAGTATCCTGTTAAAACCGAAGTACCTCATCTTATAAATAAATTATTCATTGAAAATATTCCAATGTTACAAAAAGCTGAAGCGTACAGAAGATTGCATAAAACTTTGGCCAAAGATTTACAAAAATCAACTAAAGAAAGTGGAGCTATTATCCTGGCAATCCAACATATCTGCAGTGTATTGAGTTCAATGCAAGTTGAACAATTTCTGGCGTCACTTGTCCATATGCCTCAGTACTCGTGTACGTTAATGAGAATTATATTGTTACCTTTAAAAAAATCTGGAACACCGAGCAACTTGGTCGATCTCGGGAAAAATATGTGTTTAAATTTAATTTCACTTATTGGTGATGTAAAAGCGCCAATCCTGTCAATATTACGGGACTTTGCTGATATTCAAAAAACAAAAACAGCACGACGTAATGACCTCGTAGCATTGACTAAAACACGCGAGCCTTCTGTCATTCTAGAAAATACAGATTCTGTAAATTTAGAGAGTGTGGGACGTACTTTATTGGATATTCTTTTGAAGAACGCAAATAATAATATTCTAGTTAATGCAATGGCTCAGTCTCTGGTCTCAGACAGTAATGAAGGACTCGTCAAACCCAGAACTGGTCTTTTGATTGATTGGTTGGCATCAATAGAACCCGAACTGATTGGAGTATGTCCTGTTCTTCAGATGAAATTACTCTTTGGGAAATCCAAGCTCCATATCAAGATTGATGATAGCATAGTAAACTCTCATACATATCGACCTTATTTACTAACTTTGCTCACTCACAGAGCCAGTTGGGCGACTCTTTACAAATGCGTTGGACACTTACTCAACAAGTGCGACGAAGAATACGATCGATCGTGTGCATGTAATAATAATATTAAATTCGGCCAAGAGCAAAGCCTGTCTGAACCCTGCGGTATATCCGGAGCCGCCCGTGCCTCGTGCTTGTTTATTTTATTACCATTGCCATTACAATTATTATTATTATTATTATTTTTATCATCACCATTTACTTTATTTTATTCCTCTCTTTCTATCACTGATGGAGAAAGTAACGAAGTAGATTGTAGTTAATGGAAGTGGACAACGAGGTGAACGCGATTCGGTCTGATCGAGCTCGATCTCAGAGAGCACAATGTTCCGCAATTCAATTATTATTTTATTTAAAAATGTTTTATGATTTTTTAAATTGTCCTGCTCGTGTATAATTTTTATTAATTGCACAATCGTTTAATTCTATAAAAATTTTTTCCCAACTTCAGCTAATTAAGATGATGATTATAAAATATATAATAAACTAAAATAAATTTTGTGGCTTACTTAAAAATATAAAAATAATAGCAATAAATAAAATAAAAAATAGATTAAAACTATTTGCAGTTGGTATCTTCGTTCATCACAATGTGGTCTGTCTTCGTGCAGCCGTTTTTTTCGTGGATGTCTTCATATTTTCGTGGTGAGCCCTTTCGTGACCTCGTCTACCCTAATTAAATTTCTCTCTGTAAACAATTTATTGAGCAATTTATACAAATATTTTTTTTTTTTTTTTTTTTTTTTTTTTTTTAAATAAAAGAGACAATAAACTAAAGTTTTTTCATAACACACAAACATTAATTATCACTTATTAACTTGTCAAATAAAATTACTTTATAATTTTATAAATCTTAAACAATTGATCCCGAGTGTTTTAGAGTGAATGAATTTATAAAAAACGAGAACACTGGTCGCTTGCTTGTTTTTAATCATAACGGTGTGACAAAATATAATTAAAAGATAAATAAATAAAACGAAATTTTTTTTAACACTGTGATGCATGAAGCATTTAATAAAAACCAGCTGCAGTTTGAATTTATTTTGGCTTGCGGGTTTTGATGCAAGAAAAAATAAATTTTTTATCTATAAATGCTTGGACTTTTTGTGGCCTATTTTGTGCTGACTTTTAAGTGGCCTTTGAGTTGACTTTAGAGACGAACTCAAGAATTTTCAGGGTCCAAAAAATCTAGAAGGGAATACGAGTTTCGCTGCGAGATCAAGGCAAAAATTGGCGAATGCACAGCGACAAGCCAAGCCGGATTCGGAACCTTTGAAAAGTTCATCACCTTCAGGCGTATCTAAGAGATACGGAAGTGGTAAATTAACATCAACAACTCCACGAATTATTACTGTGACTGTTCCAAAAGACGACGGTTTTACACGTACCAGCAAAAGTATTGAACGAGGAAGTACGAGGGTTGGAGAAACTACGCGAATTCGACAGTATCGAAAGCAAGGAGCTATTAATGAACCTGTCACTGTTGGTAAAAGTGACCCAACGACTGAAAGAATTAAAACGATGAGACCCACGACTACTGAACGGATCAATGATCAAATGATAACGACAGAAAAAACGATTCATACTACTAGAAAATCCCGAGCATGGAATTCTGCTCACATTGATAAAAATTGGCAAGAACCAGCTTCAAAGTCAACAAACGCGGAAAAAGTAACGACGCAAAGTTCCGTTGATTCTTTGTCGAAATTAAACAAGAGACCCAGACCTTGGAATGCCGCTTACATTGATAAAAATTGGCAAGAACCAGCTTCAAAGCCGGCTAATGCAGAGAAGATAACTGCCGACGACTCTCGCCCTATTAATTCTTCGTTCAAGCTAAACAAAAAACCGAGAAATTTGAACCCTGGGCACGTTGACAAAACTTGGCAAGAACCAACGAAAGCTGATAGAACTACTGAAGCTACTACCCCGAATTCGTCGAATAAATTTGAGAAGAAAGCTCCCAAGTATGTGGTAAGTTCTACCACTGAAAAATTGCAGACGGAAAAGTCTTTTAAAATTGAGGATAAAGCACGAAGACGTGACTTTCGATCAAGAACGGCTACGTATCGTCGTCATCTTGAGTCACCGGTATCAAGGAATTCGCAAGAGGTAACTGGCAACAGCAAAGATCGAAAGACGTCTGCGGAATGGCTTGCAGAAGTTAATAAACGTACGGAATCGGTTCAGGTAGTGACGCCGGAGGTAGAAAAGAAAGAACTTCCAAGTGTTGCTATAACGCCGCGATACCACGCGTTGATTAAAACTGAGAACTCGACACAGCAGTCGGTAAGACAAGAACCTGCGGTGAGCTTACTTTCGAATGCAACTGATAGTAAGGTCGAGTCTGAGGCTCAAGGATTATCCAACTTAACTGGTATTTCTTCAAGCAGTCGAGGTACCAGCGGCAATTCTGATTCTAATATTTTTAATCCGACCAAAACTACTTATTTGATCAGCTCTAATGCTAGTTTGTTAGAACAACTTAGGAGCACTGTTGCACCACTACTCAGTGTTTTGGGTGCTAAAACTCCACAGTTTGCTACTGCTTATAGCAAAGTTAATAATGTGGTAAGACTTTTTTCCTTATTTTTCTTTTCATTTTTTAATTTTATGGTTACTTAGTTGTTTTGGTACAAAATATCGAATTGCTAACAGATTGAGACATTTTTTTTTTTTTTTTATTAGTTTTAAAAGTTTCTATGTGAACAAAATTTTTTTTTGACCGAAAATCATTAACCCGTTGAGGTCATTATAGGTCTAAATGACCCAAGGCAATTTTTGAGTTGCTCTTGCTTCGAAGATATCATTCAAAATGGTATTCAAAATATTTGTTAATAGTTAACAAATCATTTATTAGAGACCACTTTTTAGTATTAAACAAAAATTTCTTAGTATTTAAAATGATTTGTTTGTATTTAATAAATCTAATATTCATTTATTAAATATTAATAAATTTTTTTAAATACTAAGAAATATTTTTTAAGGACTAAAAAGTGATCTCTAATAAATGATTTGTTAAATATTAACAAAAATTTTTAACTACAAACAAATCCTTCTATCAGTGTGATATCATCTATTATTGTTTGAAGATTTTTTGAGATTCATGGAAATTTACAATTTTAATTGCTCAAATCAATATACTTTTTGAAAAATTCGACATGACACCACTTTTTTTCAAAGTATGCGATATCCGGAGTAGAACCGCGCAGGTCATTTTCATTTATCTTAAAAATGAAGTTTTTAGTAAAAAAAAAAGTCAAAATTTGACTTTCCCGTTAAACAATTAAAAAAAAAAACTTTAAAAACGATTGAGTTATTTAACGGAAATGTTAAGAATTACTCTTATCTCATGTACGGCTCGAGTGAAAATATTGACAAGAACGCAAGTAGCAACAATTTTTTCCGCGCATGGATTTGTTAAATATTAACAAAAATTTTTTAACTACAAACAAATCCTTCTATCAGTGTGATATCATCTATTATTGTTTGAAGATTTTTTGAGATTCATGGAAATTTACAATTTTAATTGCTCAAATCAATATACTTTTTGAAAAATTCGACATGACACCACTTTTTTTCAAAGTATGCGATATCCGGAGTAGAACCGCGCAGGTCATTTTCATTTATCTTAAAAAATGAAGTTTTTAGTAAAAAAAAAGTCAAATTTGACTTTCCCGTATTTTTTTTTTTATAATTAAACAATTAAAAAAAAAAATTTAAAAACGATTGAGTTATTTAACGGAAATGTTAAGAATTACTCTTATCTCATGTACGGCTCGAGTGAAAATATTGACAAGAACGCAAGTAGCAACAATTTTTTCCGCGCATGGGGTCTATTAGAACCAGTATGACCACTACGTTATTTTTAAGAAGTGTGACCTCAACGGGTTAATAAAATCTGTCTGAGTTTAGCGATTTTTTAAGGGAATTTTTCAGATAAAAATAAACAATTTAGAGAAAAAAAATCTTACAAGATCAATTTTTTTATTGAAAAATTATTCTATTTTTTTTGGATTTCAAGAAAAAAATTGAGATTATCAATTAAAAAAATTCTAAATATTATTATAGGCCGTAAAATTAAATAATTACATCTACAAGAATTATTAATTAATTTTAAAACTGAACTTGCAGAGTTTGTCAGTACCCAGAGTAACTCCAAGTGGATCTCCACCGCGATTCAGCGCCAAGTACCGAGGGGTTGAATTTTTCGTCCGAAAACCGAGTGAAACTAATTCAACGAGAGTTGACTCAACAACTCCACTTTCAATTGATCAGGTATGACTTATTTGTTACAATTGTTGTAAATTAATTAAACAAACAACAGAACATGCATGTGTTTGTACACTTGAGATATTTATTGAGTGATTTTTTACCGCAATGTTTTTGTTTGTTTATATTATATTATATGATGATTATTTTTAGTTTGATGAGAATATTATTAAAAAGAAAAGTTATTGTCACGATTTAGCAAAGTGTTATTGCACCATTGTAATAATAAATGTGCGATAGATATTGTCAAAGCGAAAGCAGCAACAAGCACAACTCTCTTTTTACTGTCACTGTAAAATATTGCAAAATAGAAGAGTAGTGTTCAGTTTGTTAAAGTTACGATCGTCGTGGTGCGATATTTTATGTTTTAAATATAAGTATAAACTATATAGCTTGTTGCTTCGGAATCGTTCTCGGAAATCAACTTTTAGTAATACCGATACATCTTTTACAAATAAAAAATAATATTTTTAAGTATTACAGTATCAGTATCAACTAGCTATTTTGCAATAATTGTTTTATAGAGTTGATTATTCGTGTTCAAAGATTTTTTTTATTACCTAAAATTATCAACAAGGTCTTTCGTGCATAACAGTTATCTCCAGTGAAAGTAAATCGTTTTGCGACGTTACTCGATCGTAATGTTACATTACTTCACTCACTCTCTTATTACCCTCATGATATAAACATAACGCTAGACATACATGAGTATACTGGATATAAATATACGTAGATTACATAAAAATTCACGAAACATAAAAACAAATAAATAATAAAAAGTTATTTTATTGTATTATATACAAACATTTAATAACACACAACACACCCGCTTCTTATTCTTGCTGTACAGTATACTTTATACTAAGAGTTGAGACCGTGAGATCTGGAGCAGTGTAGGTGGATGAAATATATCGGCGATAAAGAAGTCAAGTCAAGCGTGATAGTAGTTGCTCTCAGAACTTTAACTTAAATTGCTAGACAACTATAATAACGATCTTGTGCTCAGATGGAATTGAAACATGAGCAGGTGTAATGTGTAAATCTTGCTAAATTTTTAACCATTTTATACCATCTTATTCACCAGTTACTCTTGTTAAATTTTTAATCATTAATCATTAATCACAGTCACTAATCATTAATCATTAATATATATGTATATTGTGTACCGGTGGATAATAAAGGTCTTGATAAGGAATATTTGTGATGAAAACAAAAATTATCATTTAAAAAACTAAAAAGCGCGCTTTGATAGCAAGCTCAACTAAAAAGTAGAAAATAATTGTAAATCATTTTCAATAAGTTTAAAATAAAAGTAGAGCGATTAACAGAAAAATTCATTTTATTGTAAAAAAATCGTTAAATGCTTGATAAAATTGTTGTAAATATTTTATTGATTTAAATATTTGTAAACGTAAAATTAATAAAAAAAAATCAACAGCGTTCCACGCTTTTTTACAACGAAATGATTTTTTTTTATTGATTACTCTAATCTTATTTTAAATTTATTAAAAATTATTTTATACTTTTTAGCTTGGTTATCTATTAAAGCGTATTTTTTAATTTTTTAAAATATAATTTATTTTATCTTTTACAACATAATTATTGTATTATTATCAGTTCTTGATATTTGTGCAAATTTTCAAGTTATTCAGACATCTTACAGGCAGTAAAAATGACATTGAAAAACTCTGTTACATACATATATATATATATATATATATATATACAAGTTAAGCTAATGAAATTGAGTTGAAAATTTTAAGTTTTACCGAAAATAAAAATAAAATTAAACATCTTAGAAATATGTTTTATAATAACCCAATAATAAGGCTTCATTTAACTCAATTAAATACATAATTTTTTACTATATTTTAAACACAGTAAAAAATATTGTGTAAAATCAATACAATTTCTGTGTTAAATACGGTCATCACAAAATTAGTGTTAAAATTCAACACACTTTGTGTTGTTTTAACACACAGTTTGTGTCATTTTAACACAAAAGTGTTTTGAATCTTAACACTAATGTTGTATTGACCGTATTTAACACAATATTTTTTACTGTGAAATGTTTTGAGTATTTGAGATCAATAATCAGTCTTATTTTTAAATTACCATGATTATTTATCAAATATTTAATTTCATTTTAAATAGCAAAAATGACTCTTTTTATTTATATTTTATAGAGAATATTTTTAAACAATAGGGCTGCCCAATTTTAAAACACAGTAACTGCAAAATTTTTATACCTGATTTTTTTTTTTTAGTATTGCTACATTTTTTATAACTTTTAAACCTTAATTTCAAGTATTTTTTCTTAAAAATATAGATATTTGAGTAGTTTCTATTCATAAATTAAATTTGTCATTAATTTGGCGGGCAAACTTTTTTTTAATAAGAAAAATTGAAAAAAATTTTTAAATGTTAGTTACTGTGTTTTGAAATTGGGCAGCCGAATAATTAATAAAAATTTATCGATAATTTTCTTATCATTACAAATATCTCTTAACTAGACCTCGCAACTCACGAGTACTCTACACTAAATTTTCTAGCTAGAATTTTTATGTAAAGTAGCGTAAAATAGTAACTTAAATGTAAATGTAGATACTTCACTTGATGCACACGAGTAATAAAAAAAAACTGTACAGCACCTTGGCACCGCGTTTTTGTTTACAGGCCAAGAAGCCATCGATACCGGTCTCGATATCGAGCCCCGGTGAGCCCAAAGTACTAACTTATTACCAAGCCCTGGAGACAGTCAACATAAATAATGAAATAGAACAGCATCTAGGTGGGATTGGCAAGGTAGCCAACACGATCGTCACTGATAGATCCTCTAACGATTCGAATAACGCTTATAATTACTCTACTGAAGCAATAGTGACAACCGTAGAACCAGTAGTTACTACTATTAAAGATGATAATAATAATAATAACAATAATGATAATGATAATGATAACCTAACAGTGGTAATGGATTCCCCGAATTTAGACACAACAACTCAGGCAGATATAACCAGCACTTATACTATTACTAGCACTAGTAGTAGTTCAACCGCTACCACGCAGACCGTGGATTCAAGCACGAGTCTTCCTGAGACCACTGAGATAAACCCGAGCCCTTTTAACCCTGAGTTTATTAATAATTCTAGCATTGATGGTACTCCTGACCCTCTGAATACCACGCCGGTACTCGTTAATTCTACAAACGATAATTATCTTACCACTGAAATGAATACTGAAGTTTATACACCTTCTGAAGCTGATGCAATTACTACTACTGTAGGAATTATTACAACAGAGGAAACTTCCACGGTCCCTACTACCACGGAAGAGCCCATTAAAGTAATAATGGCAAGTTTTGAAGATAAAACTTCATTCCCAGAAAGTACCACGTCTGATTTAATCGCATTAACTACTTTGTCAACAACGGATGTTTCTGTTCAAACTGAATCTACTTCAACCACAGAAGTAATTACTATTACTAATGAAATAAATAATTTGAAATCCTTGCCTGATTCGCTGGAAGTTAGATCGCAACTAGGGGAAACTCTTACAACCGAGGGTGCGGTAACAGAAGAACAAACTTTGACGGAAACTCCTGAAGTTTATACTTCTACAGAATCATCTCAAGTCGATCAAACTACTTCGATGGTTGAGACTACATTTGCGCCTATTGAATCTAATGAAACAGCAGTGGATGATGCGCGTCCGATAGACGATGAATTGTTGTCGATAATGATGAAACGACTGATGGATATTTTTTCATTGGATGAAAATTCAACGCTGCTGAAAGATATTTTTTCTAAGAGCGACAAATCTGAACCGCGGATGTTAGGTGGATTTATAGACAATAGAAATTTAACTGAAGTAGATAATATGGTAGGAACTACTGAGAATTCAGTAGAAAGCTCAACCATAAAATCAGATACAATTGAACAAATTTATCCCACTGTAAAAAGCCCCGAAGTATTAAACCAAATTGTAACTACGGTTGAGCCTACAACTCAATCGCTAACAGAGTCGGTAAATATTGAAGTTACAACAATACCAACCCCTGAAACAGTAGAGATAAAAACAATGAACCGTTCTTCTCAGGAAGAAATTAATGAAGTAGATATGACACTAACTCGTAGTACAACCTATCCGTCAACTGACGTTACAACTAATAATAATAATAATAATAATAATAATAATAATAATAATAATAATAATAATAATAGTACTAATGATAATAATAACAATGTAACGACTAATTTTAACTCAGAAATAACTACAACACTGGCTTACTCAGAACTAGCTGATGACACTAATGTAACGACTAACTTTAGCTCCGAAGTAATAGCTACAACTTTAGAACCAGAAGTAATTGAACAAACTCCTAATGTAGAAGCTGTAGATAGTGTACCAACTAGCCCAGGGGATATTGAAGTAACGACTAATCCATCAACAACTACAACCACAACCACCCGAGTCCCAGAAACAACTACCACCAGTACCGAGGGTCCTAATTCTGTTACGACTTTCCAGGACGAAATGACATCAACTGCTCAAACGACACCAAGTTTTCAACAAACTACTACTACCACCACCACCACCACCACCACCACCACTGAACTCCCTCTGTCAACGACTAGTCCTTCGTCAGAGTCAACAACATCTATTCCCGATACGACAATTCTTTCCTCAACCTCTCAAGCTGTATATACATCAAATTCTCTTCCTACCACAACAGAACTTCCCTCATCTGCCACAGAGTCGACAACTATTCCTGTCACTGTCCAATCATTACCATTATCATCTTCACCATCATCATCATCATCATCGTCAAGTATGTTGACTACAACAACAGCGAGTCCAGAAACGACGACTGCATCATCAAGTATGTTGATTGCAACAACAGCGAGTCCAGAAATGATGTCATCAACAGAAATGCCAACCAAACCATCACCAACAACAATGGCATCAACTACAGCTTACTCCGGTCGTTTTGGCGGCTCAAGAATGACTCCAGCACCTCGCTTAAGCTCCAGTTCATCAACGAAAACTCCTCTCCGAGATTACCACGTCTACGGGATCTACCCAAACAAGACGATTGTCCGAAAACGACCGGAAGACAACCTGATAGACGCCCGGAACATCGACAGCCCGTACGTGATCTTTGGGATCTTTCCGGACGGGAAGCTGGTGCGGAAGTTCCCGAATGGAACGGTAATACCGGACCCGCCGAGCAACCCGGTAGAAGTTGTCTTTTCGCTTAGCACAAGCACAACCACTAACAGGCCCACGCCCCAGACCCAGGTTCTTCTCCAAAATAAGAATAACAATAACAACCAGGCTAATAATGTTAATCAACCGATGAATAATAACAATGGTAGTGCCGCCGCGAGCTCTAATAATCGTCCGGGAAATATGACTCTACTCACCAATGTTAGTGGAGACCAGATCAATGATGGTTACCGAAGCCGGATTAATCTCGGACTAGCCGATAATTCTATCAATTATAATGGAGCTGATGAAGACCCTAATCAATTTGCTGACCCTACTTTATTGCCCGGCATCGGTAACGTCAATACCCAGCCCACCACTACGACAATGGTACCTTTATCGTTTTTTTAATATTACCGGCCTTTTATTTATTTTTTTTATTTTTCAAATATTTATTAACTATTATTTTTTTTTCATGGTACTTAACTGCATTTTAACGCTTTCCTTCTGTTCTTTTACTTGAAAATTCTTACTTTATTATTGAAGTATTTAAAATTACTCTGAATTATTTTACTTTAGTTGATATAAAATCAGCTTGCCTCAATTTTCAGGGAATTTGAAGTACGATACTTATTTTTCTTATTTTGTACATAAATTATTTTATTATTTCTGTAAAATTGTAAATGTTTGCACAAAAAATTGCACATGTTAAAAACTTTCACTTTATTGCACTTCAAAAAGGCTTATACTATAAATTTTTTTAAAAGTTTTTTGGGAAAAAGTGCAAGGGGTAGTTTAAAACAATAAAATGAATTATGTTAATAAAATAATTGTGTGGTATGATGTAGGTAACAGACGCGTCGTCGCGAACAGCCGGACCACCTTTGGGCGCGACACCCTCGAGCGTAAATTCGCAGGGTGGTCGTATTATTCAGGACATTGAGAGGGACAAGGCCAGCAGGACTAAAGAGGCCGGAGGTCAACGCAGTACCGTGTACATCGGACAGGTAAGTAGAGAGCCAAAGACAGAGATAGACAAATAAAATAAAAAAATAAAAGACTGTCGGTGATTTATGCCTGATGCAAATCTATTGACATTGGTGAATCGAACACTGTGCTGTTTCAGGAGAAGTTTATCAACTACTGGACCAATGACACTCAGCCGTCAAATAATTCACGTATCGTGAGTGTTGAAATAAACTCTATTTCTGTATGTATCGCATCCCCTACTTGCTAGGGACTTGTCGAGTTTTATCATTTTTATTTTTATTAACATCGTTTATTTCAGAGCGCCTCCCATCAGGGCCCCGATGCAGGTTCACTACCGTCGTTGGATATCCTAACGAACAATAATATCCAAGGGCAAGGGACAACTGCTCAGGACAACAACCGGTGGAAAGATCCTTTGGATCAGATCTTTGGTATAACAACTAGACCGTCCATTGCATCTAACATTTTACAGGTAAGTACTTTAAGAGTACAGTGTGAGTACATCAGTGCATACATGGAAAGAAGTTTACTGTTAAATTCGTGAGATAAATTACCAAACTGTGTTATGTTTATATAATTATTTTTAAATTATATATATTTTTTAAAGTTCGATAGAATAAATAAATTACAAATGAAATATCATTATTATACATTTTATAATTTTTGTATTTTATAAAAAACTTGATTTTAGTTTTATGAAACTAACTGTTCAATTTTTTAACGAAAAAAATTTAACGAGTCCCGGAAAAAATAGACCCGAAAAAAATTTTTAAGTTATGAAAAATTCATATTATTTCAGTTTTACTAACCCGTGTAAAAAAAAATCGTCTTAAAATTGTCTTAAAATTGTCGTTCGTTTAAGATCTTAAACGTGACACAAACTAAGACTATTTTAAGATTCTTTTAAGATGCCAAAAAAAAAAATTCCGAGATTTTTTAATAATTATTTTGATTTTTTTAAGACTATTTTAAGATTTTTTCAAGACGATTTTAAGATTTTTTCAAGATTATTTTAAGATTTAAGCTTTAAAATAATTTTTATATAGTCTTGAAAAATCTTAAAGTAGTCTTAAAGAAATCTGAAAAAAAAAATATTAAAAAATTTTTAGGCTATTTTCAGATAACATCACAGTGGCAGCTCCGGAAAATTATTATGGAGCGTCTTTAAATTGTCTCAAAAATTATCTTAAATTAGCTTAAAAAAATCTTAACAAAAAATTTAAACTATTTTAAGATGGGTTAACAGCGACAGAGCCCCGGAACATTAAAACGAAACGTCTTAAAAAAGTCTTAAAATTGTAAGATAATAATTTTTTAACAATTTTAAATTAAATTTAAAAACATTTTACTCAAAAATATTGTGGTTAGAAAGTCGTAAAATCATCTAAAAATTAATTTTCACAACAAATTCGAGAACAAAATTTTCAAAAATCTGCTCTCGGAATTTTCCTTTTGGCGTCTTAAAAGAGTCTTAAAATAGTCTTAGTTTGTGTCACGTTTAAGATCTTAAACGAACGACAATTTTAAGACAATTTTAAGACGATTTTTTTTTACACGGGAAATTATTATTATAATTTTTATTTAACAATAATTTTAATGAAATAATATGAATTTTTCATAACTTTAAAATTTTTTCCGGGTCTATTTTTTCCGATTACCAAATTTTTTTTTACTTTAATAATAATCGATAAGAGAGAAAAATTAAAAATGTCATTTAAATATATTTTTATTAATAATATTTAATTTTATAAAACCTTTTTAAAATAATGATTGTATTTTTTTTGGTTTCACTTTAATTTTTAATATTATACCTGTGGAAAAAAAATTTCGATCTGGCCGTATATGGTTTGAAATAATACATGGTCATATGAAGCTATATGTGAAAATAAAACAAAATCTATTCAAATTTTTCAATTTTTTATTTTTTTTCTTGTAATATGTTAACGAACATAATTTATTAAACAAAAATTGGACTTGTAGTCGATTAAATTAAAAATCAATATCAGATGAGCTCTTCAGAAAAGTAAGAAAAATCTTTTTGATTTTAGAATTTATTTCAAATTTAATTCTCTCATAAAGAGAATATTCCTTTTGTTAAAAAATTATATATCGATACTGCCACTCTAATACGTCGTATCCCACAAAATTTGACATATTGACTTTTTTTGAAAAATGGAATCATAACAATATTATGCAAGTCATTTCAAAATTTTAAAGGTCAAATACTTCAATAACTATTTTTAAATAAATATTTTTATCTGTCGAATCCCATTTAATCAATGTTAAAAATAAATCGTTTTTACCGTCTGCTGTAAAATTTTCTAAATGTGGGATACGACGTATTAGAATGGCAGTATCGATATAGAGATATCAGGTCATATCAAGAAAATTTTTTTATGGTTTATCATCAATAGCAATAATTTATCTTGATAGCAATAATAATACTTTTAAATATTTGATAATTATTTGCAAGTGGGGTCAATCCATGCTGGGCCATATTATTTATTTTTTTTTTTTTTGATCAATTAATCAATTTTTTTTTTTAAATTGTTCATTTTTTTATGTACTTTTTAACAAAAATATTTATCAAAAAAAGATAAAATAGAAATTTTATCCAAAAACATAAAAGCCAATTTTTTTCTAACTTTTAAAGGCAACAAAGCTATCGAAATCTTTATTTTTTTCGTTCACGACATTTTTTATCATAAATGCGCCGTAAAAAGAAGCAGAATAAAAAAAAATAAAAAATTTTTATTTTTCATCTAGTTATGGCCCAAAATAGTGTTGACCCCACTTGTAAATAATAAATAATAATCAAATATTTTTTTACATTGTACTTGTGAATAGTTATCAAAAAAATTACATACAGATCAAAATTTACGGACATCTCCGATTACGGTGAATTTGACAGTAATTTTAAAATAAAATTTCTTTCCATGTGTGTGGATGTCTATGTACGATGTACAGTATATATTCTCATGTACATTAGCGAATGACGTTTGGTCCTAGAAAGGTTCAGGTCTCGATTATTCCAATGTAGTAGATATTATCAACGTCGCTCACATAATTATGTTACACAGGACGAGTCGAGATCGGTGATCACGGCGCGTCCCATAAATCCACTCTCGGAGGTCCTCACCCCCGTGTTGGACGCCAACCAGTTGGCTCGAGACACTTCGATCACGATCACTGATGCAACCACCAATACAATCACCAGCAGCAGCACCACCAGTACTACTTATACTACTACAACGCCAGCTACTACGACAACGACAACACCAGCGACTACGACAACGACAACACCAGCAACGACAACGACAACAACAACAACAACAGCAGCACCAACTACTACTACTTCTTCTTCTACTTCTACAACTACAACCTCTACTACTGCGGCAACGACAACATCTTCGACAACGCCGCCTACCACAACAACCACCACGACAACAATAGCTCCAACTAGCAGACCAACCACCACAGTCGCACCAACTACATCACCACCACCGACCACCAATACAATCAGTGAATCAACGCTGTCACCGTTTACGACGATAGACGTCCCTCATCAAACTGCCTTTGGAAGTACTTTTGATGATCTTGCTTTTCTTAATTCATTGGTAACTATTCATTATTAATTACTCGATTGATTTATTTTTAAGGTAGTTGGCGTGGTTAAGGCATACCGTCAGAAAATTCTCAATTTTTGTATACTTATTAAAGACATCATGATACAATTACCCTTAAAATTTGAAATCGATTGACCACCTATAAACCGAGATGAATTCAATTAAAATTTGGATATTTAACATTGATGGCATACGCTCTCTGCAGTTTCTTAGTTATAAAAAAAAAACTAAGTATCAAAAACTTTCAAAAAACTGACAGTCTTTTAATGCATTTGTTCTGAGTTTAAAAAAAAATAAAAAAAAAATTTTTTACAGTAATTATTTATAAATAACGGATTAAAGTTCAACAATTTATGAAAAAGTATATATACATATGAATACTGTATGGGTTACCTATCCACGGGTACCGCCTTGCGTAAAAATTATGGAATACTTAGCTATAAGCTCATGTACTTTTGCGGTGCGTATAATCTCTAATTTTTTCTGACAATATTGTACCACGACAACTACCTTAAGTTAGATTTTATATTTATAAATTTTTTTGGAAAATATGAAGAATTGAAAATTATTTATCATATCTAATTACCTCAAATGTAAAAAATTACTTAGTGTTTTTTATATTTTCATACGGCTGTACTATTTTTAAAAACAGTTATAGACATTTCTTAGATTTTTAAAATATTTTCTTTGCATGAAAATTGATAAAAATTTGTTTTATACAGAGAAGATATACGACAAAAGACTTTTAAAAATAAAAGAAAACGTCAGATTGTTTATTTAAAGTAATAAAAAATGCAAAAATACCGAAATAAATCAGGTAAAAAATTTCACATTTACTGGGATTAGAAATAGGATAGCTAAATGATAAGATAATTTAAACTTTTGGTTTAATAGTATGATTTAATTAATAAAACAAATATCATTAAGGTAAAAGACCCAGTTATTGACACTGGTCTAGTTGTTTGACACTTGCAATTTTATTCTAATTCAAAAAGTTAAATCTTCTCAAAAGACCAATTTTCTTAAAATTTATAATTCAAAAACTATATTCATTAATTTATTAGACTTGATTTGTTTTTTTTTTTAATTAAAATGAAATTCACACTGATAAAAAAATTGACTTGACTCAAGAGCCAAACTCTTGAACCAAGAATACCATTTTGAAGAAAATTATTTTCTTAAGTCAAGAGAATAAATTCTTGAGTTAAGAAATTATTCTTGATTCAAGTAAATATTTCTTGTCTCAAGAATTTATTCTCTACAAGAAAAGGCACAAGAAAATCAGTTTCTTCAATATGGAATTCTTGGTCCAAGAGTTTGGCTCTTGAGTCAAGTCAATTTTTTTATCAGTGCAATTGTCAATAACTAGGCCAGTGTCAATAACTGGGTCTTTTACCTTATATAATTTTAAAAAGTTTAAAGGATTTTGATCTATTTAAAATATATTGAGTTAAAAGAAAATCTGTAATATTGGTTAAAATTACCTATTGCAGTATTGAATAATATTATTTGATATAATGCAATAAAAAAAATAATTATCGATTTATGCTATCGGTTTTCATAGCAAAATTATTAAAATTCTAATATTTTTTCTCGATCGTAATTAAAGTATTCGAGAGATAAAAGATAACTATTCATATATTAATGGAAAAATTAATTTGATACTAAGAATCATTTTCAGAAATTTGATTATCTTGAATCGAGAAGAAAAATTCTGAAGATAATAATCAATTTCTTCAAAGTTCAAAAACTTCTGTGCTTGATTCAAGACAAAAAAAAATTCTTCAAAATGATTCCCTTATTCTTGGAAAAAGATTCTTTTTTTTTTTAATCAAGTTAATATTTTTATCAGTGTATTATAAAACGTTTATCTTTATTTTAGAGTCTGTAAAAGAAATTAATTTCGTAAAAACTACTCTGAAATAATTAAGAAAATTTTGGTATTACCCTTATTAGCGTATGAATATCTTTTTTATCTGATCAATATTTTCAATTAATAAAGAAATTTAATATAGTCAAAATAATCCTTGATTAGCACAAAATAACTTATCCTGAAAAAATTAAAGATTACGAGAATAAAAAAGTATGAATAATGTGGCCGTCACATTGGTGATTGCGATAAAATATTTATAAAATATTAAAAATCACCGATGACTAATAAGAAAACTAAATTTTTTCAGCTTCAATCAAGTGACAACTCGAATTCAATAGGCTCTACGCCAAAGACGTTAACCGAAGTCGAACGGCAGTTAGCAAACAAGGTAAGTTACTTAAAAGATATCTGTATCCGACGATTCTCGTTATCTGGACAATCAAATAGGAATAGAATTAGTCGTAGCACTCTCACTTTATCTGACCCAAGAGTATTGCTCAACTCAGTAATCTATGTCCCGTCATTTAGGGTTACCATTGCTGTCACTATCATTGTTGTTATTATTATTATCCTTATTATCGGATTGGTTATTTCCAATCCAAGAGTAAACTCTAGCGCGAGCGTTCGAGCGAGAAGTTTAAAAAAAAAAATAATCGTCCGCGTGAGTCAAATATAGTGAGTTGGTTTAGTTTTTTATTGAAGAAAACCAGGTGGTGGGTTGAGATCAATTGATAGTGTGTAACGCAAATGCTGTTTATGCTGTTCGTGTATATATATACTACCAGACGGGGTCTTTCTGTCGTGGGTCACTACTCGGAGTCAATTCTTATTTCGAAACGCCAACGCAATCCATATATATTTATATACATATGATAAAACGTTATAAACTGGTGGTTAGTTATAGCGGTAGCGGGTATGCTATTATCGTCTTTAGCGGCTAGTCACGGTGAACGTACGACTACGTCCTTGCCGTCGGCCTTCATCCGATGACGTCGAGACGTTGGGGCAACTTGGACATTCACTGATTTTATGATTTTTATTATTATTTTTTTTATCCTTTTTACTTAATCAATAATCAACTAATAGTCGTTTGTCATTATTGAACCAGAGAAAAATTATCAGTTAAGATATTACCAATAGCTTTTAACTTGGAGGATTAATCTTAAATCTAACAATTAATCATTTTATTATTTAACACACACACACACACATTGCTGTTGCATTAACTATTTACTTTTATTATAATCAATCAATTAATTAATTAACTAATTAATCGACTGTTAATTAATTAATTAAATGCTAATAAAAATCGCTGTTGTCATTTTTAAATACTGAAATAAAATGTTTGAATAATAAAATTGTTTTGTGGAAAAATTTCAATTTAATAGCTACGCCGTAAAACACATCAGTGACTAAGTGTTTAAAATTCAATCCTTTATTTATTGCATCTTTTTTTTTTGCAATTATTCTCGGATATTAGTTGTAAGAAGAAATTCAAAAATAAATAAATAAGTAAATAGATGTAATCATATAAAAGAATGTTGACGACAAGACAAGTAACGGGAGATAGAGATCAACAAGATCAATTACCAATCGCATCCCTCATGATCATCAGTAGTTTCTGGAATAAAAATAAAAATAAATAAAATGACACGTTTGTTTTTTCCGTGATTTACTATTACATTTAATCATTATTACAAGTTAAGAAACGTAATCTACCGAGACGCTTAGATGTATACATATGTTTATATAAATAAATACAAATATAGAGACACATACATGTACATATGTACTTAGAAAATTGCACGATCTTAGCGAGGTCACCTGCCAACTGAATCGACCTCTCAGTACTGTGGCAAATCGTGCCCGTGAGGCATCCTTAACTTGTTTTTCTCACTTGTATTATTTTTTCTTCCCTATATTTTCGTGTCTATCGACGTGTGGTCGCGTGCGTGTATTCTCCACCAAAGAATTTACTCGTTTCCTTTTTTTTTTTTTAATTTTTATTTTTTTAACGTCTCGGTCTTTCATGCAGCAATTATGTGAATCGCTTTGTGGCAGATTGCTATGATAATTAACGTTTTACGCGCCATTGGCACTGAACGAGGTAACAAAAATGACGTCAGTCTTCCTTCTCGTCTCCATTTCCTATATACTAATTCTTAAATCCTTTGTTAATAGACACTTTGTATTAATTTCTAATTGTCTTCTGTAATTTGAAATTCTAATATGCAAATTTTAATTACTAAATGTTGAATGTCATTATCATTATCATATTCCTTAAGGGAGAAATATTTATGCTTAACATACATAAAAACACATAAACAATTTAGTTTATTTATTTGACTTGTAAAAAATGTTGCACCGTAAAAATGCGTATAAAAGTAATCAATATATTAATTTTTACGATGTAATATGGTAAATTTTAAAATGGAAAATAAAGAAAGTGAAGATATTGAAAGTCTGGTTCTAGATTACGATGTGATAATTGTAATTCTTCCTATAATTTTTTTTCCGTGTAGATAATAAGTTGAATTATATCTCAACTATTATTAAACGACTGTATAACTTGAGCTTTTATGAAAGCTACATTGATTTTAAATAGAGAAATTCATATATTTCTAGTGTTGATAGTCATTTTACAGTAATTATATTTTCATTAATTATAGTGCTCAAATAATGAATTAACAATGAATGTTTTTTTAATGTCTAGCAGCATACTGTCATTATCATTATTTTTTTTTTTTATAAGTCTCTTTTAGGAGAGACTCAGTTTTTGAAGTATAATTATAGACTCCTCCTCAAGCTGTTATACCATAATTTATAATGCTTTCAATTAACGCATGATATATTATTTTTAGATTTCTTTTATTCATAACGAGAATAAGCTTATAGAAGACAAAAGTTAAGAGTTTAAGCTTATTCATTAATCTTTTTATATGATAATTTTATTTTATACAGTATAGAGTTATTCCAAGATACTTATAGGACTTTTTTATCTTCTTTTTCCCATTAATAAATAGACTAAATTCACATATGAAAACAAGTTTGAAAAATTCAAAAGAACACGACTCATAATGCTAATTTAATTGTAAAAAAATAAATTAAAAAAAAACAAATTTACGATTTTTGAGTACTGCAATTTTCTCATTACATGTATAAAAATTTCAATTTTTATTTAGTTTTTATAATTTTTGCGTTGTATAAGTATGATGTGTGCACAAAAAAAAATATAAAAAACTGAATAAAAAGTGTTAAAAATAAAGTTTTAATAAAAATTAAAAGTCAATTAAATTAATTAAAAAAAAAAAAAATACTGATGAAAAAAATTTTATCTAGAAAAAAATGACCACTATCAATCTGGAGGCGAGTTAACTGTACTACATACATAATATCGCGTACGCGCGTCTAGTGGGACAAATGTCTGTATCTATTTACGCTTAATATTAAAGGAAATTCCAGTTTCATTTCATTTTGGGCCAAGATAAATCAATAAAAAAAAAAATTACTTAAATAAATGATGGATTTTTTTTAAAAAATCGAGTGCCCAAACTACAAATTTTCTTCGATTGCCTAACGGTAATATTATTTAATTTACCCGTGCAGAAAAAATTCTGATTCAAAATGAATTTAAGATTGAAATTCATATTTTGATACAAATATGAATTAGTTTTGAGATCAATCCAAATTTGAAAATGATTTGTAGATAGAAATTAGCACGCCTGTACAACTTTCGATCCTGCTTCAGAATTTTAATAAAGACTTAAAAATATTTAAGATACATTTTATATATAAAATATTCTTAAATTTTGATTACATTGGATCAATTTTTGCAAGTTACATAAAATTATCTATTTGGTGGTATACAAATTATGTTGGTTCCATCAATTAACAAGGGTAACAATGAAAATAGTTGTAAAAAATGTCTTTGATCGTAAAGTAATTTTCAATGCTTCGCATTATGAATCGTGCAAAAATTTTTTAAAGATCGGTCCAATAAGAGTACAATCAGAAAATGCCTTTTTTAAGTTTATAACTTGTAAATTTTAGTTGACTTTCAATACAAATAATGAATATTTATTTTAAATATAAAAAACATACGAAAATAAATATGTTTGCCCTATGTTATATATACATACAATTTTTTTTTTTTTTGAGACGATACTCTTTAAATTTAAAAATTTATAATATTACCAATTTAACTCAATGATAATAAATCAATATTTTGGTGTAGATTTTATCTTTAGCCCTGAGTAAAGTAGCTGGGCCAACACGTTCACCAAAAGCCATTCAACCATCAAATGTTTCGCCGAATTCATTGGACGCATTTCCTCGCCCGAGTTTCGGTCACTCGTCGTCGTCACCGATAATAATCGATTTACTGGAGCCGACAACGAAAAAACCAGTAGCGAGAATCACGACTCGAGAACCATTCACTTGGAAACCGGTGACTGACGTCACTTCAACCACACCAACGACCACGACAACCAGTTCCAAACCTACTGTATCAACTACAACTACCACCAGTACAACTACAACAACTCCAGCCACTACAAGTACAAGTACAAGTACCAGTACGACAAGCACATCATCAACAACAGTGACACCTTCCACCCAAGTTACGTGGAAACCATTTCCAAAGCAACTACCTACTTTAAAACCCATAGAAAGTATTCCTGTTACTAAACAAACTCCTGTAAAAGCATTCACGGGAAAACCGATAAATAGACCCAGGCCAACGACACCACCACCGCTCGGTTTCGGTGCTGGTTTACTCCAAGCGATATTTGGCCGCAATATTTTCGCTCCACCAACAACCCAGCGACCCGTTATCAGGAGGCCCGTGCAGACTACTACGACAACTTCTAGGCCGATACAAATAACCGAATTAGTTATTCCCACCGCAGCTGTTCGTAATCAAGACCAGGCGGCCTCTCAGCATGTGAACGATGTCAGATTGTTGAATTCTTTGTTGGGAGACACCAAAGTCTCCACGTCGACTTTTTCTCCGGAAGATGACGCTAAATTTTTACTTGAACTCCTGACGGATTCAGAAAAAAATGGTAAACAATTGATTTTTAAAATAATTCTTCTTGGAAATGAAGACGCTTGGGGTTTTTATTGGCGAATAATATCTTTTGTTTGATTTTGTTAAGCTGGTAAAGGCGTGAAGGGATCAAGTGTTCTTTCGCAAGATGATGAAACATTTCTCCGATCGATTCTCAGTGGTCAGGCTAAAGTCCGTACACCTTCATCAGTTTCCGGGAATTCAGATTCCAATAATGCCGCATTACTTGCTCAACTTTTGAAAGTTCAGGGTATTGAACCATCCACTCCCGCAAATCGATTACAAGAACAACTTCAGGTTAGTTTGGTATTTGATATTTAATATTTAATAGACAAATTATTGCTACACTGTAATAAATTGGGAGATAATTTTTTACTTTTGTCATTCGAAGTACCGGAATGAAGAAATAAAACACTCTGCGGACGGAGTAAATATGAATTTTAATCTGGAAGTGATCCGAGTACGGAGTTTTTAGACTAAAATAAATTCTTATTTAGCTGAAACAAGTTTTTTATGCTGAATTACCAACAGATACTTCAAATAATATTTCTGAAGTTTAAATTTCTAATAATTAATTGTAATTTTTAAAATAATTTGACTTTTTTGGAACATTGAACTAAATTTTCACAGAAATTATTTTGTTTTCAAGTCTTGCCGATAAATTTTAACGTAAAAAGTAAATAATAATAAATTATCACCATTATTACGTTTAATTAAATAAAATTAATTACTTCAATCTTACTGGAACTAACTTTTATGTAGCAATTTTTAGGATTTCTTGACAAATAAATTATTATAGAAAGAATTTCTCAAAAAATTCTACTTGTAAAGATTAAAAAAAAAATATTAATGCATTTTTCTTAAGGTAGTTGTCGTGGTTAAGGCATACCGTCAGAAAATTCTAAATTTTTGTATACTTATGAAGGACATGATGATAGAATTACCTTAAAAATTTGAAGTCGATTGACCACTTATAACCCTAGATGAATTCAATTAAAAATTGGATATTTAACATTGATTACATACGCTCTCTGCAGTTCTGTACCAGTTTTTTTAGTCATAAAAAAAAACTAACTGTTAGAAACTTTAAAAATACTGAAAGTCTTTTAATGTATTTGTTGTGAATTTAAAAAAAAATTAAAAAAATTTTTGACCGTCTAATTATTTGTAAATAATGGATTAAAGTTCAACAATTTATGAAAAAGTATTTATCCATGAAGTCGGACAGAAACAATTGTATGGGTTGCGTCTCCACGGGTACAGCCTTGCGTAAAAATTATGGATTACTTAGCTACAAGCTCATATACTTTTGCGGAGCGGATAATCTTTAATTTTTTGACAATATTGTACCATGACAACTACCTAAAATTTATTATTAATATTATTACACTTCAGAGGATAATTTTTGGAGCGGGCAAATAAGTTTTGTTTAACGCAACGTTTCGAAATTATTTATTGCTCTCTATAAACAATAATATAGATTAAAATTTATTTTTTATATCAAACTTAGAAAAAAGGTAAAATTAATTTTTTTAATCTCTAAATACGCATTTTGTAATTATCCAACGGATAACTGTTTTATTATTTTTGTTCAACAAAAAAAATTAAATCATCCAGTTTGCAAATTTTTTACAAAGTAAATTTCTAAGAGTTAAATGATCTTTAACATGGATATACGTGAATAAATAAAATATGTTTAGGGTATTAAAGTGACTTCAATGCCGCCAGTACAAACAACGGCTAGAGTTATTGCGACTACTAAAAAATCAGTAACCAGGCCAAGGCCCTCTGATTGGCAACCAAGTTCCATTTACCCGCCACCTTTGTTCAGTAATTTTAATTTTGGATTTCCACGTGGTGAAAGTTATGACGACGATGACAATTCTAGTGGGGGAGGTGTTAGGAATCAAGTATTGAATGCTGCCATTGGAGCTACCAGAGTTTTTAGTCAATTTCTCGGAGCCGCAATAACGGTACCATTACAATTAATATTTTTTTTTTTTTATAAATATTTTATTTCGCATAAAATAAATATTTCTTTTGATTTAATTTTTTTGAGAGGTAAGTGCACTCACACAAATATTTGAATATGTATTAATAATTCAAGGGAGCTGCACAGCAGTTACAGTCTTTCGTGAGAAACGGTACTAAGTACGTCACAGGAGCCGTCGGCGGTTAGTCTGCATCCTGATCATGGAATCCGGCGCCAATTGTGAAATTAAAAAATACAAACTCAGTAAATAAACTAATCAATTAGTAATGACAAAAATCCGATGATGATTGTTTTTAATAAATAAAGTGAATGCACTTTACGACCAGAACAACGTGATTAACTTAATTTTATTATTAATAATAAAAATTGCTGCAAAAATTTGAAAAAAATTAGTTTTTTTTTTTTTTTTTTTTAAGTTTAATATTTCTGACTCTTGCAAACGTTTCTAGGATAAGATTTCTTTTTGAAAAAATATCCGTGAAACATTTGCAACGTCTTTATAAATAAATATATAAATAGTGTCCATAAAATATAATTTTTTTCTATTTTTGGAATTATAATAAAAATTTGTAATTTAATTTTCTATCTTTAAAATAATAATTATTAATGTATTATTGTATAATTTTGTGTATATGTAATCTATGATATTGTAGTGTGTTGTGTTTTGTATAATAAAAAAGTTTGACATTTTAATACGCCTGGCACCTTAATCAAAACATTAAAACACCTTTAGCTTGAACATATTTAAAAATTATAATAAAATAAAAAAATATGATTATTTTCTCATGTAGATCATGATGCACTTTCATAACGACAAACGTCATCATCCAACCAAAGTGTGGGAGAACGTATTTTTTGTTATACAAACATGGTAATAAGACACTTTACTCAGTCACAAAGACACATTTTTCCACGGTTCTCCCTTTTTTTAATTTTTTACTCCTAAAATTTTTTTTTCCTGACAGTTTATTTTTATTTTCTCAACTAATGCGTCCCAACGGTTATTAATCATCTATAACGATGTTACAAGTATTCATTAAAGTAACATCGACACTAAGTAGTTATGTCGTTCTGTTATAATATAATGTATAATGTTTGTTGAGTTATGACAACCGGCTCAGTCGTAAGAGTACATAAAGTACGGCATTCAATCTTGCTATTGACAACAATCGTTTAGTTATCTTTAAGGTTGTTTGGACACGCCATATAATGTGTGCTATTGCTTTCCTTCTTGTTCGCTGGTGCTTTTCTCACGGGCTATCGTTAGCTCATTTTTACTCTTGGTTATTTTGTGAATAAAAATTTATTTAAGATGTTAACGAAACCTATCGCCAGAATATTTTTTGAAAATTTTAACATAATTTAAAAAATGTGAATTCATATGAAAGTTTTTTGTTTTCTGATCCTTTGGTAGATTCGGTGAAATTATTAAAAATAAATGTTCGGATATTTATCATAGATTGCATGTTGCAAGTCCGATTTTTAATCATTAATTACACAAAAATTTTCGTCGGATTTAAAAATAATTTATTTCATACGTATTTAATATCGATTAACAATATATTAAAAATTTAGCTTTTAATCTTTACATTGCAGAAATTTTCTGATATATGGATATATATATATATATATATATATATATATATATATATATATATATAGCCTGATATGGTTATATATTTGTCCATATCATTTTCGGGTGAAAGTAGTGTTGAAAAATTTCCGATAGGCGGCGCATGATCGCTTAATAGTCTCCTTACTAGAGAGTTAGATTTTAAAATAGAAGTAAATTTTTTTTAAACTTAATTTTAACTTAAGGGGTTTGTATGGTTTGACACCCCGATTTTTGAGCATTTTTTTGTAAAGACCAATGAAGAGATAGAACTTTGAACTTTTTACCATTTATTCATACATAATATGTATTTTTTGAAATATTTTAAAATATTATTTCAAGAGTATACAATTAAATTTTTAGCTAAAACTATTGAGTAGAATTAAAGTTATAGTGGTCTGAAGACACCCGCCTCGAAAAAAATTTACGCTTACTTCCTCCATGATATCAGCTGATTGACTTATTTGAAACAAATAACCCGGAGTTTTAATCTGTATACAAATACAATGAGTGGACTACGATCAAAAAAAAATTTTTAAAATTTCTATTTTTTTTTTTTTATGGTATTTACAAAAATCAGGGCGTCAAACCAGATGACCCCCTTAATATAACAGTAAGTATGAAAACTGTATCAAAATTAATAATTTTTAAATGAATTTACGAAAAATTTAGTGAGTCTATAGGCTTCACTTTTGATTTAGAATTAGTTATTTTTGACTAATTTAAAAAGTCAGGATATCCCAGTTTACTACAGAATTAGTAGAAAAATAATTTTTTCATTTAAATTTTAATTTAATAAACTACTGAATCAACTTTTGCTTAATGAAATATGTTAATCGACCTACACCTTTTCAGAAAATATACAAAATTATAATAAATTTTTTTTTTATCATATATGGCCTGATACAGCCATGAATAAACAGATCAGATCACATATAGCAACTATCATGGCGATATATGAAAATTTTTTCACGAGCCTTGTATATAGATGTGCTCAATATATGTATTCAAAATACCTGGCATAAATAATATTTAATTTAAAAATAATAATGGCGAAAAGTATTGTAGACAAGATAAAGATAAAGAGAAAAAAAATGAAAGAATTTAAGTGATGGATAAAAAATTGTAAGGTCCAGTCCTTCGCGTTCCGTTGGCATGTCCAGATGTTTTAAGAGTTTAAAAGTAACATGAGTATTTGTAGGTATAGTAAGGGTATAAGAAAACATAAGAAATAAATAACAACAATAATGATAATAATAATAATAATAATAATAATAATAATAATAATATAATAAAAATAGTTAAAACCGTGGCCCGAAAGGCGTTTAAAGTCAAAACAATAAATAACTAAATCGCTGACAATGGCGAATCGGTGAGATGCCATTGGCTTGGGGTAATTTAAATAAATTAACGCGAACCTTTAGTTCAACGGTAGAGACTACTGAGAGACAAAGGCTGATCACCGGGTGACCGGGTGGTGGCGATTCTACTGGTACTGCTAAAAGAATAAATAAGAGAGAAAGAAAAATAATAAAATAAAGATAAGAAGAAGAGGAAAGAATAAAGAGAGAGAGAGAGAGAATTATAAAGAGAGGGTGAATGGTCATTGCGCATTTTAAGTACAGAGTTAGGGTTAGAGGGAGGAACACCCACGCGTCCCTGATGCCACAGCACCGTGCCATGTATCCCGGTTATTTTTTCTTACGATAATTACAGCTAATGGCAGTTGCTGCGAATGTGCGCGAGCACTTCTCTGTGTATTGTGTTGTATGGTATATCGTATAGATCGTATGTGTATGTATACATTATAAGAAAAGAATAATAAAAAAGAAAGAGAGAGAGAGAGAGAGAGAGAGAGAGAGAGAGAGAGAGAGAGAGAGAGAGAGAGTAGTAGTAGTAAATAATAATGCTGTCCTTTTGAAGTGCACAATATCGTTTAAAGACGTCGTGTTTTTTAAATTGTTTAGAATTTGAATAATCGAGAGATGAATACATTTTTTTGATTATCGTTTTCAGGAATTCGGTTTCATGCTATAAATTATAAGGACAATTTTTTCAAATTTCGAAAAATTTCATTTGAATCCTTAGTTTATTTGATTAAGAGAAATATAAATGATTTTAGTGGATTTTAGTTAGCATCTGATTTAGAATACTTTTGTTCCTAATTTTTATTAATAAAATAAATTTTGTAATCCCAAATATTTGAAGTGACTAAATTTATGTCACTGAATTTAAAAATATTGTAAATTGACAACAAAACAATTTTGTGACAAGAAATACCAAAAGTTTACGAATATTTTATAAATATAATAATGAATTATATTCAATATGAGAGAGAGAGAGAGTGATATGTATCTAATACACACATACACTTACCCATACCGTCGATATTTAATTTATCGGTTGAATCCTTAAGCAGATACCATTATCTTGTGTTGGCAGCATTCGAGCTACAACGCTTTGCTTCCCCGATCTTATTCTCTCTTTGTTGTTAAAGAGAGAAAGTGTACGTGGATGTGTTCCTGGGTTTGTATGAAGAAGAACCACGAGGACTTACCGAGATACTATCAACAATCGGCAACAGTATCAGGGGAGAATTGAGACGTTCAACCGAGCGCGAATCGCGTTGGGTATATCGCTTTCGACGATGAATATTCATTTGCTTTACTGGTACTTGCGGAAAATTCCCAATCTCTGTCCAGATATTTTTGTTTCATTTGTAATAGCTTTAACATATTTACACATTCAGCTGCTCTTTAACCTAATGAAATCGGTGATCGGTATCGATTTCATTTTATTCAAAGCTACGAAGTTTCCGGTGCAAAAAATTCTGTTTAGTCATTAATTTTATCCTTTAATTCATTTCTTGAAATAAATACAATTTTACAATAAACTCAATGTAAAGATATTTTAATACAAAAATTTATAAAAAAAAAACAGAGTCAAATTTTATTAATTTTTTTTCTTTATATAATCTGGTCAAATATTTATTTATTTATTTATTTCCTTTGATACAAACCAACAGCCAAGGCCAATGACAGGGTCTCTAAATAAGTTGATACATATTATCACATAGTATAACTTAAAACTAAGTGCGCTGTACTGGTAGCTTATATAAAAAAGAAGTAATAAAACAAACATAATAAGATATTAAGAAAAAAAAATTCGATTATATACAAATATTACAAAAAATCTAATATTACGTTAAAATAATTATAATTATATAAGAAAAATTGACTGAAGATATGTAACTGAAGATGTACAGATGTGAGGGCTAAGATACAAGTGAGATTTACATTAATATGTTTAAATATTAACTTGATTATTAATTTGATTTGATAGATTGTTATCTTAAAGATATTAAATAGAGTAATTGTTAAAAAAAAAATCTCAGTATCAAATATCCCTGGTTTAAGCCAGGTTTCAGTAAAAATATAGATCTTAAATTTAGATAGAAAAGTCTTATAAAATATTTCATTTAGTTTAGAATTAATACCCCTCACATTTTGATAATATATAGAGAAAATCGATAAATAGCCAGATTAGGCTATACAAAAAAAATGAAAAATAATTG